AACATTGCTTTTGTCTTCAGGTCGATTTATTTGGAGATGATGTCACCAACTTTTTACCTAGGCCACGATATTCCTGCTCTTTCCATTAACAATGATGGCTGATTGCTAGAGGATCAGGAGTGTTTTTTGTTTTGTTTTATGCTGCTATTGCCTACCTTTTTGTGTCTGGAGCTATTTGTTTCATTTTGGGATCAATTTGAAGGGGTTTTGAAATCTTTCTGATTTTGTTTTTTAAAATCGGGTCTGCTGAGGATCTCTTCTTAGGCACATCTGTTTCAGGTCAGTCATTAGGAGTATTAAATTTTAATTAATAATGCCTTTAGATTGTAGTTTCAAATTGAAGTTGGATTTATGTGAACATAACCACCCCCTTGAGCTATAGATTCCTAATTGGTGTGAACTAGATCCACTTAAGTGAGGTTTTTTGCTTTGTAAACTCATGTCACCACAGGACCTTGCATTAATATAAACATGTGCTACGCAAAAGTATATAAAAAAAACGCCCTCCTCCTTTTCCTCATCATCCTTCCCTACATTCCTGTTTTTTGTTTTGCATGTAGATGTGTCTTAACTTGTGGCAACTAATTCCACTCACTGAAGCAGAGTCTGATGTTATAATTTTGGTGTAACATACAGTTACTAACACTCCCCCTGAAAGCTAAACCATTGACTTTTGATCCTGTGCTGCGCTTCTCATTGATTTTCCAAATTGAAGTTTTGCCTTCATTTCATAAAGTGGATTGGAAGCAATTCAACAGCATTATCTATATCTGTTGTGGGAAAGGTTTACTATTGAGTGAAACAGGTTAGCAATTCCTGGTATTGAAAGTACAGCTCTTCACTTGGAAATCATTTTGCTGACTTACAAAATTACTGTAGCAGTAGTGAGTAGTGCACTTTTTAAAATACTTCTGGCTTTTTGAAGTGCTCCACTGGCTCCCTGTTGCAAAACCGGTCAATTTCAAGATGCTCATTCTCACTTTCAAGTCACGTCATGTCCTACCTCTGCACTCCACTAACCACCGCCTTTGTTCAGCTGGCTTGGGCCTTCTGCACGTCGATCATCTCCTTCACTCCGCCATTGATGGCTGTGCTTTCAGCCACTATGCCTCAAATCTCTAGAACGCCTTGTCTCAATCCTCTGTCTTGCCTCCTCTTTGCCCATCTTTAAATCATACCTGAAAACTTTCCTCTTCAACTGTGCCTTCGGTCGCCTCTCTTTTTCCACCTGTTGTTATTGCTCAAAGATACCCACTGGCACAATACACCTGACTACATTATGCTGAGCCTTGACTTGTTCAAGTGTACAAAAATCTCTGGGTCTAGTTTGGAACACAAGCACTTGCTACTCAAGCAATTAGATTGCCATTTAATTGAGGGGTCAGAGTATTTTGAAGATGCTTTCATTAAAGGTGCACTGGTTGATCAACTTTCTTCATTAGTGCATGTGGCCTCCTCCTATCCTCCTGGGGATGAGGAGAGGGGATAAGCGAGGTCTTGTTAGACCTGAACTAGCTGAAGGTAACATGCTTATCAGAATGCTGGAACCAAGTCAACCCTCTGTGACGGTCTCAGTAGCCGAGTTCTAGACCCAGGTGGGTCCATAGTGCTCCAGGGCATTGCTAATGACAGACCAGCCAGTCTGACTCATCAGCTAACCATTTTCTTCAATGGCTTATGTGGCCTGATGTTGGTTTTAGATGACTGACTAGACTATCCAGGCAATTGACTAATATAGGAATCATCATCATCATTGGGGAGCTAGTACCAATGATGCGTGCCTGTAATTTTTTNATGTTTCTACGCAATAAGGCTTTTGCTTCATTTGTTTTCTCAGGCATAATCAATAGGTAGGTGCTGACTGAACACACGCGTTTAAGTATAATCCAGGGATTGCTTCTCTGTTAGGGTATGACTATATGCAAAGTTGCTATAATTGGTCCAGTAGGCATTCTGCTGGTCTTGTTTTTACAGAATTCAAATTGCCATCTCTTATGTTGAATTCAAATTGACATCAACTGTAACTAGGGAAAATGTGTTCCAGCTGTCTCTAGCATTCAAACCTACTGGGTTCCATCCTGGCCCGCACACTTTTAAGAGTTTCAGTTTACACAGCCTCCTGCTGGCTTGCCTCTTGTTTCCTAGCTCAAGATGAAAGAAGATCAATCGCTCTTTCAGAGAAAAGCCTAGAGTAGTAGTGAAGTAGATGGATTCTTGGAGAAAAGCTTTTTATGCAGGCAAGATTCCCAAGTGAATATGGTGTCTCAAGAGACACATTGGATAAACAATTTGTATAATTTATATTGCCCAGAATGACTTAGCTATAGGAAAGCGTTGGATTAAGTTTGTGCTAATAATATCAGACATTTAAGTGACAATGATCAGTCAAGAATGTCGGGTCACAGACTCAAGAGTGGCTGTTTCTGGTATTGTCCTGTGTTGGATTTGCATAGTTGAGAACCTTGAACATCCAACTATATTTACAGTGAAGACTAATGGAACTCTCCTTTTCAGAAAGCAGCTAGGAGAATTTATAAAACAAACTCCATTAAAGCCTGTTTCTTTTGGGCCATAGAATAATAATAATCCTTACATTTGATAGAGCACCTTATCACATCATTGAGACGTCTCAAAGCGATTCACAGAATATATTGTAAAGTGAATTGACTGTATTTTGTGGGTGAAACAAATTTGAATTGGTTATATAGCCAAGAGTGATCTCTTTGGTTCTCAGTTGCTTAAGGGTAATATCAAGTGAGCTCTGACCATGGATTTAGTGCAGTGGTAGATAATGGAGAACGGTTTTCCATCTGTAAATAACTAATTATTTCCTGAAGAGCATGACATAGTCATCTTCTAATTTAGGCATGTCGCCAAGGACTGTTAACATTTAATGCTTGAGATTAAAATTTGACAGGGTTTACCAGTTTAAGATAATAATAATCCTTACATTTGATATACTGTAGCACCTTTCACCTCAGGAGGACATCCTAAAGCACCTCACAGGGTCTACTGTAAAGTGTAGTAACTTTGGATTTTGCGGGTGAACCTATTGAGATAGTGGGTGCAGTTCTTGTGCAATTGTGCTGTTCAATTAAGCAGTTTTGCCTCTGGCCATTATGTTTGTCATCAACAACAACAACAAGATTACATTTGTATAGCGCCTTTCACGTCGGGAGGACGTCCAAGGCGCTGGACAGTGTACAGCATTTCAGACCTGAGCTGGGGTCAGGGGGGAGAAAGGAGGGGAGGGGAAGGGGTTGGCCGATGGCATGGTTGAAGAAGAGGGTTTTGAGGTGGGACTTGAAGGCGGCTAAGGAGGGGGCGAGGCGGAGTGACTGGGGGATGGGATTCCAGAGAATGACAGCAGAGTGGCTGAAGACTCTCCCGCCAGTGGTGGGGCGGGTGGGTCGGGGGACGTGGAGCAGACCGGAGCCGGCTGACTGGTAGGGGGTTAGGAGGTCACAGAGTATCATCAGTATCCTATGTAGAGAAATACAAAAGTTCAATTTGTTTTGAGTCAGCATCTCCCCGAATGTATATAGCATAAATAATCCAATTGTAAAAATTCATTTTTTTATAAAGTGCTTCTATGGCTATATTAGAATACATTACTGTATATTTAATTGTGTGAAGTTTATTTTAAATATATGCGCAAGGTCTGCCTCCTTAGCTGTCACCCTCAGGTGTGGTGATGTTCAGAAAGGACCGTGTGGTCCCATAGTGGCTTTTAATTTAATGGACAATTTTTTGGATTAGTTTGGGAGCTTTGGTAGCACTCTTGCCTTTGAGGCAGAAGGCTATAGATTCAAACCCCGCATCCAGAATTTCGTTCATAGTCTAAATTGGCACTCCAGTACAATGCTGGGAGAGCGCTGCATTGATAGAGATGCCGTGCTTTGGATGAGATGTGAAACCGAGGACCAATAGGTGGACATCCCAAAGCACTATTTGAAAAGAGAATAGAGTTTCTTCTGGTATTCTGGGCAACAATCCTCCAGCTGAAAGCAACATTCATCTCATGGCTGCTTGTGGGACATTACTGTCAACAAATTGGCAGTCGTGTTTGCCTACAAATACACAGCTGTACTTTATAGTAAATTCTGTGAAGCAGTTTGAGCTGTTTAGATGATGTGATAAGGCGTTGTAAAATGCATGAATTATTATTTTCATTGCTGCGTACTCATTAGTACCGTACTTCCAGATGCCCATACAATTACAGATTGGCTCCCACATAGTTACATAGGGATAGTCTTGTTAATGTAACTAAAGCTGTTCTGGTACATGGCTCTTCCCTTTTTTGTGTCACTGGAACAACTTGTGATGATTTTTCACTCCCAGTAAATTCTATTTATAAAAGGCTGCTTTTTTCCGTGATAGTTAGACTGAGTACTTCGAACTAAAAGTACGTTCCCTGCAGTTTCTTCTCTTTAAGCAGTCTATTTTTGCATAGAAAACGGGAGATAATTTGGAACTTACTGTCTTTGCGTAATTCAGTATTCTGCATCTAAGTGACACGTACTTAAAGTAGATTTTGATTTAAACCACGACACAATGGCAGTGATGCTTGGCAGTCACCTGTGTTTAGTCAGATGACTGCAGTTATTGTTCTTGCCAAAGTGCATTAAGTTAAAGTGAATGTATTAAACCATTTAGTTTGCTAACATTTTGACTGATTTAAAATCTACAGTCAATTTTGTTAAATTTATTAATCTATAATGGTTAATATAATTCAAGGTTTCATTACTAAAATCATGTTGCATTGTAGTGGATTAGTAATGCGTTTACTTTTAAAAACACTTTTTAAGCAATTTTTTTTTACAAGGCTTTCATGAAGAGTGAATTCATTCTACAGTATTTTACACTGCATAGAGGAGAGCTTTGGGGGGAGTAAGAGTGTGCGACAATGAGCCTCATTTTGCAGTGCACTGAGTGAATGCTTTGTGTATAACATTTTAGTAACGTCGAAAAGCTCTAACCCCCATTATAATTTCTTGCAGATTTTCTTCACGAAATATTATCGGATTACGAAATCCTCTCCTTATCAGATGTCCGTCAGCACTCAGTACGCAGACGTGATTTAATACCAGAGTCTCACGTAGAACAGACATTGCATTTTTCAGCTCTGAATCAGTAAGTCTACATAGGTTGTTATAGTAGCAGTGTTTTAAATCTGATGTGAAGTTCCCAAGAAATATTCGTATTCGACAAATTCTTTCATGAATGAATATAGTGTGTATGTCATTGGTGAGCAATGCTTGTGTTCTTTGTGTGAAAATTATTTATTAAATCCTATATACTTTTTCCATAATTAGTGACCAAATGCGCAAAGTGGTATCAGAGTCTGTTAAGTAGGATATTAGCTTGTGATATGATCTCTTTCCTCTATGCTGGGTAAAGATAACTGACATGACAAAGGTCTGCTTTTCTGTTAAGAGATTGTGTGGCTTGTTTGCATAACCTGCTTCTATAATTTTTCCCATTAAGGTTAGAGCATTTATACAACACTACGTTTGTGCTATTATGTACCATGTGGCACAAATCTGAGCAATAATTCCTGAATATTCCATCTCCAAGGTTTCAGCTGAATAAGCAATATCTTACCTGTGAAGTCTAGATGTTCTTTAATTAGTTCCTGTGATAGTTCTGATTCTCATGGACTCCTTGCATTAAGGTTATAACGGTTAACAGAACTGGCCATCACTGATAATCTCTTGGACATCTGAACTCATATTAAGAGACACTGCAACATACCGGCAGCACAGCATTGGTGTGTTAGCTTAGACTATATGAGTTCCAAGTCCTCACGTGGGGATTGAACCCACAACCTTCTGACTCAGGTGCGAGTGCTACCACTGAGCCAGGCTGTCATCTAGCCTAAACTATCTTCAAACTCCCCCATTTTCCCCCACAAAATATACAGTCAATGAATACACTTGGCGGTGTATTCTGTGAAGCGCTTTGACACGTCCCGAAAGACATTATAAGGCTCTATATTAAATCTAGGAATTATTACTATCATTTTGTGGAGGTACTTGAACAGAGTCAAAAATCCTATTTAGACTAATTAAAATTTATTGCGATTTATTTAAAATCAACTAATATCTGATGAGAAGAAATATACGAGTATGGAGGGGCGAGAGTGGAGAATGAGATTGAATGAATAGCTCTTTCAGAGAGCGAGCACAGGCATTAAGAGCTGAATGGCCTTCTTCTAGGTCGTACATACCTGTGGTTCTTTGGTTCTAATTTTGATGTATTTGGGCCTCAAGACTAAAGAGGAAATGAATTCTAAATCTGTTCCAACAATTTTAATGACGACCTTCATGCATTTGAAAGACTAAAGCCCACTTTAAATAAGCATACGTCCTCCTAGAGCTACTGTAAATTGACACCCAAATACTTTTGTGCTCTAAAAATATATTCAAGTGCTCTGAGATGTGGTCCGGCATGAAGGGCGCTATGTAAACACAAGTTGTTGTTGTTATGGTTCTAGACCATGTTTGCTCTTTGTACAGAATTATTATTTTCTGAACTTTTGATATCTGACTGAATTACTTTGAATTTTATGTTTTCCAGAAATTTTAAATTGTACTTATCTGCAAGTGTGGAACGCTTTGCTGGCAATTTCAAAGCAGTAGTGGTAGATGGAGATGGACATGAGGAAGAATATCCTGTTCAATGGAAAAACTTCTATACTGGCCATGTGATAGGTTGGTCCATATTGACAGCTAAGATGCTTATAAAATTTGTTGCTGTGTTTAAAGCTTGATGTACATTCTTGGAGTTGTAGTCCATGGTAATTCTGCATTAGACTGGTAGATTAGAGTATCAACCTAGCTCAACAGTTAGCATTCACCGCCAGGTCAGAAGATTGTGGGTTCAAGCTCCATATCAACACTTTGAACAGCAGTGCTGGAACGTGGGTGGTGTTGCTTTCTCAGAAGTGACGTCCTTTGGATGAGACATTAAACCGAGATCCCGTCTGCCTCTTCGGGTGGACATTAAAGGTCTCGTGGCACTGTTTGAAAAAAGAAGGGAGTTTAACCAGTGTCCCAGCCAACAATCCCCCCCAGGTAAAGTTGGTCATTCAACTTATGACTGTTTGTGGGTCATTGCTGTGTGCAAATTAGCTGTTGCATTTGCCTACAAATACAGTCACTACACTTCATGGAAACCTCGTCAACCATTTTGATAGGTTCTTAATATTATAGGCTCTATGTCAAATGCGAGGATTATTATTTTCATAGATTTGAGTTAATCCATGACAATCACCATTTTTTTAAAAAAAAGAAAACTAAATTCAATTCTGTAAGTCTCTGTTTTGACCGGATGATTATATGGAGGCATTGGGTGAAAGTTCCTATTGTAATATTATTTTTTGTTAATTGTCTTTCAAATTAAGATGGTGAAAAATGATATTCGACCTTGTACACATCAATCTTTGTCTACATGCCAAAGTTGCCCTTCAACATAATTGGGTAATAACGCATGTATGTTATTTTTGAATGTGAAATCTAAGCAATGTAAAATGACAAGCATAGAAACTAGGCCACTAAAGTTTCTATCTGCTAACCCCATTTCCATTAAATGCCTGGCCTCCCCTAGGCACTTTTCTGAGTTGGTTGTATGCCAGATCTTGTCTTGTCAGAAATCTAGCATCCTACCCAAGAATATCAACTTGACATATTCTGATATGCTAACAACATTTTTATATCTGTTACCCGTTCCTTCATGCCATGCATTGTGGCCTTATTGTGGAATTGGGCAATTAAAATATGCTGATGACTGCTTCCTGATTTTCATATCCATGTAATAGATTTTCAGCACAGTCAATACTAATAGTTATTTCCTATTACAGATTCAGGCATTTGATAGAATTGATGGGGAGAAATTATTTCCACTGATCGGTGAGTCAGTGACTAGCGGATATCAATTTAAGATAATTAGCAAAGGAGTAAAAGGGAAGATTAGGATTTTTTAAAGCGTTGTCAGGATGTAGAATGCTCCATTGGCCTGTGATAGTTGAGGCAGAATCCAGATTAGTTTTTAAAAAGGAGCTAGATAGATATCTATAAAAAGAGTAATTTGCAGGAGTCTTGGGCTAAGGCTTGTCCTAAGGCTTAGGCTTGTCATTCTGTAAATTAATGAACTGAATGACTTGTTCCTTCAAAAAGCCAGCACAGACATGAATGGTCATCATCTGTGCTGTAAATTTCTCTACAGATAGAAAACTGACTACATGAGTGACTAGAAAAACTTCCTAATGAGATTAAGACACTGTTTGCTTGGAAGCAATTCCTGATTCCTTTTCCAAAATACATAGCCACCTTTTATAATGCTGCCACCTCAGTCCTGTATCTCATGCTCTGTTATAAGCAGAGTGAGAAAACTGGCCAGCTCATCACAGACGTCACTTCACCTGCACACCATTTACGTGTACTGTGTGCAAGAAGCACCCCTAATGTGATTTCCTTTGTGAAGTGAAGTCAGTGATGTTTCTTATACATAGTGCACATGCGGAAAGGACATTAACAGCAATCTGATGACCTGGAAAGCTTATCTGCACCACAATGCAGACATATCACACTTCTAGTTAGCAGGGATCCATAATATAAACAAAACAATTCTAATTCCAAATGTATTCTAATGGGATTCAGTAGATTAGTTTGGGCTTGTCATTCTGTAAGAAAAATAAACTTAACACAAAGGTCGATTCAGAATTAAAGTTGTAATAGTAACTTGAATTAAGTTCAACTTAATACATTAACCATATGAAATGTTTTTTCAATAACAGGGGAGCCAGGTTCAAAGGTCCACGCACACATTGACGAGGAGGATTTTACTGCTAGAATTGTTACTGACCATGGAGAATATAATGTGGAGGTACATTTGACTCTTAATTTTGGGGATTGGGGTGTTATATTCCATGCAAACATACTTTATTTTAGTCAGCCAAATGTCTGACATGTGGAAACCCATCAAACTTGTACAAAGAGATTGTACATTAGCTCTGCTTGCATATTTGTTGTATGTTGTAAAATTTAAAAAAAACTTCCATTTTAAAAAAAAGTGATTCCAAGTGGAACTGAAGTGACAGATTACCTCGTAGGTCTCGAGTAGGAATTCCTGCATCATTGCGTGTATAATGGCTTTCTCAAGCTAATGTGTTGAAAGTCCAACATTTCCTGAGTGCTTGGCATTACTCAGTAACTTATTTATGTATTGTTTTTAATCGTGGAAAAATTTCTTTTTTTCCCCCAAATTCAGCAGTTTTACGCAGAATTATGCAGAAGGTGCAGGTGACCTTAATACTTTTGAAATATTCTGAAATATAATAATAATCCTTGCATTTGATATAGAGCTTATCACGTCTTCACGACGTCTCAAATGTGCGTATTGCTCTAATTTATATTGGATGAAGCACTTTTTTAAAAAAATTGCAAATTTAAATGTTTCATTGAGGAATAATCAAAGTGTTATCTGCTATAATTAATAGTAACTTTACACCAATGATGTTTTTTCGGTTAACGTTTTTGAAAGCAAATTACAAATTGAATCCACAATTGTTTCTGAGACACTGCTGTGCACAATTGGCTGCTGCATTTCACCCACAAAATATGCAGTCGATTCATTTTGCAGTATATTCTGTGAAACGCTTTGAGGCGTCTCGATGACGTCATGAGGCTCTATCAAATGCAAGTATTATTATTACTATTACAGTGTAAGTAGAGTATATTTGATATAACTTATCTAGTTTAGGAACTTATTGGTAACTTTTTCTATTCTGGTTCTAGCCACTATGGAGATTTGTCAATTCTGCCCCCACTGAGAAATTGTTGGCATACAAATCTGAAGATATCCGGGAAATTGGTCGTTTGAAATCGACAGAAGTTTGTGGCTATATCAAGCTGAATAACTCCGAGCTCTTGTCTGAAGACAATCTTGATGATAATGATTTTGATGATACAGATGCATCTTCAGGTAAACATGTATAAGAAACTGGTGCGTTATTGCACAGAATTGCATTCTTTTCCCTTCAGTGGTGGCTTTATATTTTACGGTTGCTGCTGATCTAATAGCAGCAGAGGAATTAATGCATGGCAAACATGGCGGGTGGGGGGTGGTAGTTAGAGCGGGAGTAAGAGTTAAGAAAGGGGGAGTGAGAGAGAAAGACTATGAGAGGGAGAGATTGAGAGAGTGTGTGAGAGAGAGAGTGAGGGAGAAGGAAGTGTATGTGAAGGAGAGAAACAGAGAAAGGGGGAGATTGAAAGAGAGTTTGAGAGGGAATAGAGAGAGTGTGTGTGGGAGAGAGGGAGTGAGAGAGTAATTGAGAGAGGGTAGTGGAGAGATGGGGGAGAGAATGGTTGAGAGGGGGAGGTGGAGTGTGAGAGGGTAATTGAGAGTGTGTGTGTGCGAGAGTGAGAGAAGGGGAGAGGAGAGCGTCTCCCTCCCTCTCTCTGTCCCCCAGTTTCCCCCTCTCTCAATCCCTTTCTCTTCCTCCCCTCTCTCTACCCCACTTACTCTCTCCTCTCTCCTCCGTCTTTCTCTTCTATTTCCCAATCAGTCGCGCAGTTCACTATCTGCAGTGGCAGGAGCCGGCAGTTGGTAAGAGACACGCTGACAGCCTGCGGTAAAGGCTCTCCACTCTGCGTCCTCCCAACCGCTGGCTCCTGCCGCTGCCCTGGGAGGCCTTTCACCAGGGAGTGAGGGAGTGGAAGTTGGAATGTTGAAAATGGTCTCGGGCTGGATAAAATCACCGACCGGGCCGGATGTGGCCCCTAGGCTGCCCGCTGGCCCACGCTGGATCCGGCCCGTGGACCTTTCTCAAATAGGGAATCTGGCCCACGGCAACCAACAGTTGTGCATATGCTTATCCTCCACCTATTTTAGAAATCTGTTTTTATGTGTTGTGTTAGAAGCTCCTTCTCAGCCAGTAGAGTCTGACTTGTGCGCTTTATTTGTTTTTTTTTCGGTTCAAAACACATTTTTTAAACAAAGGTGAAATGGAAAGAACTATGGAATTTGACTTCCATGGAACCTAGGCAGTCTGTCTGTGTCCCGACTATTAAAGAGAGCTGGCTAATTTGGACGGGGTAAAAACCTTCAGGCTGCTATATAGAACAGTGTTATAGTTTATGTGGAAATTATTTACCCTTTAGGGTCAAAATCTGTTTGACATGCTGCAAGGTTAGCTGGACCAAGACCGTATGTATGCATATCTATAATAGGGTATATCATGCTTATATATTTTTTTAAATGAGACTTGGTTTTCAACATGAAATCAAACCTGTCTTCATCTTATGACTGTTCACCTTCAATAATAATAATCTGGGAAAGTGTGAAGTACATATTTGCATTCCCGTATTTTATGAAATGACAGGAATCTCAATCCTGATTCTGCAGTGTATTCCCTGTCCTCAAGCACTGCACCTTTATTTAAATGTTTTTTCCAATTTGCTATTGTTTAATTGTAATTTTTCTGCATTGTATACAGGATTGTTCATTCAAATTTTTCCACAACCTCACTCCACCCTAGCTCTAATGCTGTAACCTGCCAAGCCAGTCATCTTTTGGCCATTTTGCCCTGTTCTCTGGAACTCCAACTTTGCCCGCTTCCCTTCCCACTTTCAAGAGCTGCTTCAAGACTTAAGTCTTTGGTCGTGCTTAAAGTCATCTTTCTCCCCCCTCCTCCCCCCGCATCACCAACCCGAGTTCAGGTGGGCAAAGCTGTGAAAAAACCTAATGGAATCCAAGGTTTTATAAAGTAAGGAAAATAATCTGAAACCACAAAAAAAAGTAATTGATGAAAACCTAGCTTTACCGCACACACCGTGAATTCTCGGGTTCCCTCAGAAACCAGAGGTTAGCCATAAAAAATTGAAAAAACGGAAGTAAAAATAATTATCAAATATGTGTGTGACGAAAATCAGAAAAAATAAAAATTGATTTCCACCAGCCTTATTTATGAAGTTGACCTTGATCTTTCCAAATTCCAGTAAAAGCAATTAATACCAATCTTGATCATCATCATAATAATCCTTGCATTTGATACAACATCTTATACCATATCTTATACCCTGATTTGCATGGGAAATGCTCACCCTTACTTGTTTACTTGCCTCATTTTAACATGTTTTATTACATCAGCCATTGTAATCCCCATCCTTCTCCACTATTTGCCTGGGCATAGAGGATGTTTCTGAGGTAATGAATTTGTCAATTATCATTTTAGTCTTTACTGAGTGAAACACTTCAATTATTTGCCTTTTCAATGGTCCTGTTCTTACTGGAAAGCCTTGACGAGCCGCCAGTCCTCTTTGTTCACGCTTCAGGAGTGAATAGGTTTGTCTGGTTGCGCAAAGGGGTTTCTGCTTGTTATGTTCATGTTATATAAGCCTGCATGCGAAGTTCTAGTTGTGCCGTTAAGTGGCTGCTGTTTTTGATCTGACCTGCAGGCAGTTCTTAGTATCTTGTGATGTTTCATTGTGGTCAGGAAAAATGGCTGCATTTCCCTTCTGTTTAACTGCCTCAGTATAGTCCAGGGGTTCTTTTGGTTTTCTCGTTTAAGTTCTTTTTTTAGCTGTGAAAATGTCATTACTATTGAAACCAGAAGGTAGCAATGAAATGGTCTGCTCTATAATTAGCCTATGCAGGTTGGAAATTTTCAAAGTAAAATAGTGTAACATTATTATGGCGTTCCTATATTGAATGAGAAAGTATATGCCCATTGCAGAAGTGAAGTGTAGCTTATTTTATTACAAAGTCTGTAGGATTTATAGTTTTTTTTCTACATCCTTCTCAGTATTGTTGAGGGTTTGTGCCACTCTTCATCTGGTAAGGACTAGATATAAAGTATTGTGGATAATCAGTTTCCAAGTTTTCCAAAAATCTTCGTGATCTTAAATTATAAAATTGTAGTGTTAAGCCTAAGAACAAGCACAGTGTGGAGGTTGAGATATTGAGTGGATTATTTGTAACTTAGTAAGTAATTGTTTCAGGTAGGAGTAAACCATTGGTCTATTTAACCTACGCTTGAAAACTCTCAAAGAATTCCTTTGACAAATTTGTTGTCTTCTAACCCTGAATCATTTTAATCCCCATGAACTTGTTTTTTTTTAGTTCCCTAATTTCCAATTCCTACAGTGGAAAATTTCGCTGTTATTCTCAGCAATCTCTTCAAAATCACGAGATTTGAGCAACCACATTCTAATACCCTCCCGGTATAGCGCTGCATTGGTTTTGTCTTGTTGATGTCTGGCACATCCCCACTTCTAGCACTATCTGGCCAATTTCCAGTTCTAAATAATGGCTGAATCCTGGGTTTTAAGGTACCTACTGATGTCATTTCCTGAGAGATTGGACCCAGAGGGTCGCATTGTAGCAAAGTTCCCCTATCAGGAAGTTGCCATCTGAGGAGTTGTGTGTGTAAACCAATATTCTGCTGGTCTATGGCAAATACATTTGTGTCTACTTGTGGAGTTTGTGAAACCAGTATGTTATTGGCATCATTGAAGTATATTTGCAATGTTAATGTTGAACAAGTATTGTATGGTTGCTTTTATACATTGTGTACTATATGTATCCTGATGCTGAGCTGTGTCTTCCTTTCCTCCTCCCCCCCCACCCATAAAATTATAAATAAGAAATAGACCCACTGATGTTGCTGTTTTACAGAACACATCCAGCGACACAAAAGGCAAAAAGCAAATCTGGACCCAAACAAGAATACTTGTAAAATGTTGGTTGTAGCAGATTATCGCTTCTTCATGCACATGGGGAGAGGTGTGGAGAGCATTACCATCAATTACCTGGTAAGTAGGCTCACAAGGTCATCATATTTATGATGTATTTAATTATCTTATGGAGTACTGAGTTCTAGATTGGGTTGAATTAATATTAGTGACGTCACGTCAACGCAGATGCAGTTAATCCATCATGGATACATTTTTTTAAAAAAAGGTTTAGTCTGCCAATTTCTCCACTTCTCTCTCTTTACTGGATCACAAAGTACTTTTTTAAAATAAGTAAATCACCTTATAAACTAAAGTATTACTTAAAAAGTAAATGTGAGATCTTATCTTTAGGCCAACTGGGTTGCCATGTCTCAACTTCCTCTCCTCTCCCCCTAGTAAAGATTATACATAAGTAATGTAACTATGGAATCATCAATCATGTGTGAGTATTTCTTTCCCTCTTTTACACTTTGACTCCCCCCGTACAACCATTACTTAAAAGTGATGCTTCAACAGAAGTATAATGTCCCATGTTTTCACCCACAAAATATACAATCGATTTACTTTACAGTATATTCTTTGAAGCACTTTGAGACATCTTAACAACGTGATGAGGTATTATATCAAATGTAACGATTATTATTATAATGTCAACAAAGGATAAAGTCTTGAAGAGGCTGAGATAGAATCTTATTGTTGCCTTTTATCTGCCTGTAATAATCCAAGCTTCAGTGCAGCCGCACTGTGAAGAATAATATAATTGTGATGCAGTTGTGTGTATCGGGTTATTTTTATTTTGATTGGTGCGTCACAAAATGCACAAATTAAATTGTCAACTTCTTTCCTATTTGATCTGTAAAAATACCTGAATGTCGATTTTTAAATCTCCAATAATTGTTTATTTGGATAGGCCTGGTCTGGCATTGTATGATTCTTTTGGCTACATTGCAGTACATAAAATCTCAGCAGATTATGTACAAAATGTGGAAATTAATAGACCTTGTGTTAAGCTGCTGACTTGTAACCCAAGTGGACTAAATAAGTGAACGCAGACTGGTATGAAATGAGCAAATAGCAGAGTAACGGTTATCATGATTAGATGGAAAGGGCAGAGGAACAACAATTGCTGTAAGAGATTTGATTGTATTAGGATGCATTTTAAGAAGAATTGTGGAACCAAATGGATTAATAGTCTTGGGTGGGGGTTGAAATCCTAACTGAGCAGTTTATCACAAACAGTTGCAACTCAAACTCCCTTTTGTAAACACAGATTGAATTGATTGACCGAGTGGATGACATTTATCGAAATACCTCTTGGAACAACGCTGGTTTTCGAGGATATGGCGTGCAAATAGAAGAGGTAAATCACATGTACTTAAGTTCAAATATTATTAGGAACAGATATGGTGCAGCCTTGTTTTATTCTGGTGGTTGGGATCCATAAATTCCCAACTTACGCTACATCCAGACACATTGCTGGATTCACTGCCTGAGTGCAGCTGGCTGTATTACTCCTTGTGCACTGGCTGGTTCCTGTGCTTAAAAGATGTCCAGGTCATTAGATTGCCACCGACATCATGTCCTGTTTTGCACATGTGCAGAAAATGGCACGTCATTGACAACCTTATCACCTAGAAGGTGCCCATTTTAGCGGGAAGGCTGGAACCTCAGTGAACAACTGGCCCACAAAATACACAGTCATTCCACTTTACAGTATGTTCTGTGAGGCACTTTGAAAAGTGTCACCAACATGAGTAATATTACAGCCAGCTGCACTCGGGCAGTGAAACCAGCAAATGCAAGATTATTATTATATTTTTGATATTTACTCATCTTTGCAATTATGTAAAATTGGCATGCTGTCGCAGATTTGACAATGCATTGTGCACTACTGGCTCCTATTGTAGTAAAACAATTTATTATGCATCTTTGTGTGTGACTTATCAAATAGAAATTAATATTTTGCATTTAATTTTTATTTAAAAATCACTGTTTTGAAAATTGAGCTGAGATGTAATGTGAATTTGTACTTTGTTTTCTTGTATTAAGTTGTTACAAAACAATGAATGGCTTTCAAAACAGTTGTTCTTTTTTCCCTTGTAATACTAACCATTTCTTTTTTAATTACAGATTATTGTAAACAAAGAACCGAGGAAGGTTAAACCAGGGCACAGACATTATAACATGGGTGATAGCTATCCAGATGAAAAGAAAGATGCTTGGGACGTAAAGACTCTGCTGGGGGTAGGCATGAGTGAACAGGCTGTCTTAATGAATATTGCTATTAAATTGCTGACAGAGCCACTTTCAACATTCTTGAATATCTGGCTTGGAAATTGAAACAAGTCACAAATTCAAATGTATAGCAGATGTAATGAATGTCATTATATTGCTATTTATTGTCATTATATATTTTCATTATCATTCACCTTATCTACCTTTCGGTTGCTCCCTCGAACTTACAGAGGCTGTGTGTAACCTCGGTTCTGTTTGATCCTCAATTCTTTCATCTAGACTTTGAACAAATCAGTTTTTCTCCCATTTCCTCAATGTCAGTTGCCTGTGCCACTACCTACAATATTATATTTGTATAACACCTTTAATGTCGGGAGGATATGGCCGAAACCCTCATCCACACATTTGTCACCTCCAGACTTGACTTTCCAATTCTGTGCTCAAAGTTACAAATGCCATTCTGTCCATTGTGACTAGGGCTCTGTCTGCCTCCTCCTTAATCACATTTCCCTGCTTTTTCTTTGTAACCTTTTATATCATTATTCTTCAAATGGTTATCCAATTCTCTTTTAAATGCCAATTTAATAACTGCTCGTGGTAATGTGTCCAAAAAGCTTTTTGTACAATAATGCTCCTTTAATCACGCCCTTTAAATTTGATGCGTTTTATTCCTGGTTCAACAACCAGTAGAAATAATCTGACATTTGTTTCTCTGAAACTTTTTGAACACTTTATTAGATCTTTTCTTAAACTCTCCAACTCCTGCGAATACAACCTCTTTGTTTTTAAAAAAGAGGTCAATATAAATATATCCTATCAAACTTGATATAATTCTAGTAAATCTATACTGCCTCCTGACCATAGTTCTAGTTTTATATTGTTAGTGTCACTTTAAGAGTTCACAATGATTGCTAGACTGAGAAATGAAAGGCTGCACTGGGAAAAGTGGACATCTATGCATTCATTTCATTGGGTGTGAAGATAACTCTAGTGTCAAACTTGATGAGATTACGTTGATCTGATTACATTATAGAAATGATACCACAAACATGTACCTCCAGCATTTTTGTGTAGGCTTTATAATTATTCAGTAAGATAGGTAATTTTGCTTGGAACTTAGCTAGTACAAATCCAGCCTGACTCAGTTGGTAGCTCTCTCGTTTCTGAGTCAGAAAGGTGTGGGTTCAAACCCTCATTGGGACTTGGAATTTAGATAGTCTAAGGTGACACTCCAGTGCAGTGCTGGGGGTGTGCTGCATTGTTGGAGGTGCTGTCCTTCAGATGAGACGTTAAACCGAGGCCCTGTCTACCTGTTCAGGTGGATGTTAAAGATCTCATGGCACTATTTGAAAAGAGAAGGGAGTGCCGAGAGCCAACAATCCCCCAAATACAATTGTTATTTGTTTTGTGGCTGTTTGTGGGTCATTGCTATGTGCAAATTGGCTGCCATGTTCCTCCACAAAACAATCACTCCATTTTGCAATGTATCCTTTCTTTGGGACACCTTCCTGATGTGAAAGAAATAAGAGAAGACTTTTGGGCATGGGGTGCCATTTTGGCCTGATGTTGCTCAGTTTTATAATGAAGGCGTTAGCCCCAAATGAAAAAAAANTTACAATCATTGAAGTCAGTTTTGACATTGCAGCATTGTGGATGGAGTCAGTGCAGTGGTGGTATTTGGCGCTGCTGGGTACAGCAACACTGGAATGTATTTAACAAGTAAATGGAAACTTTAGAAAAAAATTATAATTCCATATCAAAAGTTTAAATTGTATAGACCCAGAGGCACTAAGTACTGTATCTCAAGCGCTCCGGGATGCTACCCCTGCGTGAAGGGCACTAAATAAATGCAAGTTGTTGTTGTCAGGTTCCCAATCAGCTCCAGCTCGCTGAAGGGGAGAGAAAATAAGGGAAAAGTCCCACTGGTTTTAGTGCTTTATTGCTGTAAGGACATTGGAGTCATCTTAAGATCAAGCCATGGGGTCAACTTTTCAGCAAGGCTGTGCAGACTGAGGATGGGAGATAGAAGCATTTCATCAAATTTGCATGTTTTTTTAACAAAAACTCAAGCCAAAAGCCTAGAATAAACAGAAAATATCTTAAGTTTGTTTGTAGTTCCATAAATGTTCGAGTTTATAGAATTGCATTTTTATTTCAGCCCATATCCTCACTCGCACTAAACACCACACACTCATCACCCCAATCCTCGCCAGGCTCCATTGATTTGGAGATCCTCAACATCGCATACAAATCCCTTCTCCCCCGCCTTTCTGACCTGCTTATACCCTACTCCTCTGCCTGCACCCTTCGTTCAGCTGGCATAGGCCTGCTGCATGTACCCGACTCCTCCCCACTACTATCCTCCCCACTGGGCTTTTTGTCACTCACCCCCTGCCTCAATCCCTCTGCCTTGCCCCTTCCGTTTCTATCTTAAATTCTGCCTCAAGCCTCACCTCTTTAACCTTGTCTTTGGTCATCTCCCCCTTGCTCAGAGTCCAACCCTGCCACTGTGCAACGCTCTGACACACTATTCTGCGTGAATGGCGTGCTACAAATGCAAGTCATTGTTGAGGTGAACTGCCTCAAAAACAGGGAGTTTAGGTATATTTTTATATCTCATTGACTTTCTGCTATGGCTAAATACCGGACATTTTTTATTTTCCATTTTTCAGCAATTCAGTTATGATATAGCCGACAGGGCTGCCAAAGTTTGCCTCGCACATCTCTTTACCTACCAAGATTTTGAACATGGAACACTTGGGCTTGCTTATGTTGGATCTCCCAAATCAACGGCATTGGGAGGCATTTGCTCTACATGTAAGAATAAATACAGTCACTCCGCTTTACAATATATTCTGTGAAGTGCTTTGAGACCTCAATTATGTGACAAGACTCTATGTCAAATTATTATTATTTTACATGTAAATGACAATCTATACATTGTTTCATTGATGTTTTGGGGTGTAAAATGTGTTTTTAAGCTGTATATTTGTTATATTGCTCACTGTCTTGAAATCAAAGGGCCTGAAATTAACTCTGAAACCCCAAAACGTATTTTTTATCCTTTTCTTTCATTGGGTAAAACCCTTTAATAGCAGCATCGTCTCGGAATGTTCTTCCACCAGACTATCAGCATTCAACAAAAGATCAGGAGGTGTACCTCAACACTGGATTAACCAGCACCAAAAACTATGGGAAAACCATCCTTACAAAGGTAAATCACTCCTAATCATTAAAGAATTCAAAGAAAAATAAAGCCTAATCCATTCCTGCTTCTGCTGGGGGTTTAGCTCTTGCTTTTGTGTATATGAACTGCAGTTGATGGCTTGGCATTTTTATGAAACCCTTTGTTGGGGATTTTTGTCACCTGGGATGCTGGAATTCTGTGCTCAGTCTTACTGGTAGTTAATTCTAAAGCAGCCGTGCTTAAAAAAACAAAATCCCTAGGTGGGAAATTATTATTTGCATTCCAGGTGCCTACGTCCAGGATGTGCATTGGATAGTTGCAGTACCACTGTAGCTTTTTTACCATTAGATTGATTTCTAGCTGTGGGTAAATACCACAGTAGTGGCTGCATCCATTTGGGTAGATTGACTGTGCAGGAACTTTAATCAGTTGAATAAAATCAGAACATCCTGGAAATTCAGTTGGCCAGTTGTTGTTTAAAAGAGAAATAGGTTGACATTTTCAAATAATTAGTGTAAGCTGTTTTGGCCTCTAGGTGCAGGTAACAGACATCTGAGAAATTTGATTTATTGTGGTATTGTAATTGGAGCCAGAATAAGCTGCTATTCGGATATTTTGTTTCTCCAACAAAATACACAGTCAATTCACTACAGTATGTTCTGTGAAGCGCTTTGAGACATCTCAAACGTGATAATAATAATCCTTGCATTTGATATAGCGGCTTATCACGACTTTGAGATGTCTCAAAGCACTTAAATAATCAAATGCAAGGATTATTATTGAAAAAGATGCATTTTACTTAGCATAATTGTTTTGTACTTTGAGACAAAGGTTCTTGTTTGGGGTGAAAGACAGATGCATGTGCTTGTCAATGCAACACTAAAAGGTAAATAGTGCATCATAGCTTACCCGATATTTTTTTCCCCCACCAATTTTTTCTTTAACGTTTTTCTTCAAATTAATCACATTCTATCTAACTTTAGAGTTCGTTGGCCCGTACTCAGATCTAATATTCATAATAATCCTTGCATTTGTTATAGCCCCTTATCACGTCGTTGAGACATCTCAAAGCACTTCACAGAATATATAGTAAAGTGTAAATATTGTTAAGATATCTTTCACAGATTTTATGCCTTCATTTTAAGTGTAAAAGTAATCCAGTTTAATTGGAATAACTCTTAATTACATGTATTTCTCTAATATTTGTTGCCTTCCAACATTTAGTATTGCAAGCACACAAAAAGTATTTAAGTTTTTTTTTAGTCTGTTTATTTTTAAACCTTATGTTATTAAGTAGAATAGAATGCTAATAATTCTAATAGAATGCAAATTGAGCCCCACTGTGGATATAATAATACAGACACCAGGTCATCACATTAACTGTGGTGGACGGTACAAATCAAAAACTTTATCCATCAAGAGTTCTACTGTCAGTATTGTAAACACTCTGCCAACACTTTTGTCTGCTTGTATGTCTGCTTCTCACAATGGGTCTAATACTCTCCATAATTAGACAAGCAAGGCATATCCCTCTGGGCATAGTGCACATTCCTTTCCAGACAGAAATTTCCAGGTCTAGGTAGCATTCACAGAACTTTTATCTGGTTTGGACACTCTTATGTATGGTACTGGTTTCCCACATACTATTCTCTCTCTTTCTTCCCCTCATTTTTCTCACAAGTTAACCTGGACACCAGTTATCTGACAGGCAGATACTGACATGCAGATATGTTCCTTGAACTAGAGATGCACCTTTTCTAACAGGACGGGGGAATGATATTTTACTCTCTTAATGTTTTTTAAATTTCTGTATTTCAGATTCTCAGTATGTTTTATGTCCTGGCTTTGATCAAAAGGTTAAACAAAAAAAGGATATTTGTCACGGTGCAGTGTTTTTGTATCTAAATATTTAAAAATACCATTCCAATTGTGAAACAGGAAGCTGATTTAGTCACTACTCATGAACTGGGCCACAACTTCGGAGCAGAGCATGATACAGATCACAACGATTGTGCCCCAACTGATGACGATGGTGGGAAATATGTTATGTACCCTATAGCAGTGAGTGGCGACCAAGACAACAACAAGGTAAAGAAAATTTGAACATTTTGTTACATATCATTTAGAGCAAGTGATCACAATTCTCATTTTGACTTTACTGTGAAATAAACCCTTTCTTGATGGATTACAAACAGCAAACCTGTTAGATTAGGAAAACTGTGTAGTTGAAAAAAAATGTTATGAGGAAGATTCCCCTGAACCAAGACTAATTTGGAGTCCTGTAGCATATTGGTTAGAGCGCTTGCCTCGTAAGCAAGAGGACCTAGGTTTGATTCCTGAGCAGAGTGGAACGTCAGGCAAGTTTCCTTACTCCACACGCCTCTGTTTACCGAGCAGTAACTTTTTAGTCGATTTGGTGGATTGCTTTTCCGGGGGTAATTCATTTTTTGAAAACAAAAATGTGGTCACTCAATACGTGACAGTGGGACAGTACCTTGTGCAATTGGCTGCTGTGATGTGCCCACAAAATATACAGTCAATTCACTTTACAGTATATTCTGTGAAGAGCTTTGAGAGGTTTTGAAGATGCGATAAGGTGCTATATCAAATGCAAGGATTATTATAATGTTGATTATATTTTTGAACATCATTTTTATGAAAAGTCTTAATTATTTTAAATTTGTAAATATTGTGAGCACTTTGAAATAGTTATCGCCATAGTTTTAGTTTCTAATGTTCTCATTATGGGATGTTAAAGTTTATTATAAGAAAAATCCCCCCCTTTCCTCTTTCGAGGCCTGTCTCGAGGCCTTCCTCTTTCGACTGCGCCTTCGGTCACCCTCGCAGACCCATCCTCCCCACCTTCCACCCTTCTTAATCTCAACCCTCAGCTCGGGTGCACATCCTTGACTGTCCAGCGCCTCCTGATGTGTAAGGCACTATACAAATGTAATTTGTTGTTGTTATTACAACAGTTGTAGATATGAAATGGAATCTTTCATGTATCTTAACAAAACACTAATTACTACAACAACAATTTACATTTATATAGCGCTCTTCATGCGGAGTAGCGTCCCAGAGCATCACAGTGGAATCTACATACTGTAGTTTAAAGGTCTGCATTGTATACTCTGATGATATGTAAACCCTTGCACCAGGTTTGAAACCAAAATGATTTGGGTGAAATTTAGCGATTCTAAATGCAGTGCCTTTTCAATGTTTCCTTTTCAGTTTTAACAGTGTTTGCACTGGGTTGAGGTTTGAGATCTGGAAGAAATTAGATTTCTGGTGGCATTTGAATAGTGTGAAAAATGAAAACAGCCACCCAATTAAGTACGATGCTACATGATATACAAATTGCAGAATGGGGTTGTGATGTATTAAAAGCTGAGATGATGTTAGTTGTTTAACCAATTCAACAGCAGATTGATTATTGACCACAACCATTTTTTAACAATTCTATTAGAAGACCATTTTGTGTGTGTGACTATTGTACTTTAATAGAAATAGCAAAATTGATTTTTAACCTTTGACATGTTTTTAGGTTCAGGAACTTTGCACTGTTGCATCCAGATTCTCAGAAGTAGGATAGATAACGTCAGGATCTACATAGTGACCTACATAGGTAACTTGGTCTGGAAAGCAATCCATTTAGTTTGAAGTACCGCAGCATCCTTTCTCATTACTGAAGATGTTCCAGCTCAGTACTTACAGTAATTAAAATATCTAGTTATCTAGTTAACCTGTTCTGAGTGAGCATTTCTAGGGCTTGTTTCTTTTTTTTGAAAAAAGTAGGAGGGACACATAGACACGTCTATCATAATAGTACACCCTCTTGCACATGTTAATAGACAAATCTTGTTTTTAGCATGTTAAAACAATATCCGATTCTGAGCAACTAATTATTAAATGTGTGATTCTTCAGCGGTTTTCAAACTGCAGCAAGCGGTCAATTTATCAGGCGCTGATTAGTAAAGCACCCCTGTGCTTCCAACCACGAAACAACAAAGTGTGTGGGAATTCGCGTGTGGATGAGGACGAAGAGTGTGATCCTGGGCTGATACATCTAAGTGATGACAAATGTTGTACTGAACGATGCAAACTCAAACCAGGAAAGAGATGCAGGTACAAAATGATTACTCACATTCCACTTGTCAAAATAACCAGTGTTAGCATGTTTGTATTTAAAAGGTGCTGCCTGTCTGGTATTTATATAATGGTTGCTGTTAATATTTTTAGCCTTAGAGTGCTGGTGTCCAGCACCCTTTCAGAGGTTCACCAGACACCCTCTGAAGCAAAGCTTTGAGCTATATCTGGTCAAGTTGAATGGTCACAACTTGAAGCCCTTAGCTCGTTACTTGTTTGGTAAGCAGATTGACCAGAGAGTAAGATCTAATTGCACTTTGAATCCAAGAAATTCTTCTGTCACGGATGGCTGTAGGTGCATCCTCTAAATAAAGCTTCACAATTTATTTCATAAGAAGTTTCAGTGTTTCATCTGAGCTAAATGGAGGGCGTGTAAAATCAACAGAATTGTGCTGTTATTTCAAATATTGTGAAGAGTTTAATCATATTTAATTTAAACAGTTTATATTGTAAATCAGAAACTTATTGAAAAGAAATGTTCTGTTGAAGACTTTGAAGGCTTTGATATCCTGACAAATTCTCCACAATATTGTTTTAAATTGTAGAAATGTTGTACTGCTTAACATGGTAAAGGAAATTGAGTGGAAAATTATATGAGCACATTTTTCAATGTAACAGATGTACAAACTGAATCAGTAAATGTGTATTTTACTTATTAGAAAGGACTTTGGGTTCAGTAATAATTTTCCATTACGTTTTGTATGGTTGAGATTGTTTGAAGGAGCATTTTTTAACAGTGACAAACTTGTAACTTTTCTTAGTGATAAGAACAGCCCATGTTGTAAGAACTGTCAGTTTGAAAAAGCAGGAGAGAAATGTCAAGAGGCAATTAATGCAACGTGCAAAGGAACATCTGCCTGCACTGGTGAGTGCCAAGAACATTTGCAAATAAGTTTTCTGGAAGCCTTTTTTTTTACAGTTTGCATCTATTGGTTCTAAGGAAAGAAAATACTTTACAATTTAGATGTTTTGCAAAATGAAATGGTTTCTGTAAATCTTATGGTGACTGAACTTTTTGTATTTTGTATTTGTCATTTCCCACAACTTATGTGCCTTAATATCAAGTCTTGTTCTCTTACATGCAGATTTCAATTTCTTAAAACCTCTTATTTTTAGGAAAGGACAGCTCTTGCCCTCCTCCTAGTAATGCCGAAAATGGTACGGTTTGTGTGGACATGGGGAAGTGTAGAGGTGGTGAATGTATTCCATTCTGTGAGACTGAGCCGATACACCTAAAATCATGTGCCTGCAATGGTGAGTGAGAAACCCTGATTCCTTTAATTTTGTATTATTTTTAGTAATGCCTTGGTTTTGAACATTTACCATAAAATGCCTTGCTTGAATAAAAATCTTGTTGACTGATGTACCTTAGGCATTTCACTGGATAGGCATATTGTACTTCATAATGTTACATGTAATGGAATTCAATCCTATATCACAGTTACGTTAGAATAATGTGCCTCTCTCCCTGGATACCATTTCTAACAAGGGGATGTCATGCCCCCAGTCATATTGCTGAAGGAGGTGTGTAAGAGTGACCTCACTGGAAAAATATGTGATGCCTATTATGCACTTGCCCCATCCAATGACACACCACATTTTGCTCTGCTTTCTCACGATCTGAATCTATACAGCAAACCCTTTCATCCTCACTTTTCCCCCACTCATTTTACCATTTCAGAGCAGGAATGATGATTCACTTTGACTCTTCACTGAGATAATTGAATAGCATTTACAATCCCATCAATTGGCAAGATGGTACGAAGGTTCAGTCCCTGATCAGAACACCACCTATGTTCTCTTCCTTTAGCAAAACTGAAACCTGAAGATGTTTTTCATTTTGTACTTGGTTTTAAATACAGTTGAGTCCACTTCAGAATTCCTTTCTTAGAAGGAATTTTCTCTCCAATATATTTATGGGGCATTCTGGTTGAGTTTAATGCCAGTCTATCAATGCAAATTTTGGATGTTTGCCAGGATAAAAGGAAGATTAATATGTTGTTTGAGGTTAATGTCTTCTTTCTGTGTATCCAAGGCATCTGGTTTCAATGAACTAAAAGTCAGGTTGTCAATTCAGATTAATGCAATAGTAAATCCTGACTTTCAGTGTACTTTACGGTATAAACACATTCTGCCAAAATGTTGCAATTCTTAAATGACTTTAAGGAGAGTCTCTTGCTGAACACACAAATGGACCGTGGATGTGTCTGACTACAGACAAAGAATCACGTGTTGTGCTGAATTTCTGATGTTAGCTTGGGTGTGACTGAGATGCTGGTGTTAGTCTAGGCCTCCTCAGTCTTAGGAGGATAAAATTAGACAGGGTTCCAACTCCTGAGTGATATCCAGGTATCCTTGTCCAGGCTTTCTTGAATTTAGAAAAACATTACAAATTATTTGCACACAAGATGATCAATAGCAAAACAGGTTCCCAGGAAGGATAGTGGAGACCTGAACATTATCTCCTGTTAAAGGGAAGATATAAGATATAAGATTGTTCCTCCAAACAATTGAACTGGACTCCAGCATAGTTACTACCGAGATAAGGGTGGACATGGGAAGAGACTGAAGGAAAATCAGGGGAGGACAATATTCAGACTGGAAACACTTAAGAATCGTGTATTTTCTGTTCATTAAATTGTTGCAATTACTGTTGCACATAAATCATTTGCGTAAAGTTGCATTCATGTGCACCTATTTGCATGTATTAACCGGTAGCTATATGTAAATTTGTCCAGTCATAACTCAAGAAATTATTTTTTAGAAACTGACAATTCCTGTAAAGTTTGCTGCCGAGATAATGGAATATGCCGTCCATATGAGAATAACAGCGAACAGTTTCTGTATCTGCGGAAAGGGAAGCCCTGCACTGTTGGTTTCTGTGATGGAAATGTAAGTGACATCTTTTACTGCCATTAGTGAAATCTATTTATCCTTATTTACATAGACTGACTGAGTGTATTATATCAAGAAGATCTATTGTTCACATTATTTAATGAAAATGCATGCGCTTATTTGGAAGAGATTTATTTTTGGTTTATTTGAGCGTTTCTTTCATAAGGTTTGCATTTGATCTAGTGCCTTAAAACATGTTGAAATTTTGCAAAAGCGCCTGACACAGTGGGTCTAAGAAAAGCAACTTTTGGAATAGAAATGTCCCTGTATCTAAAGTGGAATGTACCCTCACTCCCTATTTGCTTATGTTTGGAGAGTATTAGGTGCAGGTCGGTAAGAGCCAAGTCTTCGATACCCCGATATCTCCGATTGGGATACTGCGAGGTTTTAACCTTCTAAACGCATGGCATAAATCTATGCAAAACTTATCATTGCAAGCACTGTCTGGCAAACTTCCCAATGCTTGACCAGCTGGGCCACCCTTCCTGTTTGGGATTTGACTTTCAGCATTAACATGAGCTGAGTCGGAATAAATCCTAATTATCAGTAACTGGTCTGCTCCTCCAAACCCTGCCGACAAGCCAGGCTGGCTGGTGTGTCATTAGCAGTACCATGGAGTATAGCAAATCCACCTGCTTCAGGAACCAGACTACTGCCATCGGCACAGAGGGTCGACTCATTTCCAACATTTCATCCAAGCCCGTCATTTTGAAGCCAACTTTGCCCCAAGGAGACCTCACTTACCTCCCTTCCCCCTTTGTTGGCGCATTTTTGCTAAGTTTATGTTTCTAACGGCTATTTCTTAAGAAAATGAGGATTCTCTAGCATGAAATAAAGATAGTAAAGATGCAGTAAAGAATAAAACAGATGAACCATTCTTCTTGTGTAGCCCAGAGCAAGAACTTATAGTAGATGTAGCTAGAAAATTCAGGGAGTTTCAAGGAAAAATATAACTTTGATTTAAGGGGGGTTTTAGTCTTATTAACTTACTGTTGTGCACTATTCTTCAGGCCTGATAATGTATATAGGAATACTACAAGTCTTATATTTTACTCACTTGATAAATGCATAAAGCTGGTTTTCAAACCCACTTGAGAAAAAAAATTGTTGATGTTGATTTGCACATGTCCTTGGTGTTTGATGCCGCAGAAAACTCCTGTAACGTTCTTGTACAACCCCCCTGCCCCACCACACTATTGCAGATTTCACTGTTATTTCTCTTTGTATTCAATGAACTAGTTCAGTGTCTGGAGGGAGAAAGGAGATTCCCTAGAGGATCCCTCTAAAATGTATTGTATTTTAAACACTTGTAAGTGACTTTCAAGAACTGTTAGGTACCCTCGGTCTGACGCATCACGTTTAAACAGTGTCGCTTCACTGAGATTCTCAACCCAAAAGTGAAACACCTAATACTAGTAAATGGTTCATTACATTTCAAAACATCTTTGAAAGTAACGTATTACAGACAGGAGGAGTTCAAACATTTACATCCTGCTTACTACCCATTGTAAACACAGATGTGTTTGCTCAGAAACTGCTCAGTAATGTGGTTGTGGTGTGAATTTGAGTTGTCAGTTGGAAAAGTACCAATAAAATGTAAAGCGGTGTGCTTCATTATCTGATGAGATTACAATTCCTGGAACATTGGGAGACTCTACAGGGCAACTAATTGGAGTTTGATAGCTGGTTGATGGGAAGAAATCTTTTAACAGGCTCCCCAAAAGTACTGTTATACAAATTAAATACCAGACAAACAATTAATATGGCCTTTGCCAATCTTCTGCACTCTAATGTCACAAAGAGTTGGCAGTACGGCAGGTAAAGAAAATAAACATAACCTTTCTAAATAAAATGCTTTACAATTATTTAAAATTTGACTTGCTATTTTACAGGTATTTGAATAAGAAGGAAGTAATGATTAATCAAAGCCTATTAAATAGAACTGTTCAGAGAGGAAAGTGATTATTGCTCCTTCTAGATTTATAAGGAGTTCATACTAATGGATAATACTTCAATGTTTTTGACTTGTGTTTGCTTCTACAGGGTAAATGTGAAAAGCAGGTACAAGATGTTATAGAAAGGTTCTGGGATTTCATTGAGAAATTAGATATCAATACCTTTGGTAAGTTGAAACTGCTGGATTCCAGATTGTTCCTGTTTTATAACTTGCTGTGTGCTTGAGATAGACGTTAAAGATCCATGGCACTAATCAAAAAGAAGATAATTTCTCCCGGTGTCTTGACCAACACTCCTCCCAATAAAATTGGCCATTTACTTTGTGGCTGTTTGTTGGACATTGCTGCATGCAAATTAACTGCCGCTTTCGCTCACATAAGACACAGTCACTGCATTTTACAATGTTGGTCTGCTTAAGTGTTCAAAATCAAACTTGCAAATTAAATTGTAAATTAAATTGTGAATTAAATTTGGGACATCTTCTCAACGTGAAAGGTGCTACACCAAATATAAGGATTATTAGTGTTGAGTCCTGTAGCTTAGTGAGCACTCGCCTCGCAGGCGAGAGGATCTGGGTTCGATTCCCGGGCAGGGTGAAACATTCTGCAAGTTTCCTTACTCCACATGCCTTTGTTTACCTAACGGAGCAGCAACCTGGTTGTTAGTCGATTGGTGGATCACTTTTCAGGGGGTAATAATACCTTAAAAAAAATTGTGCACTCGATCCATGATTGTTTGTGGGACACTGCTGTGTGCAGTTGGCTGGCGGGTTTCGCCCACAAAATATACAGTCAATTCACTTTACAGTATATTCTGTGAAACATTTTGAGACGTCTTGAAGATGTGATAAGGGACTATATCACATGCAAGGTTTATCATAGTAAAGTAATCCTTGCATTTGATATAGCATTTTATCACATCAATATGCCTCAAAGTGGTTCACTGAGTTTTTTTTCTACAAAGTTTAGTAACTGTTTATTTGTAGTCAAATGCAGAAGCCAACTTGTGCACAGCAATGTCCCTCAAATAGCCAGGACGTGAGTGACCAATTTACCTGGGAGATTGTTGGCCAGAACACCAGGAGAAACTCCCTTCTCCTTTCAAATAGTTCCACAGAATCTGTAACATTCACCTGGACAAGGGACCTCAGTTTTATCTCTCCGAAGAACAGCACCTCCAATAGTGCAGTTCTCCCCAACACTGCAGTTAGTCAGCCAAGATTGGAAGTTCAAAGTGTCGATGTGGGGTTTGAGTCACAGCTTTCTGCCTCTGAGATGAGAGTCTAACAACTGAGCTAGGCTGACACTGACAGACTCATAACATAACAGTAACCAGATGGTGTTTGGTAAATGTATTTACCACTCTCCAACTTTCAAACTTGAATTTGGAGACTACTTCTTGATAGAAGTGTTCGGGATTATGAGAGGTTTTGGTAAGATAGATAGAAGCTATTTCTGCTATTTCATGATTGGTGAGTCTCAAGGATATACATTGATAATCAAAGAAGAATAAAGGGAATTTAGGAGAATTTTTTACTAAGGTATTAAGATATAGAATGCCCTATCAAAGATGATGGTTGATGTAGAATCCATAATAGCTTTTAAATGGAAATTGGACAAACATTTGAAGAAACACATGAAATAGGAGGTAAGGGCAGGAGAGTGAAACTAAATGGATACCTCATTCAGAGAGCTGGCACAAATATAATATAACAAATTGGTTGCTTTCTAAGTTGTACAATGATAAGGTTTTGTACTGTAATTTGAAGGTAATCCTATTTTCTTACAGGAAAATTTCTGGCGGACAATATTGTTGGATCGGTTGTAGTGTTCTCTCTTTTGTTTTGGATTCCTCTCAGTATTCTTGTCCATTGTGTGGTAAGGAAGATATTTCCATTGCCTAGCTTTATAACTGTACAATGTGGGTTTTGAATATATAATTCCCAAGTAGTAAGTAATATTCTATGATTATCACTCTGCTCTCTCTCGCCCCCCCCCCAATTTATCCACCTCAATCCTAGACTGTGAGCCACTGGCTTATTCCATGAGTGACCACAAATTTGTACTATGATAATATAACGGGTCAAGTGTCCAATTTTCCTTCTCCAGAAGCATAAGTTACCTCACAGCTATGGCTTGGTTGTGTAACAACTAAAGGCATTTACGTTTTTGTTTTGTTCTGCTCATCCTTCATGGTGAATCACTGCAAACAGGTTGGTTGTTCAATGGAGTGTCTCTCCATTAGTGATCTTGCTGTCTATGATGTGTTTCTCTGGACACACCTCTGCTCTCTGAATCTTTGGGTGCTAATTGGTCATTGACTTGAACATGTTCAGAGCCTTTGACACAGTCTGGTACTATGCATATCTAAACACATCAATATCTTATTGATTTACTCCTTATTCAAAGGTGAAATCCTAGTGTGGGTGGGCTTCAACCCACAAACTTCTCATCCTCAGGTGGCTGTGTTATTTTGCCACTGCAGAAAGCAAAGTTATAAAAATGAATATTTAGATTTTTATCTTCCCTTTGGATAGTTAGGTGTTTGGAGATTAAATTGCTGTGTCTGCATAGAGCTCGCACTGAAAGATAAAATATAAACATAAAATGTCACTGTCCAACCAATCACTAGGTGTTACTAGTAATTGTACAACATGTCGCACTTCACCAGCACATTTTATATGTAACAAAGATTACTAACAGCTATTAATTCTCTCTACTAACTGTTTTGAGGGGGAAAAAATGTGTGTTTATATATTCTATAAATGTTGTAATGTAGCGGAACACTTGTCAAAAAACATTGTAAATAAAATCTTTGTTCTCTTTATTTTAGGACAAGAAATTAGACCAACAGTATGAGGAGACCACAAAAACGTTCTTTCCTCCCAGTGTATGTATATCATAAATATCAGTCTTGTAATAACCAAGTGTTTGTAGATAGAATATGCAACAGAGTTGTACCCCAAATGTCATGGTAGATGTTTGTGCGATTCTTTTAGTATTTTGCTCATGCAAGTCTTGTAAAATACTGGCTAGTCTAGATCCTTGTTGAAACCAGAATTCCATAGTGTTACGGCATGGAAACAGGCCATTCAGTTCAACTCATTTGAGTCAGTGTTCGTACTTCACATGTGCCTTCACCCCTCTTTCCTCTCCTATACCACTCAATTCCTTTTTCCTTTACATATGCTTCAAGTTTCCTCTTAAATCCGTTGATGGTTTTTGCTTCAAACACAGCTTCCAGCATTGAGTTCCACATTCTCACCATCCTCTGTGTAAAGACGTTCCTGTTAAATTCCCTTTTAGATGTGCTGCTATCTTATAAAGTGAATTTCATCTGCAATTTCATCGCCCAGTCTTATTTGTCTCCATTTGGAGTTACAGTACTTAGGATTGTCAGATTTACTCCCTATTTTTGTATCATCTGCTTACATAGAAATTGTGGCCCTTATATTAGAATCCAGATATATAATAATACTCTACTTGTGGAGAAGTTGTGCTTGTGGAGTCCTGCAGCTCAGTGGTTAGAGCACTCACCTCGCAAACGAGAGACCTGGGTTTGATTCCTGGTCAGGGTGAAACCTTGGGCAGGTTTCTTTCTCCACACGCCTGATAATAATCCCTCAAGAAAAACAAACAATAGTAAATTGGTCGCTTCAATCCATGACTGTTTATGGGACACTGCTGTGTGCAATTGGCTGCCGCGTTTCGCCCATAAAATATACAGTCAATTCACTTTGCAGTATATTCTGTGAAGCGCTTTGAGACGTCTCGAAGACGTGGAAAGCGCTATATCAAATGCAAGGATTATTATAGTATAGTAATCCTTGCATTTGATATAGCACTTTATCACATCAATGTTATATTTATGCTTCCTCGTTTTGGACTCAACAAGTGAAAACACTTTCGTAATTTTAAACAGCTTTGAGGTCCTCTCTCAATCGTCTCATCTTACAAAGAAAAAAAGTATTAAAAAAACTCTAGCAGAGCAATTTGAAATCTCTTGAAACTAAACTAAAGAAGTGTTAGTTTCCTTTCAAGGGCACTTCCCCAGACAAGAGTTGCAAGTGTTGCCCTATGCAAACAATGATCCATGTGAAAGTATATGAATGAAAATCCACAACACTATAAATTATCTGCTGAGTTTGTTGATCTGCATTTTTGCATATTATTTCACATGTGTTTAAAAACTAGAATCAACTTATTTTTGTTCAATCTTTTTAATCTTGCAGAATGCCGAGATGTTCAGCAGCATAGAATCAGCCTCAGTCCGTATTGTGAAGCCATTTTCTCAGTCCACCAGTCGATTTCAACCAGTACCACCTCCAGTGACACCCATTCCTCCAGCCACAGTGCAAACAAAAGGTGACCACAACCGGATGGATACTATACAGGAAGACCCCAGTGCAGACTCTCAGATTGGTGATGACTGTCTGGACGAGGACCATTTTCCAAATAGTAGCCAGGGAGCAAAATCCTTTGAGGATTTGACGGACCACCCTGGCACCAGGAGCGAAAAGGCATCTGTATTCAAATTGCAGCGACAGACGCGAATTGACAGCAAGGAGACGGAGTGTTGAAGTGTTTTTTGCTTAAAGTCATATTTTTGAAAATGAACTATTTATCATGTCGCTTCTCTTGACACAATTCTTATTACAAGTACAGCCAAATCCACTTGTATGCACTTGATGTAGGCAAAATTCACAACATAAGGATTTTTTTTTGCTGAATCCTAATTTGTTATTGACCAGGTCAGACCCCAATAACCAGAATACATTTTGTGTACATTCATTTCCCTTTTTCTGTCGGTTCTGACCTTTGCTTTCCACTGTAGTAAGAAATTATATTACTGTTCGCAAAGCATATCTGTACATAGCCATTGGACATCATGTGAGTATTACTTTCTTAAACTTTTTTTAAAAAACGAGATACCGTTCATTTGCATTATTACTGTATGAAAGCACTGAGACATGAAAGTGTAAGATGGTAAGGAGGAAATTATATTCCAGGAAAATACCCATGACATTTAAGACTTGAAGCTTTGCCTTATAATCAAATCTGTAATCTTAACTAACATTCAGTGAATTTTTCCTCCATCAGAACTTGTAAGCAGAATGGGCACTTTTACAAATGTCACTTTGAAACAGACTTGTGCCTTTTTCTAAATGTATTAAAATTTGGGGGTATTACTGTGACTGCATTATACTTTATTAAAAAGTTTTGATTTTTAATCCTTTCTTTTTTCCAATAACCACACAAAATAGTAAATATTTAATGTAGAAAGTAAAGTAACCATGAGCAGCAATGTCTGTATTGCACAGTGAAATTGAAGACTGGCAGATTGGTTGGAACAGGCCAAGCCTCCAATCTGCATGTTATCAGTCAGTGCAGACATAATCCATTGGTAATATACAAAGTTTGTTGCTATGTTCAGACATGTATTGTTATACCCTACCTATTATTTTACCGAAATAATTAATGGCGCACATTTTAATGTGTAAGAAGCTGAATCTGCTTTCGATTTACAACAACAACAACAACAAGATTCCATTTATAGAGCGCCTTTCACGTCAGGAGGACGTCCCAAGGCGCTGCACAGTTGGGTCATGACCCGAGCAGGGGGGAAATGGTCAGGGTGAGGGGAGGGAAGGGAGGAGAGGAGGGGGGAAATGGTCAGGGTGAGGGGAGGGAAGGGAGGGAGCGAGGAGGAGGAAGAGAGTCGAGAGGGGAGCTGAAGGCACGGTCAAAGAGAAAGGTTTTGAGACCGGCCTTGAAGGAGGAAAGGGAGGAAGCAAGGCGAAGGCACTGGGGGATGGAGTTCCAGAGCCTGGGGGCTGAGAGGCTGAAGGCCCGACCACCGATGGTAGGGCGGTTGGGGCGGGGGACGTGGAGCAGACCGGAGCCAGAGGAACGCAGGGTACGGGCAGGTAGGTAGGGGGATAGTAGGTTGGAGAGGTAGGAGGGAGCAAGGCCGTGAATGGCCTTGTAGGTGAGGATGAGGATCTTGAAATCAATCCTCTGGGGGATGGGGAGCCAGTGGAGGCGAGCGAGGGTGGGAGTGATGTGGTCCCGAAGCCTGGTGCGGGACAGTACACGAGCTGCAGAGTTCTGAATGACCTGCAGCTTGTGGAGGGAGGTGGCGGGAAGGCCGGCGAGGAGAGAGTTCCCATAGTCTAGCCTTGAGGTGACAAAGGCGTGGACCAGGGTTTCAGCAGCGTGAGGGGTGAGGTAATGCCGTAGTCTGGCGATGTTCTGGAGGTGATGGAAGGCGGTGCCAGTTGTGGTGCGGATGTGAGGGAGAAAGGACAGCTCAGGGTCGAACAAAACGCCGAGGTTCCTGACTGGCTTTGAGAGGTGGAGAGTGCAGCCTTGGATGCTGATGGTGTCAGCGCCTGAGGTGCGGAGGCGCTGACGTGAGCCAATCAGAAGGGCCTCGGTTTTTCGCACGTTGAGCTGAAGAAAGTTGTCTCTCGTCCAGGACTCGATTTAGTTACCACCAAAGTTAAATAACTAATTTGTTTTGTTACAACATCCTCAGTGTCTTCCATCATGATGCCCAAACCATTACTGAAATGTTACAGAACTTTCCCAAAGGTTCTCCTCCATTTGTTTGAGTCCTGAAGATATAATACAATATATATTTATATACCGTCTTTTACGTCAGGAGGACATCTCAAAGGCCTTGACACTGTTGGCTGAGCACCTGAGCTAGGGATAGATAGGACCTGGAGTGGGTGGGGATGTTTGCTGTGTATATAGGTATGTGTAACATATATGTATATTTAATGTCTGGTCACCCTAGCATCTCATTTAGTTTGGGTTTCCCTACAAGAATTGGAGTGCTGTGTGCAGACACTTGTTAGTTTGTTATACTGCCTATCTTAACACAAGAAATGTCTATTATTTTCAAATCTTATGTAAGATGTGCCATGGCTTTTTTCGACTGTACTAATGGGATCAGCAACACTGATCGCAAGCTATTTTAAGAGGAGAGGCATAAGGAAGTGTAGTTCCTTCAAACCATCAGGTGCACAGAATATTGGTATCCTTCATTGAAATGTTGCTGAGTTCAGCCCTGAGGCTGTGACCCCATGTCACCCTCAGCCAGTGACCAAACAATGTCGCTAAGAAAGCTGCTAACAATATCAGACACAACATCTGTTAACAACCCCTTAGTACCTTTGGATTCAATAAATGGTGTTGAGCTCCTCGGCAATACCCTTCAGTTGGAACAGATATCTAGTTCTTAGACTATCTAGAACTTAAACTGCAGCTGCTGTCAAACCCAGCAATGGAGGAAGATCTCTTACGCACAGGCTTTTCACTGCAACTCATCCTTCCAGTGAGGTAGCGTCTCAATGACTTCCTTGATCAATAGTAGGGATTGCTCCCTATAAGTAATCGACTTGCTTCTTGCCAACGTTGAAAATTGCTCATGAGTGAGAATCTGTTAATTTCAGGTTTATTGATTACAATGGAAGAGGTGAGTTCAGCATTGCTGGAAGCGGTGCTTTTAAAGATGAAAATTTTGTAACTCGTCAAATGTTACTTCATAATACTTTAATCTTTGAAAAGAACAATGTTTTTATCCATAACATGATTCAGAACGAAATAATTTTAGCAAAACAAAATTACTGTTCTATGTCCTATTTAAGCAGGAAATTTAAGAGCTGATAGGATCTAGCTAGGTTTTAATTAAATACAGCCAGGAATGGGTTTCAGCTGCATTTTGGGGAAGGCGGGGAAGTGACCAGAGAGCGTGTCACTATTTTAAACTGAACAATATCATTGCCACAGCGCAGTATGTCATCGTGAAAACGTGAAGCTCTGATTAGATTTCATCTTTGGACTATCCAGATTCCATTCAAACTGAATCTGAATTTTTAATCATCCCTCGTTCCTAATATCAAAATGTTCCTGTGCTTATGTCCAATGGCCCTTGTTGCCATGTAAACCAGTGCACACTCACCTTGTTCTAGGAAAGGAACCAATAATTGGTTTGCTTTCATGACTTGTTTTCATTTGTGCCATTACAAAGGAATAATGGGAAATGGTCTTTCCTTCACTTCCCCTCCCCCACTCTTAGGAACCTTTTACTGACCAGTTTGATCCTGGTGCATTAGGAATAATAATTATCTAGAAGTAAGTAGGAACCCATTGTTAGTCGATTAGCAGATTGCTTTCTGGGGGTAATAATATCTTCTAAATAAATAATAATAATTTTGTCACTCAATCCACGAATGTTTGTGGGATATTGCCGTGTGCAATTTGCTGCCATGTTTGGCCCAGAAAATATACAGTCAATTCACTTTACAGTATTTTCTGTGAAGCGCTTTGAAAGGTCTCATCAATCCGATCAGGCCCTATATCAAATGCAAGGATTATTATTTATAATAATGATCCTTACGTTTGGTATAGTGGCTTTCACGTCAGGAAAGCGCTTCATTGTACGTATTATACATTTGAGTGAATGTTTTGTGGGCCAACGTGGCAGCTAATTTGCACACAATACTTGTTGACTCCTTAGAGCAGGGGAATAGATGGAATGTACATCAGAAATGCAGGAAAAAAACTGGAAATAAAGTAAACACAGTGCACAGTGAGTAAAAGCTGACATACACTTTAATCTGCCGTTGCTTGGCTCATGTGCAGCTTGTCGCCCAGCCCAAATGAAATGACATTTGAGGAAAGGGCAGACAGAGCTGGTGCTCGAGGACCTGACGGCACTGATAGTTTCACTTTACATTTAGCCCCCATGTACTACTGTCAACTTTTACATGTAGCTTTTTGATCCATTTGGCAGAACTCCTGTAAGATGTTTTGAATCCATTGGAGGGCTGAATCCCTGAGATTTCCCAAGTTCACTGTTTGACTTGCAGTTAGCATTCAGGTTACGTCAGGAGACTGGCTTTGGGATTCAGGTGATCTATGTTGCTCCAGTGTGGCAGGAGCAGCGGCAGACTGGCTACTTTCTGTTGCAGTAGTGGCCACAGATGTGTTTCGAGAAAGACACTTCCTTCCTCTGATAAATGCAATCCATCCGAAAGATGAGAGGAAATGTCCTGCATTGTAATATTAAAAAAAACATAAGCATCTAAAGTTCAACTAATAACACAGCTTTCATTAATTGGTTATGTATGCAAGAAACGGAAGCTGATAAATTTAGCACATTTATCTTGTGGCAAGGCTTGTATAATAATAATCCTTGCATTTGATATAGATGTAAAGTGAATTGACTATATTTTTGCAGGCGAATACTAATTGTAATGCCAAGTGAAGGTATTGTCAGCCTACCTCATTCCAAAGGCAGGCAGTTGCAGCACATTGAAACCATGTAGATCACGTAAGTGTAAAGCCTTCCAGCGCCCCCACTCAAACCCCCAATTGTTAATACTGAAATAACTAGTGAAGGCTGTGATAACACTGAATACCAGACTTTGTTGTTGGCTTTCTTTCTAGTTCCAGTACCATTAAGTTGGTAGTGCCGAAGGGAAGGTCGTAAAGGATCTGCTTGTTTTATTTTCTCTTCCAGAAGTACATCATATATGCCCAAAACCTCACCGTGTTCTCATGCTACAATACCAACCCATGAGGTTGGATCGCCCCTGTACAATGAGAGCTCCTAGCTGTAAGAGGAAATTGATCCATCAAGGGTCTCCAGAAATGCAGCTTTTCTTTATGCAGTGCCTGCAGAGATGTTTATGCAAAGTTCACCCCTAGACTTGTTCACATTGCACCTTCTCTGATACTCCTGCATTTACCAGACTTAAATGTATAAAATATAGAGAAGGGGCAGAAGTACTGACACTTCCATGTGGATCTGTTTTTTTAAAGTAAATATTTTTTTGAAAATCACATCAAAGCACTGTGGTGGAGCCCTGTGAGTAATCTTTTCTGAGACAGGCAATATGTGCTCTGGTGAACATATCATGAGGTTAATGAAAACCTTGTTTGGTGTGGCTACTTCACTGTTCTGTTTTTAATAGAAAGTTTTTAATGTTTTGTTTGGATGTTTAATATCTTGAGGTGCAGAAATTGGCAATGCCCAACTCATTTAGAGTTCATCTACATTATAAATTTCAGGCTTTTTTTTAACTGATTTAAAATTTAATTGAAATATTGTGTTAAATATAACTTTGCTTGGAATGCTTGTGGTTTGTCAGTTATGACTCGAGCTGCTATCAAAGGTCAGTGATCTGGAATGCCTGAAAGTGTGGTGGAACCAGATTCAATAATGATTTTCAAAAGGGAATTGGATATATACTTGAAAACAATAACAACAACAAGATTACATTTGTATAGCGCCTTTCACATTGGGAGGACGTCCCAAGGCGCTGGACACAGTACAGCATTTCAGACCTGAGCTAGGTTGGAGGGGAAGGAAGGGAGGTGGCCGATGGCATGGTCAAAGAGGAGGGTCTTGAGGCGAGACTTGAAGGAGGCTAAGGAGGGGGCGAGGCGGAGTGATTGGGGGATGGAATTCCAGAGGTTGGGGGCAGAGTGGCTGAAGGCTCTCCCACTAATGGTGGGGCGGGGAACGTGGAGCAGGCCAGAGCCGGCTGAGCGGAGGGAACGGGCGGGTTGATAGGGGGCTAGGATGTCACAGAGGTAGGGTGGGGAGAGCCCATGGAGGGCTTTGTATATGAGGACCAAGATCTTGAACTGGATTCTCTGAAGGATAAGGAGCCAATGGAGTCGGGCGAGAATGGAGGAGATGGGGTCACAGAGTTTGGTGCGGGAGAGGACATGGGCTGCAGAGTTCTGGATTATCTGCAGCCTGTGGAGGGAGGAGTTGGGAAGGCCGATCAGGGCATTTGCATAGTTGAGCCTGGAGGTGATGAAGGCATGAACAAGAGTTTCAGCGGCCTGAGGGGTGAGGTAGTGGTGGAGTCGGACGAAGTTACGGAGGTGAGGGAAGGCAGAGCGGGTCATGGCTTGAATGTGGGGGAGAAAAGACAATTGAGGGTCGAACAAGATACTTAGGTTCCTGACTGGCTTAGTGAGTTGTAGTGTGCAACCATGGAGGTTGATGCTGCCGGAGCCTGAGACACTGGCGTGAGCCAATCAGGAGGCCTTGCTCCAGCCTGCCTCTGCGATCTCCTAACCCCCAACCAACCCGCCCGTTCCGTCCACTCAGCCAGTGTATGAGGATGGAGTGGTCGACAATGTTGAAGGTGGCAGAGAGTTCAAGGAGGACAAGGAGGCAGAGGGAGCCCTGGTCACAGATGTTCAGAATGTCATTAGTGACTGACCAGGGCTGTTTCCGTGCTGTGGGCAGTGTGGAAGCCGGATTGAAGGGCTTCAAAGAGGGAATGGTGAGAGAGAAAGGAGCGGAGCTGGGACATGACGACTCATTCCAGGACCTTGGAGAGGAATGGGAGGTTGGAGATGGGGCGGTACCTGGAGAGGAGGGATGGATCCAGGGAAGGTTTTTTCAAGATGGGGGTGATGACGGACATTTTTAGGGAGGTGAGAACTGAACCGGTGGACAAGGAGAGGTTGATGACATCGGACAGGAGAGGGGCCAGAAGGTGGAGCTGAGAGACGAGGAGCGAGGTGGGGATGGCATCGAGGGAAAAATGCTACAAGGCTATGGGGAAAGGGCAGGGGAGTGGGAGTAATTGGACAGCTCTTTTAAAGAGCCGGCACAGGCAAGATGGGCTGAATGGTCTGTGCTGTAGGATTCTATGATATCTTGTTCGTGGTTATCTTGGGTAATCCACTTCTGGGTGAAGAATCTTCGAACCATCTCAGAACTTGGGTAATGCCACTTAACACTCAAGTCATCCTCTGCACCAGACGGTAGTTTCAATGGCAAGCTGTAGGGTTTTAGCTGGTTTAAAGGCCAAGATGCACTCTGGAGTTCTCAAGCCTTTACACTCACCTAATACTCTCTGGAATCGGGTTAGCAGGACACTTCACATTTGTGAAGAGAAAGCGTATTCTATTCCAGACATAGGTGGACCTGTGTGGAACCCTGACACATGCAGAAACCAGGCCTAAGAGAAACTAAACCAGATACCTGGCTGACCCACAAAATTACTGTGGAAAACATAGAGTGCAGGCAGATGTCAGGAACACATTTTTATGAAAAAATAATTCTGAGTTACAATAAGTTACAATAACTGTTTCCTCATTAGTTAAGTGAGTACTGATGTCATCATCAAGATTTTGGATTCGCTGAATTTATGAGCCAAAAGTCTGATCTAGTAGGGAATCCTACTGTTGCTGGGACTCTTTGCTGCTGATAATTGGGCTCCACAATGATCTCAGTAACTCCATGTCAGAACCCTACATGAGCTCATCAACATCCTTTATAACATTTATTTAAAATAACAATGTTGTCACATCACAAAGACCTGTGAAATTGTGTTGTGGCTTGATTTTATTCCATCTACCCTCCTCTCGAACGATACTGGGTGTTTTGTTTCCTTAAGGGGTGACCAACTTCATGCGTAAGCCCATATATCGTGTTATTAGACCAAAACACAAAATACTGCAGATGCTAGAAATGTGAAACAAAAACAGAAAGAGCTGGGGAAACTCAGGGGATCAGGCAGCATCTATGGTGAAAGGAAAGTGAGTCAATGTTTCGGGTCCACGACCCTTCGTCAGAACTTCGAAACGTTGGCTCACTTTCCTTTCTCCATAGATGCTGCTTGACCTGCTGAGTTTTACCAGCTCTCTCTGTTTTTGTATCATGTTATTAGACTCTGAGAGACTCTCACAGAGAAGACTGAGTGAGCAGCATTAGAAGACATATAATATTATGAGGGACATGGATTGCTGAGTTTCTCTAAGGAATAAACGTGTTTTTAAATTTCTCACCTGCTTGTCCTTTTGCATCAAAGTCCAGAGATCGAGCACATCTGTTCCACATTCTGCAGCTACCTTAACACACGCCAGAGCGTACTGCTTCACCACTGGGTTATGTCTGTCCAATTTCCCACCTAAAGGGATACACACAAGTGAAACAGACTCTTTTAGATGACATTGAAGCAAAAAAATCTGATAGCTGCATTACAAATCCCATAATGAACAGAAAATGTGTCCCTAATCCCTACTGTTATATTGTCTCATTTTAGAATATTATTCTTAAATTGTGGATAATTCACTACAGCAATAGATAATTGAAACATACGTTCACACAGGGACTGTTTAGCAGCAGTGCTAATTGAATACAAAGGATCAGTTTTTTCATAATTAAGAATTTATCATTTTAATCTTGATTTTTACCGACTACAATAGGAATATGTTGGTCTCATTTTTGCAAGATAAACTGTAGTAGTGTTATTTTCCAGTATAATTCCCAGGCTCCCATGAGGAAACAGATATTTATGGAGACTGATTAAATTGGAGATGGAGGAAATAGATTTGACTGGCAAGCATGCATTGTGAAGGACATTTGAGGTGAGCATGAACTGGGATACTCTTTAAGCATGGTGATGGGTTTCTGTATTTGTCAGACACCTGGCTGATTTCCCCATCAACCCCCCCCCCCACCACCCAAAAAAAAGACCTGGTATTAAATTCCTTTTACAGTGCAGCCCAATATCACTAAAGCACAAATACCCTTCTAATATGTTTGCACTGTAGACTGTTCACTGAGCATGCTTGAAGCCAGCCTGCTCACTCCCTGTTTACTGGCCACCTTGTCATCCTAAAATGCCAATTTGTAAGTCGCCAGGTTGACACTGATGTCATTTCCCACTGTGGGCCTGCGTAGCAAAATCGAGGTGAAGCAACTACCCATAAACAGCTTATTTGTTCCTTTTAGAAGAACATGAACTGGCTGGTCTGCTCCTTGCACATGTATAGTCAAACGCACCATCTCACCTCACAGTAACAAAGAATGGAATTTTATGGATCCAAAATATAGGTGTTATAATGGTGTCAAGGTTTTCCCCTACTCTTCCAACGATACCTTCAACTCATTCTAGATTCCAGATCCAAGACCACTGCCACCATCCCAGTACCTAGTCCAATAATCCATTGGATTGTTAGTCTAAACACTCTTTGTTGGTATGAACCGTGGGAAGGAAGAGGCATCACAACTGTGCCCAATATTGTGCTCAGCTAACATCCCACATGGACAGCAATCAGGCACAGGAATCCTGGCCCACTTCTCATTTCCTAACTTAGGGCCCTGAAGTCATTTGTAGAAACCTCACCATCACACTGGATAACATCAATTATCTGCACAGACCAGGAATCAGGGCTACTATTCCTACTCTATTTGGCTCCTCACACCAGTTTACCAATAGAGCTGTGGAGTAAACTAGGGTACTAAGGTTTACTTTTCATTGGGAGAAAGTAAACAGTAAGAGGAAAACAACAGTGTTCATGTAACCTCAGAACTCTTTAACAGCACAGCCTGGTGAGATCTTACACTGAGCGATCGAGACCAGAAAGGTCACAAATTTGTCTCCTTGTCTGTGTTGAGTTTGCTGGTTTCACTGGCTTGACAGCTAAGTTTGATGCTCAACTATCATTCACACATGTGACTACTTTCCAAAGGTGCTGCAAATGACTCTCATGGCTTTGGGCTGGGGAAAAAATAATTAATTCCTACACTCCGTTGCTATCTAGTGACAGTCCCTGGAAAGTGCTCAGCTATAAATCACCAACCCCTCAAGTGCCCCAAAACAGCTGCTGATGATTAATGCCCTAAGGTGAGACTTGTCACATGAGTAAGGGACCAAAGGGCTGCTGGGTTGAATGCTATCCACATTAGTCACTGCTTTAGTAGAAAGGCTCAGAGAAACACCAAAACAGAAATACAAGTCATCAGTTTTACAAGAGATGAAAACTACTGGGAACAGACAAGTTAACAGCGATGTTTATAAATAATATGGTTTATAGCTTTACATTTAAAAATTCCTGGTAAATTGAAAATGGAAAGTATGTGCAACGAGTCATTGTTCAGATATATGTCTTGTTGCTGTGTTCGTAATGGGATACAGGAAAAATAGTCATGTGTATGTGTAGAGGTGGGGGTGAGGGGAGAAGAGGAAAAAGCGTTACCTGCAAATAGATCTAATCATTAAATGGTATTATTATTGGTACATCGCTCTTATATGTATAATACTTACTTTCACACAATGGATCGATTTCAAGATCCTCACACTCACCTGGATATTACTTCATGCCGTGGCTCTACTTCTTCAGCCCACTCACACTCCACTCTTCCTTTGGCTTCACCCGCCCCTTTCGCGACTCTCGACCTCGCCAGTCTACCATCAGCGGCCATGCTTTCAGCCACTACACCTCAATCATCTGGAACTCCTTGCCCCCTCCCCCACCCTCAGATCCCACCTGAAAACTTTCCTCTTTTGATCATGCCTACAGTCACCTCCCCTTTCTCCTTGCATTGGCAAACTATGCCATTGTTCAGTGTTGTGAGAACCAGAACGAAGGGGTGGATAGAGTGGGGTGTGAGCAGGGTAGAGAGAGAGGGATAGAGATAGGGAGTTGCTGGGGCAGGAAGTGATGGGGAGGAAGGGCATTGGATAAATGCAAATTGCTGTTGTCAAACATGAAGGCATTGGTGCTGTCCTGTATTCTGCATTGATCTGAACTGAAGTGTCTCTCGCCACATATTTAGAAGTCCATTTTGCCTTATTCATCCGAGGTTTTATAATTCTCTCAATTTCAAACATGCTAGTCGTTTCCATAGGGGAACAGTTTCTTTTTTTATATAAAAAAAATCCCTTGTGGACATTTTTACAGATGTAATGCTGTTCACAACTTGCATTCCAACAGAGTCCATCTGAGCTTTATGTATTGAGAGGTAGGTGTGCCCTGTGAGCCTGACTCCTTCCCTGCTTATTCAGACTCTATCACAGAACATCCATATATTTCCTTTTGTGCTCCAAGCAATAATGATGACTCACTGCTGACTAAACGGTAGTAATTGCCTTAGATTGTTTGTGCGGCTATAGACATTTCTGTATGAAAGGTGTTTCCATTACCTTTGGCAATACACGCCTTTTCCCAAGCTGAGTCATCCAGCGGAGGTGGTGTTACCATGATCACCTTTTCTTCAGAAACGCCTATTGATTTCAGGTAGTTGATCATACGTTTCAGGTTTTCAGTGTACTCGGGCAGGGGAACATGCTGAGCTAGGTTCACTTCTAGATATAAACAGAAGGAGAACAATACAGATGTTTCGCCCCCAAATATATACAGTCAATTCACGTTACAGTATATTCTGTGGAGTACCGTAGTGTAGTGGTTAGACCACTCGCCTTGCAAGCGAGAGGACCCAGGATCGATTCCCAGGCGAGGCAAAACCATAGGCAAGTTTCCTTACTTCACACGCCTCTGTTTACCTAGCAGTAAGTACGAACCCAGTTGTTAGTCGATTGGTGGATCGCTTTCCGGGTATAATAATCCCTCAAAAAAAAATTGTGAGTGAATGCGGCAGCCAGTTGTACACAGCAATGTCCCATAAATAGCCATTAAGTGAATGACCAATTTAATTTGGGGTATTATTGGCCAGGACACTGGGAGAAACTCCCTTCTCTTTTTGAGTAGTGCCATGGGATCTTTAAACATCCATCTGAACAGGCAGATGGGACCTCGGTTTAACATCTCATTCAAAAAACGGCACCTCCAACAATGCAACACCTCTCCAGCACTGCTTTGGAGTATCAGCTTAGACCATGTGATTCCAAGTCCTGCCGTGGGTCTTGAACCCACAACCTTCTGACTCCGAGGCGAGGGTTCTACCAATGAGGCAGGCTGACGCACTGTGATCTGAATGTGTCTTTTTCATGTCTCGTCCCTCTCCACCCCCTCAGATAACATGTTGGCAGTAATTGCCTATTGCCAGAATCCAATAGGTGTGAAAGAACCAGGCAGTGAGCATTGTACCAACAATTAGTTCTAAATGGGTAGCTTTAAACAATTTCTGTCAAAGTGTCAGCCTGGCTCAGTTGGTAGCACTCTCGCCTCTGAGTCAGAAGATTGTGGGTTCCATCTCATGCCAAGACTGAACTCACAGTCCAGGCTGACACTTCAATACAGTATTGGGGGAGGGGTTGCTGTATAGTTAGAGATATTGTCCTTCTGATCAGATGTTAAACCAATGTCTTGATCTGCCTGTTCAGGTGGACATTAAAGATCTCAAAGCGTTATTCAAAAGGAGAAGATTCTCCTTGTTTCCTGGCCAACAACCTCCCAGATAAAATCAGTCATTCACTTCACAGCAATTTGTGGGACATTCCCTTATGCAAACTGGCAGCTGTGTTTGCCTACAAAAACACAGTTGCTACTCCTCACAGTAAAATACCGTGAAGTGTTTTGAGATATCACAATGCTGTGATGAAGCGCGATAACAAATGTAAGGATTATTATTATAAAGTTCTGATCGTCACTGGTAATTCCTTTTTATTTAGCTCCAAGGAATAAGGAACATTTGGGAGGGGTTCCTGCTAGCCATAGTCATAGCAGGTTTTGTGCAGACTCTTTATCCTGAAACAACTGTGCAAAAAAGTTCAAGATCTGACACTGCTGGAAATGGTCAGAGCCTCTGGACATTGTGGAGCAAATATGTTTTTGTACATGTAACAGTTACAGCTCCCTATGCTAATGCTAGAGCATAGGTATAGTACCTTTCCTCGTTATTGCTCTTCTCAGGAAAAGGCTATCCTCTTTGGGGAGGGGTAAGTGAAGGATCCATGGAGTTGAACTGGCTCCAAAGTGACGCATGTTGGCAACGGAATATCATAATTGAGCCAACCCTCTGTGGCTCAATTATGATATTCCGGTAGTCTGGTTCATGAACCAGGCAGGTCCGCAATATTCCAGGGCACTGCTGATGACAACACAGCCAGGCTGTGAACTCAACTATCTAACGGCTAGGGTGGTCCTAGCTGGACAAGCAGTGGGAAAGCTTGCCAGACAGCAATATCAATGGGAGGCTATGCGGTTTTAGCTGGTTAGATTCCAGCAGTACCCCAACACACACTCTAGGGTCCCCAAGCTTTGGCTCTTGCCAACCATGAGCCTAATACTTTACGGAATTAGGTAAGCAGGATGTGTTCCTCCAGGGAGCGAGGGCGTATTCCATTCCAGCAATCTGTCTCTGGGATTTCCATGTGTAGGTGGGATGCATGGAATTCTCAGTTGGGTTTTGATATTCTTAAGCAAAGTGGTGGGTTTCCACATGTGTCAGACACCCGGCTGACATCCCAAAAATGTATTATTATAATAATAATACATCATGTCTTTGAGACGTTTCACAGCACTTCACAGGGTACACATATAAAGTATAGACTGTATCCAGCAAATGTGTGTGAAAGAACATTTGAAGTGTCTACATATAAGGATATAACTTTGTCAGGGATAAATTTCAAAGAAAACCAGGTGCAGTGCCCAGCTTCCTCGTTAGGTTGTCTGGAAATCTCCGATAATGTAAACCAGACAACGCAAGTGTTAAATAATACCCATATTTTCCACATCTGTGACTTGTGATCTTGGGAGTGGGGGGGAGGGAAAGAAAGAGAGAGAGAGAGTGGGGGGGAAGGAGAGAACGGGAGGGAGGGAGAGAGGGGGAGGGAGGATGTGTGTGTGGGTGGGGTTGGAGGTTGTGAGGTACATTCTTCCTTTAAAACCTTTAAAAATGTTTTCAAAGAATTTAAATCAGCAGCTAACTAAACCTCACAACTTCAGCCATGATCACAACCTCAATCCCATCACTCTCTTTCTGGGAGCAACAATGGGTCTGGAAAAGTCTGGACCTGAGGAGAAGCAAGAAGATTAAGAGGAAGAAAAAGACGGCAACATATCCAAGAATGCAGATTTCACCTCCAATGAAGATGGAGAACTAAAAGGCAAAAATAAAGATAATAATAATGCTTACATTAACTGGATTTACCATAAAGTGTAGTGACTGTGTGTTTTGTGGGAAAGTGTGCAGTTAATTTGCATACATCATAATAATAATAATAATCCTTGCATTTGATATAGCGCTTTTCACGTCGGGAGGACGTCCCAAAGCGCTTCACAGAACACACTGTAAAGTGAATTGACTGTATATTTGTGGGCGAACGCGGCAGCCAATTGCGCACAGCAATGTCCCACAAACAGTCGTAGATTGAAAATGACCAATTTAATTATTGTTTTTGGTTTTGGAGGGATTATTATTAGGCGTGTGGAGTAAGGAAACTTGCCCAAGGTTTCGCCCTGCCTGGAATTGAACTCAAGCGAGTGCTCTAACCACTGAGCTACAGGACTCAATGTCCCACAAACAGCCATGACACTCCTGATGTGAAAGGTGTTAAATTAAATAACGATAGCAATCCTTGCATCTGATATCGTGCCTTATCATGCCATTGAGACATCTCAAAGCATTTCACAGAATATATTGTAATGTAGATTGACTGTGTATTTTGTGGGTGAAGTATAATTTAGAAATATAATAGAATGAAATGTAAGGATTTTTTATTTTTTGATCAAAAACTGGTCTCACAAGTATAGACGTATAGAATACGGTGAGTTTCATGAGGGTTTCACTCGTGACGGGGAGGTGCATTTCCCTGAATCATAGATTTGGATACTTAGGTTTACATAAACTGTCCAGCACTGAAACAGGCCATTTGGCCCAATTAGTCTGTGTGACTGCTTATAGTCCACGTAAGCCTAAACACCTCCCATTCCCCTCTATTCCTGTGTGGGGTCCTGTAGCTCAGTGGTTAGAGCACTCGCAAGCAAGCAAGAGACCTGGGTTTGATTCCTGGCAGGATGAAATTTTGGGCAAGTTTTCTTACTCTACATGCCTCTGTTCACCTAGCAGTTAGTAGGAACCCGGCTGTTAGTCAATTGGCAGATCGTTTCTCGGGGATAATAATTCCTACAAAAAAAAATTGTAACTTCAATCCACGACTGTTTGTGGCACACTGCTGTGCTCAATTGGCCTCTGCGTTTTGCCCACAAAATACAGCCAACTTGCTTTACAGTAGATGCTGTGAAGTACTTTGAGAAGTCTCGAAGACGTGGTAAGGCACTATATCAAATACAAGGATTATTATTATTATTATTCCTCTCTCCCTCGTCTCCATCAAGTCTTCTCTTAAATACATTCATGCTTTCTGCTTCAACCGGAGCTTCTGGCAGTGAGTTCCACATTCTCACCACCAAAGTGTAACAATGTTCCTCCTAAACTATCTTTTTCAAAAAAAACCTGTATTTTATTATATTATTCAAACAAATAAAGTCGGTGCTGGAACTCTGCATTAATTCCACCCTCTGCTTCATGTAATTGTTAATCTCTCTCTCTCAGCAGCAAGTACACAATGTGAAGTTGTGAAGAGAACACTGGATCTCTAGCAATTGGAAAGGTACAGATGGAAATGTTAATCATATTAACCAGTCCTAGTGAGTGATTAAATTTGGCCTATGATTTCTGTGCGCTGTGTAACACACTCAGCCGCTTACCTTGTATCCGTTGCTGGCTGAACACTCTCAGGTGTGGAGGTGTTGGTGGGGGAGAAAGGGGCAGCAACTCTATGAGTAATGCCTACCTTTCAATGCAGAGTCATTAGCTCCAAAAAACACGGTGACAGCAGCGATGTGTTCCTGGCTGGTAGGTTGGGGGATGATCCTCGGCAGAACGCTGAGAGCCCACTTTGTGTTGTAACCTGACAGACCTCGGTTCAGCACGTCACATTGTCTTTAAAAAAAAAGAGAATTTTGTTGCACAAAATGTTTTGTGCAAAAGGGTAAATATTTCTACTCGCATTTGATATAGGAATCTGCTCAGCTCCATATACAACAACAATTGGATTCCAACAACTGGAATTGGATAGGTACTTAAAAAGGAAAAATGTGCAGGCTTATAAGGGGAATATTGGAGGAATGTGACCAGTTGGTAGCTTTTTCAAATAGCCGGTACAGGATGGGCCTTGAAGGAGGCAAGGGAGTGGGTGAGTCAGAGGGGCATTAGTGAGGGCAAGGATTTTAAACTCGAACCTCTAGGGAGCTGTATGTATCCGGATGACACCCAACTCTACCTTTCCTCCTCTACCCGCAACTCCACGACCGCCGATGTCCTGACAGCTGCCTGTCCGACATCCGACAACTTTCTTCAGCTCAACATGCGTAAAACTGAGGCCCTCCTGATTAGCTCGCGTCAGCGCCTCCGCACCTCAGGCGCTGACAGCATCAGCATCCAAGGCTGCACTCTCCACCTCTCAGAGCCAGTCAGGAACCTCGGCGTTTTGTTCAACCCTGAGCTGTCCTTTCTCCCTCATATCCGCGCCACAACTGGCACCGCCTTCCATCACCTCTGGAACATCGCCAGACTACGCCATTACCTCACCCCTCACGCTGCTGAAACCCTGGTCCACGCCTTTATCACCTCAATGCTGGACTATGGGAACTCTCTCCTCGTCGGCCTTCCCGGCACCTCCCTCCACAAGCTGCAGGTCATTCAGAACTCTGCAGCTCATGTACTGTCCCGCACCAGGCTTCGGGACCACATCACTCCCACCCTCGCTCGCCTCCACTGGCTCCCCATCCCCCAGAGGATCGAATTCAAGATACTCATCCTCACCTACAAGGCCATTCACGGCCTCGCTCCCTCATACCTCTCCGACCTACTATCCCCCTACGTACCTGCCCGTACCCTCTGTTCCTCTGGCTCCAGTCTGCTCCACATCCCCCGCCCCAACCGCCCTACCATCGGTGGCCGGGCCATCAGCTCTCAGTCCCTAGGCTCTGGAACTCCATCCCCCAGTGCCTTCGCCGCCTCCTCCCTTTCCTCCTTCAAGGCCGGTCTCAAGACCTTTTTCTTTGATTGTGCCTTCAGCTCCCCTCTCGACTCTCTACCCCCTCCTCGCTCCCTCCCTCCCCTCCCCTCACCCTGACCATTTCCCCCCTGCTCGGGTCCTGACCCAACTGTCCAGCGTCTTGGGACGTCCTCCTGATGTGAAAGGCGCTCTATAAATGGAATCTTGTTGTTGTTGTTGTGAGCTAGTGAAGCCGGGCAAGGATGGAGTTGATCGGCTCACGGAGCGTTAGTGCAGGTGTGCCAGCAATCCCCCAAATAAAATTAGTCTTTCACTTCATAGCTGTTTGTGGGAATTGCTGTACACAAATCAACTGCCGCGTTAGCCTGTAATACATGGTCACAGTCCTGCACGGTCAATATCCCGTGAAGCGCTTTGAGACATTTGATGATGTGATAAGGTAACATATCAAATGCAAGGATTATTATAATTTTATATGAACTGAACCAGACTGACAGCACATGTGATGATATTGGAACTCACATGTTATAAAAACAATTTAATCCACAATAGACATAAGGACACTCTTCTCTGATCTTGCAGGAAACATTCACCTTGATCAGGATGTTCACACAGACATCACAATTCAAACATACAATAGGTTTCATCAACTTTTGTAACAATTGATTTGAAATCGAGTGCTGTTGGCTTGGCTGTGGTGATATCACTGAATTTTATTTCATTTTATGCTCCTGGGAAATAGCAAACCCTGTGCATCCTACAGCACACATTGGAGACCTCATTCTTAGCTGATCATTGGAACTAAATGGTACATTCTGCTTCAATCAAGCAGCTGCCCTTTAAATGAATGACATCATATACACTGCCTACAAAATACACATTCACTGCCCTTTGCAGTGAATCCTGTGAATACCTTTTGGATGTCTTTCTGACTTGAAAGGCACTATATTAATCACAAGGACTATTATTATTATAATACTGTACCCTGATATGTTTATGGTTACTCAGTGCACACAGACCCATCTGATCCCGCAAACTTCCAAGGTTGAAGTGACATGATAGGAAAAAGAATTTGTAATTTTTTAATTTGTGATCGTTAAAATGTTTTCAGATTTGTTGTTGATAAAAGGGTTTGTATCAACTGCAAGGATAATGTTTACTATTATTATTAATGAAGACTTTTTTTTGAAAGAATGGCAGATTGGTATGACGGGAACATTTAGTCTAAGACCAGCACTGCTAATTAAAGTATGCAGAATCATTCTCGCATGCTAAACAGCTGCTATAAGTGACAGGAGCAAACTTAGGATAGGTAAGTTCAAACTTACCTGACTAGTCTGTTTGCAATGGCAGCACCCCACCCTCCGGTCTCAAAAGAACCCTGGGAAGTAATAAGAGACAGATAATCAGGGCCATTCACAACCATCGCCATAAACTGATCTGTGGGAACACAACTCCAATAAACCCCGTGGTTCCATCAAAGGTTTGCTTCTTTCTTCCCACCCACCTTGAGTTTTTAACTTCAAACCTTACAGCACTGTATTAAGCAGTCAGGAATTGCCAAGGATGGGCAAGCCTAACTATAACAATAATAATAATTCTTGCATTTGATATAGAGCCTTATCATGTCGTTGGGACATCTCAAAGCGCTTCACAGAACATATTGTAAAGTGAGTTGACTGTATAGTTTGTGGGTGCAACGCGACAGCCAATTGCCCACAGCAGTGTCCCACAAACAGTCATGGATTGAGTGAACACATTAAGCAAATGTGTGGGAGCAGGGGCTTCGCGGGTGGGGTTGATCAGTGCTATTTAGCTTTCTGCATTGTCTGGAAATGTATAAAATGTAAACCTGATCCTCAAAACTGATTATTTCCCCCCACCACACCCCGCTCTCCTCATCCACCAACCCCCACACACACACATCGTAATTGGCACACTGATAATTAAGCTTAATAAGGGCTTTAATGAATTCTAAGTAACAGAAAATGTTAACCTCAGTACTCCAGGCATGATGGTTGCCACACCCTGCTCCTCCCTTGCCTCTGGCTGGTTGTGAGTTAGCTATAGTTACCTGAGGTTCCACCTGTAAATACTGGTTTTGAAAGTACTTTCATGTGAACATCTTTCACATTCTGACCTTTAGAAAAATGTAACCTGTTTTTTTTCAAATAAAAAAAACTACAGTACATACAAATCTTATTTTTTCTAATCTTACACAAGCTAGCGGTCATTAATTATACTCTTTCCACTGTCACAGTTAATTTAACACACACAGCGTTTCCACAGAAACAGAAGATCTTCCTCAAGCATTAGACAAAACTTGTTGCTTTACTACAAAGAACTCATGTGTCAAACCACTGATTCAGATGGTCACAACAACAACTTGCACTGAAAGAGTGCCCTTAACGCAGGATAGTGTCTTGGAGCACTGTACAGTGGGGGGATTGGATGCCGAACAAGGGAGAAGGGGAAGTATTTATAGGTGCAGTTGGAAAGTTAGGTATTAAAGTAGGATTTACCTTTGTTTACTTAGCAGTAAGGAGGAACCTGGTTACAAGTCGATTGGCAGATCGCTTTCCGGGGGTAATAATCCCTTCAAAAAAATTTGGTCACTCAATCCATGACTTTGCAGGACACTACTGTGCACAATTGACTGCCCCATTCGCCCACAAAATACACGTCAACTGTCTTGTGAAACACTTTGAGACGTCTCAACGATGTGATAATGCAAGGATTATTATTATTATTTAAAGACAGATAAAGAGCGGGAGAGGTAGAGGGATAGAGGGAAGATGTTCCACAAGTTCCACACGTCTAATAAGAGTATTCTATTGGTGGTTCAGACTTGTGTGAGAATTTAGCTGGTGAATTTCAACAGCTCATGGCTCTTTCGGATCCTAAATTGGAGAAATTAAATTTGGTACTTTTAGAGAATCCTCCAACAGCACCAGGTTAAATTCACTGTTTAAAGACTGCGCCATCAGAACAGCATTAATCTGTGATAAAAAAAAGATTGACACCAGAACAGGATTAATCTCTGATGATAATGTGTTGATTTTCGTGTCGTTCTTGGAAAGTACACTTGGTAACCCCAACTTGAGCATCTATGCACCATGCACCTATCAGCCCTGAGGGTAAGGCTGCCAATGACGGAAACAACTTTAAGATATGTAAGATATTTAAGAAGGGTAAATAAGAATGAATGACACCAGTTATAATGCCCGCAGGAAACATTTAGGCAAGTTGGCAAACAATGGGATCAAAGTTGGCTTCCAACGTCTTGTATTCTAAACAGCTTGAAATGAATGAATGAACATCCAAAGTTTTCTGACTGCCTTACATCCAATTTATACAGTCAAAAGCCTTCACCACGAGGAGCAAATCCAGACACAGCAGTGGGCAGTAACTGAAATATTGCCTCAGTTGTGATTACCCAGCAGGATTCTCAGCCAAGTTTTCAATTCCAAAATATTAATAACCAATGCTTGCAGTTGGACCAATTCTACAGAACATTAATTCCAAACGACATCTCATTTGACTGTTTGCCTACTTCGACTCATAGCTCATACATAATTAGATCAACTCAGCGGCCTCTGCTTGCCAACACAGTGAACTGTAGCTGATTCAGGTCTGCAGTGAATATCAACTGATGCCCAGAATGGCTACTTTGCTGATGTTTTATTCAGATTAAAATCGATTTTAGACAACCTTGTAATAAGATAGAGGGTATGTAAGAGTTAAATAGCCACTGAATTTCAAAAAGAGGAATGTTGCATCTAAGTCTTTTGATTATTTTGGTCAGCCGAATGTCTGACACATACGGAAATCCATCACCATGCTTAAGAGTAGACTGAAAGCTCCAGCTATCCATTTTTCATGATAGGCAAAACTATTTAGGTACCCCAGAAAGGACATTTAAAATGTAAGCGATGTGTTTGCCTTCGCTGTGGACATCTCCAAAGCCTTTCATGGGGTCTGACATGCAACAGACCTAAATAAGTTACTGTTTCATGATCGTACATGTTTGCCAATCTAGTTCCCTTTCTAGTTCCTCTTTTTCTGCTGTAGTTGGCAGTTTCTTTATACAGCAGGTAATTAATGACTGGGAAAGTGGTTTAGGTTAGGAAACTGGACTCACTTTAAAAGCAGCTTGATGCAGCGATGGGGGATGGTAGGGTGGGGTTCGGGAAGGATGAGATCGGATGAGCCAAAGGGCCTTTTTCATCCAGGCAAATCTTGTGCTCTTGTTTATCCTCTTTTCGCTCATAAAATACACAGTTAATCCATTTTATTGTACATTCTGTGAACTGTTTTGAGACATCTCAATAACATGATATCAAATGCAAGGATTATTATTATTAATAACTTTTCTTCCATCAACTCAGCAGTTTCTCAGGACTCTTCTCTCCCACTCTGTTCTTTCTGCACATCAATGATTTCTTCTACTCATCTGAGTCTTCCACTCTTTTGCTGATGATTCAACATTATGTTGTTAATTCCCATCAGATCCCACAGTCACTCTTTTGCAGTGCAATGTCTGAACCATTGGAAAAATTAGACAAATGTCAGTCTTGTTCACTGGGTAGGACTCTCGCTTCAGGGTCAAAATGTTGTGGGTTCAAGTTCCATAACAGGATTTTAAGATCAAATCCAACACAGTGCTACACCCTGCATTATTAGAGGTGTAGTCCTTCAGATGAAAAATTAAACTGAGGTCCAATCTGCCTGTGTCCATGGACAATAAAAGGAGTTTTCTTTCCAGGCACCCTTGTCAATAATCCTCCAGATTAAATTGTTCATCCACCTCAGGGTTGTTCAGGGACATTGCTGTGTACAAATTGGCTGTTGTGTTTGTTTACAAAGTACACAGTCACTACACTTTGCAGAAAACTGAAGGAGTTACATCAAATGCAAGTTATTATTATTGATCTCCAGCGCACTTCTCAAAAGGTCGATGAGCAGCTGACACCTGTTCAGTTTGACAATTAACAGTTTGTAAAACTGAAGCTGAGTGCTGGGGTGGGAGAATGAATTTTAGTAGCTCCTGTTTTGTAACACACTGTAACCTAGCGACAGCAGTTAGAACAACAACAACAATTTGCATTTATACATAGCGCCCCTCATACACGGTAGCATCCCAGAGCACTTAACACACCATAAGTTAGCAACAGTAGTGCCCTTGTACTTTTTGAAAAGCACAAATATTCTTTTTTGTTCAAACTACGCAGTCCACGTGCTATTCCACGTGAAAGGGTATTTTATGAATGCAAGTTGTTGTTGTTGCTGTATTTTTAAAACCCATTGTTGTTTCCTTGAACCTACTTGCTTTCCTACCCTTTTAATTTCCCCTTTAATACTTAGCATTCTTTGAGGTTTTCAAGCAAAACATGATTTCTGGTGACAGTATTTACAAGCTCTATATGATTACACATGAATACACACCTCAATGCAAATCCAAGCTCATGCATCGTACTGGCTTAATGCAGAATCTATCTCACTGACTTGTAATGTTTAATTACTGTATTCGTGTAGACCCAAGCCTGATACAATTAACACAGCAGAAAAATACAAACATACACGGCTTCTGAGTAGCTGAGTGGGCAGATGTACAAGTGAATAGATGAAAGGGTATGTGAGTGGGCGGCCAGGTAGGTGAGTAAGCTGGCAGCTATACCTTCCTGGAATATTACTTGTGTTATGTCACAAATTCCACCCACAAAATATACAGTCAATTCACTTTACGGTATATACTGTGCAGCGCTTTGAAACGTCTCGAAGAGGTGACAAGGCGCTATATCAAATGCAAGGATTATTATTATTTAAGAGGAAGCTAGATGTACACCTGAGGGAGAAGGGGATTGAAGGGTATGGGAGGGAATAAGGCATAGGTGGAGACTCGCATGGAGCAGAAATGGTGGCATTGGTTGATTGGGTTGAATGGCCTATTCCCATGCTGTGTAGTCTACCTAAAATTATGTAACCTCCAACTGACGAGTTCACCTCACTTCAAACTTTAGGAAGTACAGCCAAGTAGTAAGACACAGAAGGGAAGCACAACGTTTACTACAATATAAACATATATAAAATGCAAATAATACTTTCCACCCAAAGGCTCAGCGTGCTTATCCAGTAAATGACTGCGCTGTAGACTGGGAAGGTTTCATGTTCTGGATGTGGAATGAGTTAACTGATCTCAGACAAGGCAGCATTTGAGGCAGTATAAAGTGCCTCAGGTTAGGGAGGTGAAAGGCAGACAGTTGCTGCTGATTGCTATTGTTGCCCCCTGACTCCCTCACCCTGCTAATGTGGGTGGGTGGGTGGGTGGGTGGGTACGCGTGAACAGAAGATAAGGGCAGGATCTGGCTGGATGCAAAGCCTTCACCCCCTCCCCCAGTTGAATACTGTGCCAACACTAACTGCAAGGCCTAAATTTGTGCAAGAGAGCAGATGGTGATCAGAGCGAATTTGCAACTTCTGATACAGGATGAATCGGTCCTTATTCATAGTTTTTAATTCTTAATTATGTTATTTTTTAAGACAACATTCGTGCAGAGTGTGCAGCTATGACAGGAAATGTCTTTCATTACCTTCGTGAATGTTGTTTTATGTAAACTTTTACATGGCATGTTGTTTAAACATCTCATGCAGACCTATGTGTAAGGACTTCTGATTTACCCTGTATAATTGTATTCACTTGTCAGTGTGTGATCAGTTACTATCCTCATGGGGAAAGGGAGGGAGACATGGTCACTTTCAGGCTGAGCTGACTTCAAGATAATGTAATTGACAGAATCATGTCAATCCTCAGTGAAGGTCTCAGTAGTCTGGTCCCTGTTGGACTCCAAATCATTGTTGAAGACAACCCAGCCAACCAGCCTGGCTTCACCAGCAGGACTTGGGAGGAGCGGACCAGCCACTACGGGTGTGTGATTCTTTCCACATAGCTCTTGTCAACTCTGCAACCCACAATTCTACCAGGTGCAGCGGTCTTGCTGGACAAGCAGTGGGAAGCTTGCCAGACAACGCTTTCATTGTTTTAGTTTGTTAAACTCCAGGTGTATCACAACAACAACAACAACAACATATTACATTTGTATAGGGCTTTTCACATCGGGAGGACATCCCAAAGCGCAACACAAACTATGGGGTTCCCAAGTCTTACCCCTCGTTACCCTGTGCTTAATACTTTCTGGGATTGGGTGAGCAGGGAAAAGAGTGAGCATTCATTTCCAAGAAAGGGAAATTTCCATGTGTGGCAGATGTGGTGGTAGATCTGGAACTCTCAGCCTGATTGGATGGGTTTCTGAGCGTGTCAGTCATCTGGCAAACAAAAAAATGTATTCTGTACTGGAAGTGGATCAGAAACTTCAGCTCAGCTTCACGTGTGACAAAAAAACTTTTGAGCTCATTGATTTGTTGCTCAGAAACAGACCATTTGAACCATCCAGTCTGACTGATGTTTATATTGAACACGAGTGCCCAGCCTGGACCCTATCCCTAGTCCCATATCCCAGCTTTTCCCCCATATCCCACAACTTTATTCTCCATCAATCATTTGGCCAGGCTTTGAATGTGCACACGGTTGCCGCCCCAACAACTGATTGTGCCAGAGAATTTCACACAGCCACCCACTCTGGGTGTGTGAAAGTTCCTCCTAAACTCTGTTCTGGTCCCAGTTGATTTTAAAACTATACCGTCTAGCTCTAGACTCCACCTGACCACCGGAGATAATCCCTATCCAAACGTTCAACCTCAATCTAGGCTGAGACTCCAGTTCACTTTCTCAGTCTTCTTCAGCAAGTTATGTCCTGTCTATTCTCAAAGATGCAGAACCCTGGCTTATCTAATTGCACCACCTAGCTGATCCCTCTGATATAAGGGGGAATCATCCTAGTTGCTGCTCTTCCCTATGGGATGTCCTCCCGACATGAAAGGTGATAAATAAATGTAAATTGTATTGTGGTCTCCAAACGTGGGTGACTGACGACCAGAATTTTATGCGTTACTCCAGGTGGAGCCTGATCAAAGCACAGTGAGCACGACTTCTGGTGATCTGAACCCCCAACCAGTTTTATCAGTTTGGCGTGTCTCCGCTGTGAGACAATACCCCGCATGAAGAGCGCTGTATACAAATGCAAGTTGTTGTTGTCCACCCACTGAACCATCAGAGGAGGCGGCTCAAGCTTTTCCCTGTACAAAAGGAGATGTGAGCTGCACGCCTCCTCACAGAGACAAAGCCTTGAGGTTCTGTGCTTGGTATGTTTTGAAACAGCTTCTCAGTCAAACTACCAACCCACCAACCAACCAACAACCCAGGCAGCACACGCTTAACCCATTGAGGGGAAAAGGGAAGGGATTTTCAATGTACATCAAACCCTGCAACTCAGAAGGGTTATTATGGGAAGGATTGAGGTCCTCCCAATTCCTTTGGCTGGATTGCAGTACTTCTGATCTGAGGAGTCAATTCACTTTACGGGACAGTGTTTCCTGTGAAGGGCTTTGAGACATCTCAATGGCATGATAAGGCGCTATATCAAATGCCAGGATTATTATAATTATGATCTGCCCTCACAAAGAGGAAGAGGAGATACTGGAACTCAGAACTCACTAGAGCAATTGGTCACTATGCTCAGGCTGGGCTTCCCCTGCCGGAGATGAGATCCAATCACCTGCCTTGCTCGGGTGGTCGGGAAGACATGATCCAGGTCCACATTATCCTTTGACAGTTTTGGGCCTGGAGAGTTCGAGGGTGGGGGAGGAGGGGATTGGGGCTTGTCTGCAAGGACAACCCTTGTTCCCCAGTGAAACACGATTCGGTCTAATTTGGTTAATGGGGACGAGCAGGGCCTAACCTCGTTCAGCAATTAAAAAAAAGGCATCCCTGTAAATGGGGGTGGGGTGAGTGAGCTTCCATCATTTCATTTAAACTGCATTTATGTCCCAGAGCCATTCCTTTTTTTTGGTCAGACGAGTGTCTGACACACGTGGAAACCCATCACAATGAGATTTCCACGCTTCCCTGCTCAGTGGTTAGAGCACTCGCCCCGAAAGCAAGAGACCTGGGTTTGATTCCCGGCAGGGCAAAGCCTTGGACAAGTTTCCTTACTTCACACGGCTCTGTTTACATAGCAGTAAGTAGGAACCCGGTTGTTAGTCGATTGGTGGATCGCTTTTCCAGGGGGTAATAATTCCTTCATATAAAAAAATAATAAATTGGTCCACTCAATCCACGACTGTTTGTGGGATACTGTTGTGCACAATTGACTGCTGCGTTTCGCCCACAAAATATACAGTCAGTTCACTTTACAGTAGATTCTGTAAAGCATTTTTGAGACGCCTTGAAGATGTGCTAAGGCGCTATATCAATTGCAAGGATTATTATTATCCCACCTACACATGGAAATCCAAGAGATAGACTGTTGGAATGGAATGGGCACCTTCTCCCTGGAGGGACACATCCTGCTTACCTAATTCCAGAAAGTATTAGGCGCAGGTTGCAAGAGTCGAGGCTTGGTGACTCCAGAGTGCGCTGCTGGAGTCTAACCAGCTAAAACCACATAGCGTGCCATTGATATTGCTGTCTGGGAAGCTTTTCTGCTGAACACAACAACAACAAAATTACATTTGTGTAGCCCCTTTCACGTCGGGAGGACGTCCCAAGACGCTGGACAGACAGAGTTAAGGACCCGAGCTGGGGGTCGGAGTCGGGAGGGTAGAGGGAGGGGGGAAGCAGGGAGATCGAAAGCACGGTTGAAGAGGAGGGTCTTGAGATGAGTCTTGTAGGAGGCAAGGGGGGTGGCGAGGTGGAGAGACTGCGGGATGGTGTTCCAGAGGGTGGGGGCAGAGTGGCAGAAGGCCTGCCCACCAATAGTGGGGCGGGCGAGGCGGGGGATGTAAAGCAGGCCGGAGCACGCTGAGCGGAGGGAGCGAGCAGGATGATAGGGGTTTAGGAGGTTGCAGAGGTACGGGGGAGCAAGACCATGGAGGGAGTTGAAGGTGAGGACCAGGATCTTGAACTGTACCCTCTGTGTGATGGGAAGCCAGTGGAGTTGGGCGAGAATGGGGATGATAGGGTCACGGAGCCTAGTGCGGGAGAGGACATGAACTGCAGAGTTCTAGATGATCTGCAGCCTGTGGAGGGAGGAGTTGGGGAGGCCGACAAGCAAGGAGTTTGCGTAGTCAAGACTCAATGTAATGAACGTGTGTATGAGGGTTTCGGCGGCCTGCGGTGTCAGACAGTGGTGGAGCCGGGCGATGTTGCAGAGGTGGGAGATGGCAGAGCGGCTCAAGGCACAGATGTGGGGTGGAAAGGATAGTTGAAGGTCAAACAAGACGCCAAGATTCTGGACGGGCTTAGCAAGGTGGGGTGTGAGAGGGTGGGCAGAGGAGCGAGTTGGTGATGGAGAAGAGGAGCCTGGGGTTGTCCTTGATTGTCTTGAAGTAGAACGACGATTTAGCGGAGGCGAAGGCGGAGCAGTAAGATTTGATAAGGTCCAGCCAGATCTGCCAATGGACTGTTAAGTTTGATTTAAGTCAGGTGCGCTCAGCTGTACGCACCTGTGGTTTAAGGGAGTGGAGGTGGCTGGTGTACCACAGTGACTTACATGAATAGGAGACGGTTCGGGAAGAGAGGGGAGCGAGGGGATCAAAAGTGGAGGAGAGGGAGCTGTGGAGAAGAGGAGGATAGGTCATTTCGGGAGGAAACCAGAAGGAGTTCAGATGACTCCAAGGCAGCCAAGAGGGAGGGGGAGGCGGAGATTTTTTCCAGTGGTGGTAGGAGGTGGAGGTGGGTTGGGTGGCGGTGGGGAAAGAGATTGAGGAGTTAAGAGAAATGAAGTGATGGTCCGAGACGGTGAGGCCCCGAGTGGGAGTGATCGCGGACGTGGGTGGTGGAGTGGATGTGGAGAGAGAGATTGAGGGAGGAGATAAGGGAGGAGGAGAAGTCAGCAGAGGCAGAGCGGGTGGGGGGGGGGGGGTGAAGTGAAGTGATGGTTGAAGTCGCCTAGGACGAGGGGGCGTTCGGAGCGGAGAGAGAGAGAGAGAAGGAAGATAGGTGGGTGGAGGGGGTCAGGGACCACCCTATCCTCAGGGCTTTGGCTTGCGGGGTTAACAGGAGCTGAGTGGGAGGAGTCCCTATTCCCAGGGACTGGTCTGCTCTTCCTGGTCCTGCCTATGAGGCCGCGCTGGTGTAGTGTAGTGCAGAGCTGAGCTGAGCACAGGCTGCAGGGAAGCCAAAGCCGGTGTGAGAGCCAAAGCTCTTACCTGTGTTATTGAATCTCCGAATAAAATGACTCGAGGCCACACAACACTGCGCGACATTTCTCCCTCTCCCTCTCCCCCCCTCCTCCTCCTCCTCCTCCTGCAGCCACCGGTCGCAGCCCTTCAGATCAGCTGCAGAGGCAGCGGGTGAGCGACTGACACTGTGTGTGAGCCCCGGGGGTGGGACCAGCACTTCCCCCATCCGCCCGCCCGCCCGCCCGGTGCTCCCCAACCGCAGCGCCCAGACTGTCAGCCACAGCCACTGTCTGTCACACTGAGCAGCTTGTACACACTCACACTCGCTCACTAACACACACTCACACTCACTAACACACACTCACTAACACACTCACACTCACTCACTAACACACACTCACACTCACTAACACACACTCACTAACACACTCACACTCACTCACTAACACACACACACTCATTAACACACTCACACACACTCACACTCGCTCACTAACACACACACACTCACTAACACACTCACACTCACTAACACACACACACTCATTAACACACTCACACTCACTAACACACACTCACATTCGCTCACTAACACACACACACTCACTAACACACTGTCACACTCACTAACACACTGACACACTCACTAACACACTGACACACTCACTAACACACTGACACACTCACTAACACACTCACACTCACTAACACACTCACTAACACACTCACACTCACTAACACACACTCACATTCGCTCACTAACACACACACACTCACTAACACACTCACACTCACTAACACACACACTCACTAACACACACACACACTCACTAACACACACTCACACTCGCTCACTAACACACTCACACACACACACTCACTCACTAACACACACTCACACACACTCACTCACTAACACACACTCACACTCGCTCACTAACACACTCACACTCACTAACACACACACACTCACTAACACACACTCACACTCACTCACTAACACACACTAACACACACGCACACTCACTAACACTCACACTCGCTCACTAACACACACTCACACTCACTAACACACACACTCACTAACACACACTCACACTCACTCACTAACACACTCACTCACACCCACTCACTAACACACACTCATTCACTAACACCTTCACACTCACACCCACTCACTAACACACTCACTAACACACACTCACTAACACACTCACTCACTAACACACACATTAACACACTCACTCACTAACACACTAACACACATTCACTAACACACACTCACTAACACACACACTCACTCACATACACTCATTAACCCACTAAAACACTCACTCACTCACTCACTCACTCACTCACTCACTCACTCACTCACTCACTCACTCACTCACTCACTCACACACCCAATCACTAACACGCACACTCACACACTAACTCACACTCACACTCACTCACTAACACATATACTCACTAACACACATATACACACACTCACTCACTAGCACACACACTCATTCACTCACACACTCTCACTAACACACTCACTAACACACTCACTCACACACCCACTCACTAACACGCACACTCACTCACTAACACACACTCACTCACCCACACTCAATAACACACTCACACACACACTCACTAACACACATATACACACACTCACTCACTAACACACACACTCATTCACTAACACTCTCACTAACACACTCATCTCACTAACACACACTAATACACTCACTAGCACACACACACTCACTAACACACTAACACTCACTCACTCACAAACACATTAACACTCACTAACACACACTAACACTAATGCTCACACACTCACTAACTCACACACTAATACTCACTAACCCACACACATTGACACACACACATTCATGAACACTAACACTCACTGACACTAAAACTCACTGATACACACACACATTAACTCACTAACACACTTACTAACATTAACACTCACTAACACACACACACTTACACACTCTAACACTCGTACACACTAACACTCACCCCACTCTTACACTCACACACTAACACCCACACATTCACTCACACACTCACTAAAACTCACACACACAGCCACAAATACACACACATACATAGCCACATTAGGCAGACACACACACACACAGTCAGCCTCATTGGGCACTCACAGCCACACACACACACACTCACAGCCACTCTCACAACCACACACACAGCCACACTGGGCACACACACTCACAGTCACACACCTCAGAGCCTCACTCAGCCACTCTCACTCACAGCCACACACACACCCAGCCACTTGCACTCACTGCTGGTGTGCGGGCTCATGTGGCATAAAAAGATTTGTGCCGTATCATTCCACAATATCTACGCTGGGCGAGGAACTGTTATATGAGTGCTAACACGGTCAGCCTAATTGCAACCAACCATCCTTCATACATGTGCCTGAGCAGTGAGTGTGGGCAAACCATTAGATTATCTTTTGATGGGGGGAGTGTGAAAGAGGGTCAGCTTTCCCACAATTGTTCCTTTACGACTCCAGATTGTGATCAGCCATTTTCCCACACTAACCAGACTGAACTATATACCCTCCTGGCCCTTAAGGCTCAGGCACAACATGCCTTTTCCCAGTTTGGAATTGTTTGGAAAAAGAACCTCATAAATTGGGGGAAAATGTTCAAGGTGCTGTTAATAAATAATTTCAAAGCATTTCACAGGATTTTTTTGTGTGTAAAGTGATTGTGTATTGTGTAGGTGAACGAGGCAGCCACTTTGCACACAGCAACTTTCCACAAACAACAATGAAGTGAATGGCTAATTTTATCTGGAGGATTGATAGCTCGGACACTGAGAGAAACAGCGACGATGTGAGTGTCTCAAGTGGCAATGCAATGGTGGGATCTTATTACAGTAGAGGGAACATTTGGAAAAAAACATCTGGTAAAATAGTTCATTAAAACCAAGCACTAACACTCTGGTCGGTCAGTCAGTACAGCTGTAAGGAATGAGGTTTCGGAGGAGGTCACTGTTCCAGGAAGTAAGGATAATGCCTCTGTAAAAGGATGACATCATGTCTCCTCTAAAACACAAGAGGATTAGTAACTGGCAAAGGGAGGAAACAGTAAGACTAGTGTTGTAATGAAGGGAGTTATTAAGTAGGGTGTCTCCTGTTTCAAACTGATCACAGAGTCAGTGTACCGTAGTTAAATTTACAGATGACATCAAGCCAGGGGCTTTAGAATAAGAGGCAGCCAAGATCTTACAAACAGAGCTTGAAAGAGTGACAGTTTACTGAATTACTAACAATGCTTTTCCAATGAATGGTGGAATGTGGGTTTCAGTCCATGCCCGATGCTCTTGAATGATCAGCTGTTTTGTAATAACCAGTGAACTAATGTTCATTTGACACAATAATGTTTGACACCACGAGTCACATTTAGGTTTTAAAATAAATGTACCATTTGCACTTGTAGCGATTGTTCCTTTTAGTGTATTAATCACAAAGAACAACAATGTGATGAAAAAAAGGTTATGTTCAAAACCTTTGTTTAAAAAANGTTTATTTTTTTGCGAATTTTAACAATACTTAATACAGATCTGCAACAATATTCTATTTAACTGACAAGGACATATTTGTACACACTAGTTTATTGAAATATTTGTTTAATTTCAGTTCTTACTGTTTTACTCGTTCAGGAATGAAATAACTCAGTGTTTCAATACCACCGCATCCAGTCTGGAGAGAAAAGTGTTTTCAACAGTTATGTATGATTGGAAACTCATGCATAATGAATGCAGTGTTAGATACTGCAGTACTTAATGTAAGATGATTCTTGCATGGGTGGAAATAATTAGATTTTTTTTAAAAAAAGGCAGTATTTCCAAAATTTGCCCAATAAATTTTTCATGTTGAAAAAAATTCATTTCAAGACTTTTTTCAAATAACGCAAATGGAATTAGGTACAGCTGTAGAATGAATTCCTGTCACACGATGAGAGTGTGAATAAAGCACCACATCCTGAACACTGAACAGTAGTAATGAAACACAAATGGAGTCTTAGCTCAACAGTAGGACTCGCAGTACACAATTAGCTTTTTTCCTCCTCCCAGTCTTCAAGAAAGTGCTGGGTGTATGGTTTCATACAACCTTTGTACTGCCATCTCTACCATTTCTCGAAGTGGCTCATCTTCAGTACTCCCCTCTTCACATACAACCACCTGCAAGAAACAAACACGAATGAGGTTAGTAAAAAAAAGGAGGAAGGAGCTAAACATAGAGGGGAGCACTTTCAATATGATATTTTTCTTTTCTTTCTACAGTAAAACTCGCACAAGTCTGATATATATAAATCTATTAATCACCCAAATTATAAATCTGCCCAAGTCTGTAGCTCAGTGGTTAGAGCACTTGCTTTGCAAGCGAGAGACCTGGGTTCGATTCCCGGCAGGGTGAAACCTTGGGCAAGTTTCCTTACTCCACACACCTAATAATGATCCCTCAAAAAAAACCAATAATAAATTGGTCATTTCAATCCACGACTGTTTGTGGGACACTGCTGTGTGCAATTGGCTGACACATTTCACCCACAAATATACAGTCATTTCACTTTACAGCATATTCTGTGAAGCTCTTTGAGACGTCTAGAAGACGTGAAAAGCGCTATATCAAATGCAAGGATTATTATTATTATTATTCTGTGAAGTACTTTGAGACGTCTAGAAGACTTGAGAAACGCTATTTTAAATGCAAGGATTATTATTATTATTATTAAGTCCTGTTCAAAAGTTTATATCCTATGCAAGTTTGACAAAACTCATACATTGTCATATTAAATGTATGGTCACAACTGATACGACTTATGTGATTTTTAAAAAAAGGTCTTGCTTTATTATTTAACTGGTTTTCCCTTTATACATGTCAATCAGAGGGCATTCAGCCCTACAGTCACTCACTGGCAGATCCCACAAATGACTGCAGCTGAGTGATTTCTTACTGCGGGTGGAGACCTGAAGCATCAGTCTCAGCAGCGAAGGGGAACTACATTCATTTAAATATCTTCTAAAACACAAATTCTATATTTAACTTGAATGAGTGAATGTGAGCGTACATTCCATTCAAAATGTCCCTCCCTGCATTAAACTCACCCTACAAATTACTAAAAGAATCAAAACCAGACCATTTTGAGGTACACCAGATGATCAGAGACAGCTGCCATGGTTGTGGAAGGTTTGCTTAAATTTATCGAATATCTTTTGGGGAAGTTACCGACTAAGTGAATAGGACTGAATTAAGACTGTGGAAGTTACCAAAAGCTGCCTCTTTTGACAGGATACCAGTCTCCAAATCATTTATAAAAATAACACTACCAATTCCTGTGGTATACTGCAAACCGGATATCCCCAAATCTCTCCTCCTCGCCCTCTCCCTCGCCTCCTTCATGGTCTGTCTCAAGACAGTGCCTTCGGCCACACTCCCACTCCCCCTACCTTCCAACCCTTTTGAATCCAACCCCCATCTCAGGTACAAATCCTTAACTATCCAGCGCCTTAGGACATCCTTCCAACGTGAAAAGCGCAATATAAATGTAATTTGTTGTTCTTGGATATCCACATACAACACTTAATGCTTTTTCTCTTCAACCGTGCCTTCAGCTCCCCTCTCGACTCTCTACCCCCTCCTCGCTCCCTCCCTTCCCTCCCCTCACCCTGACCATTTCCCCCCTGCTCGGGTCCCGACCCAACTGTCCAGCGCCTTGGGGCATCCTCCTGACGTGAAAGGCGCTCTATAAATGCAATCTTGTTGTTGTTATTGTTTTAACAAAATCCAGTGAATCACATAGCCTTGTTGATCCAGTTTGTCAATGATGATCTCCCAGAACCTCTGCAAAAGTGGGCTCAAGACCTAGCAGAGGTTGAAGTTACAACCTACTGAACCAAAGCACCTATACCTCACCCAGGCTAGCTTGGTGAGGGACCCTAATCCTCCTTTTGATCAGTCTGGAATCACAAATAATCGTGTTGGTTGGCAGGCTACTGTAAAATACTAATCCTGCTCGATAGGTAACTGAATTTTACATTAGTACAGAAACAAAATACATGCGATAAAAAGCACATCACAGAAAGAAAGTACTGCTTGCTATTCCACTGATCTCTGCAGCAGTTAATCATTGCTGCTGGTGGCTGCGGCTCTTTTCTTGGCCTGTGTTCAGAAACTCTTAACTCCTGAATCAGTGGATTCAGCAGTTTTCAAGCAAGATACTTCAACACAGTAAAGGTGTGGCCGGTCGGTTAGTCTGAACATGCCACACATTTTATGGAGATTTATGAAGACAGCCCTGCCCATGTCCTGATAGTGTACACCTCCTACTGGTACACTGATGAAAGAGCACGCTTAGAAACCACAGGCATTCTGCAGCCTACTCCCTCACGCTCCCAATTACATAATCGTTGGCATATCAGAACATATGCGTGAGAAGAGGAGGAGGGTGGGACTGTATTTAAGCAGCTTGGGGGGTGGGGTGGGAGGGGAGGAATGCAAGTCTGATGTACAGAATTTCAAATAAGATAGTCACATACCGAAACAGGTTCTACACCCTCTTTGCATAAGTCTATTCCTGCCTGCACCAATAGTAACCTTTTCATCTGGTCAAGAACTCACACAGGCACTTACCCGTGTATCCAGGGAAATATTTGCCGTCTTTCCATCCACGGTTACTGACAGAGATTTGCCACTTTTGGACTTTGCCACACATTCTTGCCCGAACATATCCCTGAAAGGAAATTGCCAAATAAGCAAATTAATGTCTCTTCAAAGGACTGGAAAGAAAAATTAAACCACAGGTTTCTTCATCTGCGTCTGTAGCTTGGGGCAGAATTAAAACCCGTCATCACTCTCAATTCCAGTGAGGCCTTCACAAATATACTGTAGAACTGTTTTATTTTTCACTTTTTTTATTGGTACACCCCAACTCTTGGTTAATTAACTCTATATTGTAATCATAATGAATTGCACTCAATTGGAATATTGTAATAGAGATCAAAATTAATTTATATAACCATTTTGTGCAAATACTGCTGGGTAAATGTCAGAAAAAAAACATTTAAGCTATGGGACAGACAGATATTTGCTCAATGTTGAATTCCACATCCATTCCTTGTATTTTGATGCACATTTTACACAAAATGTACATTTTAATATGTATTCCCTCCAGACAAACTGAAAGTGGGAATAATTCTGTTTTGCTCATCACTTATCGTGGTCAAATCAGCTATGCACCAAAAAAACAACCTATAAGACATATACATTGTTCTGCTTCAAATCTGACGCACAAAATTTCAAACAAGATAATCACATACTGTAGCATGATCTCCACCCTTTTCGTATAAGTCTCTTCATCAACCTTCTTGCTTGTATTTTGCTGCACAGCTGAAGAAAGTACAAATATTTAGTAATCAATGGAGCCGGATTAATGAAAATATATATTTTAAGTAAACTACACATTACAGTTGTTGTTTATCTATGTGCCGTATGAAGCTTCATTGTAATTATGTTTCCATCATAGAAATGTTAAAAACTAAAGAATTCTGTTCATAGTAAACAAAAATGCCAGCTTCTATTTTACAGAGAGCTGAGTCAGCAAGAGTCCTGCAATGCAGAATGAACTACTTGCCTACACTGCTCAGTCTTATTATGCAACACATTCAAGTGCACATGAATACCACAGGCTATTTCCTCCTCAAACAGATAAAACTCTGCTCCAGGGTCATGCAGTCCTTGGCCTCACAAATGGAAAATAAAATGCAGTTCTTGAAGGGAGATATGTGCACATGACACCAACTCAATAGAAGTCTGCTCTGACCAGAGATCCTTTCTGAGCTGAGTCCCTGCAGGTCAGCATCTTGTACAAGGCTCTCACTCCCTTTATGTCCGGAGGTTAAGGCTTGATTCCTGTTGTCATTTTTCAACAAATACTTTTCAAGCCAGTTTTATCAATTATAGGTAGTACTATCCAAAAGCCAACAGAACACTATACTACAACAATTCAAGTAGATATCACACCTTTCTGTGCTTTAGGGTTTGATTGCACTTCCAAGATCACCGTCATCACTGCATCTGCATACATGTCATTCAGTGGATTTGCCACCCACTATAAGGGGAAAACGCACACACATAAAATAATTACTCGGGTAGGTTTACCAAAATATAAAATCCTTTCACAGGTTCAGGTTTGTGAAGCACAATTTCAGAACAGACACCAGGAAGCATTTCTTTACACTGAAGGCCTGTTCCTTCAGATGAGATGTTAAACCGAGGTCCTACCTCCCTGTTCAGGTGGATGTTAAAAATAATAATATAATAATAATTCTTGCATTTGATATAGCACTTTTCACGTCGGGAGGACGTCCCAAAGCGCTTCACAGAACACACTGTAAGTGAATTGACTGTATATTTGTGGGCGAACGCAGCAGCCAATTGCGCACAGCAATGTCCCACAAACAGTCGTAGATTGAAAATGACCAATTTATTATTGTTTTTGGTTTTGGAGGGATTATTATTAGGCGTGTGGAGTAAGGAAACTTGCCCGAGGTTTCGCCCTGACCTGCCTGGAATTGAACTCAGGTCTCTCACTTGCAAAGCGAGTGCTCTAACCACTGAGCTACAGGACTCCATAAAAAAATCCTGTGGTCCTATTGAAGAGAAGGGAGTTTTCCTGGTGACCTGGCCAACAACACCCCCCCACCCCCCATATAAAATTGGTCACTCACTTCATGTCTGTTTGTGTGACTTGCTGTGTGAAATTAGCTGCAGCATTCGCTTACAAAACACACAATCCCTGTACTTTGTAGGATATCCTGTGAAACACTTTGGGATATCCTACCAAATGTAGGATTATTATTAAGTGGAGTCCTGTAGCTTAGTGGTTAGAGCACTCGCCTCACAAGCGAGAGACCTGAGTTCAATTTCCAGGTGGCTTGAAACATTGGCCAAGTTTTCTTACTCCACACACCTCTGTTTACCTAGCAGTAAGTAGAAACCCAATTGTTAGTCAATTGGCGGATTGCTTTTCCAGGGGTAATAATTCCTTCAAAATAAAATAATAGAAAATAATAATAAATTGGTCACTCAATCCACTATTGTTTGCAGGACACTGCTGTGTGTAATCGTCTTTTGCGTTTCGCCTACAGAATATAGAGTCAATTCACTTTACAGGATATTATGCTTTGAGACATCTTGAACGTGATAACACCAACAACAAGATTACATCTGTATAGCGCTTTTCACGTTGGGAGGACGTCCCAAGGTGCTGTAAGACGAGCTATATCAAATGCAAGGATTATTATTAACAACTAGGATAACAGAAAGGGTATTTGAGGGCAGTGCACATAAGAACAGCTGGATGTCATAATGTGAAAATGGTAGGGTGGGTATTCTGGAAGGATGAGATCAAATAGGGCCAAATTACTTTCTTTAACCAAACTGCTATTGTGAAATAATATTCCCCTTTTCAGTTTGCAAGCACGGAGTTAAAAAAGGCCATTCACCACTTCTCTTTCTGCCAATCATGCAAGCTAATCTCATATGAACTCTACCTCATGTATTTAGCAATCTTAAGAGGAAGGTCAGCTAATTTAATTCATTGATGCCCAAAGACAGTCTTATCAAACCTCCACAATATCCATCTACGCTTCTTATACTTTGAATACCCTTTTTTGTTGAGAATCTGTTACACTACTCTGTGGGTCAGGTTATTTTTAAAGCTCACTTTAGGCTAGTTAATTTTGTACCAATGTTCTCTAGTTGTACATTGAAAGTGCAAATTGAACATCTACATTTTACATGCAAGATTGCAAAGCGGATTGTCAAAGTTGTTGCTGACATCATTGACTAGGCTGGCGTTTAAATGCCGAAGGATAAGTTGAACATTAAATGGGATGAAGCAGAGAGGTCAGGCAGAACAGCTTTTTTTAAATAGAAAGGTTAAAAGAATTGTGAAATAAGTTACCAGAGATGGCCATCCATTAAACAGACAGTGACATCTAACTAAAGCAATCTATTGGCATAAATGCTGTGTGACCACTGGAAAAAGTACCTCTGACATATATTGTTTTGTTCTGAGTGCGTGTAGTCACAAGACTTCTGCTATAATGAGCTCTTGGGCCTGAGTCCAAGTCTTGCAACTCTGCGTAATGGACGGACTTCCTCTCTACATACCATTTACACATGGCACAAAATAGATCCAATGGTCAGAGCTTATCTACTTTGTCATGGGCTGTCAGGATCCAATAAACCTTACCACCGTAGCCTTTAAAAGAGATGAGAATGGGGAGCGGGGAGATTCATGAAAAAATACAATAATTTCTATCAAACTATTTTGCTTCAATTGAGTGGGATTTATAATCTTACTCAGGCTGCTGGACAAACCACCGGAGGGTAATCAAGTGATTCATGGGGAAGAGCGAGGCAGAAAAAAAACAATCGTCTCAATTCCCGCCTGGTAAGCGAGAGGACCCGTGTTCGATTCCTGGGCAGGCCGAAACCCTAAGCAAGTTTCCTTACTCCACACTCCTCTGTTTAAGTAGGAACCCGATTGTAAGTCGATCGATGGATTGCTTTCCAGGGGTAAAAATAAAAAATCAAAAATCAATAATTTGGTCACTTAATCCATGACTGTTTGTGGGACACTGCTGTGTGGAAATGGCTGCCATGTTTTACCTACAAAATATACAATCAATTCACTTTACAACATATTCTATAAAGCGCTTTGAGACATCTCGATGACGTGATAAGGCGCTATATCAAATGCAAGGATGATTATTTTTATTATTATTACTTTTGTGCAGCTTCAGTGAAGCATTCATTGTACTGATGAAAGTTACGATTAAGTCTGCATTTTTGACAGTTTCACTCCAAATTAATGTGAGGGTAAAGAAAGAAACAAGAGCTGATAAATGGTATTAAATAACCTCACCTCCAGCACCACCATGCCTGGCTCCTGAATCACTGTGATGGCTTTGAAGACTCTCAGTGCTGGCTTTTCCTGAACTTCTATTTCCTCCACATCATCTGAAAAGTAATTCAATCACAGAAAGTAGTTACCCAAAAAAGCATGTTTGTGCAAAGGAGGACTGTGTCTTTACAATATTCAGTACCTACTATTCTGATAGTTATGTGGATGTTGTAAACACTGCACAATAATAATCCTTGCATTTGATATAGTGCTTTTCACGTCTTCTAGACGTCTCAAAGCGCTTCACAGAATATACTGTAAATTGAATTGACTATATTTGTGGGTGAAATGCGGCAGTCAATTGCGCACAGCAGTGTCCCACAAGCAGTCATGCATTGAGTCACCAAATTATTATTGCATTATTTTCTTGAGGGATTATTATCAAACATGTGGATTAAGGAACTTGCCCATGGTTTCACCCTGTTGGGAAATGAACCCAGCTCTTTCACTTGCGAAGCGAGTGCTCTAACCACTGAGCTACAGGATTCCACCACATCTCACTCTATCAAATGCAGGGATTACTATTATTATTTACATATATACAAGTTTTAAGCCAAGCATAATGGCTAGAATCAAGCTCAAAAATACCTATGGGTAAATAAATAATTGTCCTTGAAACGTCAAAATCCACCCCCCCACGAGTGACTCATTGAGCATTTTATTATGTGTGTGTCACTGATCCACAGACAGGAGAGGTCTCAAATTCAGTCACCTTAAGGTCTATGTCAAGGTATGTGACCTTAATCAGCGCAGTAAGGACAATGCACTGTACTCTGGTCAAGGGAAAGCTAATATCAACAACGGTTCCTAATGTTATCCCTGTTTGAAAGGGGAAATGGATTTTGGGCAAGGACAGGATCAGTCATGGCTGTTATCCCATGATAACACTTGAAAAAAACACCAAAACTCTTGAACTAGATGCTGACATTCACTATCTTGGATCATGCACAATAATAATCTTCATAATAATAATAATAATAATAATCCTTGCATTTGATATAGCGCTTTTCACGTCAGGAGGACGTCCCAAAGCGCTTCACAGAACACACTGTAAAGTGAATTGACTGTATATTTGTGGGCGAACGCGGCAGCCAATTGCGCATAGCAATGTCCCACAAACAGTCGTAGATTGAAAATGACCAATTTAATTATTGTTTTTGGTTTTTTGGAGGGATTATTATTAGGCGTGTGGAGTAAGGAAACTTGCCCAAGGTTTCGCCCTCTGCCTGGAATTGAACTCAGGTCTCTCGCTTGCAAAGCGAGTGCTCTAACCACTGAGCTACAGGACTCCACTTCATCATCGAACTATAGAAATTTACAGCACAGAGGCCAATCGATCCATCGAATCTGCGTTGGGTCTTTATAAGAACAATTGTTTTTGAGTTCTATTTACTTGCCTTTGCTCCATTCCCTCACAATGTACCTTTTTATATATATATCTAGTTCCTGTTAGAAAGCCAATATGGCTTTTGCCTCAACCAACGTTCATGGCAGGGCATTCCATCTATCTATCTATCTACCCAATCCTTGTGCTGTAGCATATTGGTTAGAAAACTCGCCTCGCAAGTGAGAAGACCCAGGTTCAATTCCTGGGCAGGGCGAAAACTTAGGCAAGTTTCCTTACTTCACATGCTTCTGTTTACCTAGCTAAGTAGGAACCTTGTTGTTAGTTGATTGGTGGATCGCTTTCTGGGGGTAATAATGCCTTTAAAAATAAATTTGAACACTTAATCCACTACTGTTTGTGGATTCTGCTGTGTGCTTTACACAGTATATTCTGTGAAGCACTTGGAGATGTCTCGACGACATGATAAGGCGCTATATCAAATGCAAGGATTATATCAAATGCAAGGATTATTATTATGTTAAATTGATGCCTATAGTTGATTCACCAACCATTGCATTTGATATGGTGCTTTATCATGTAGTTGGCGTTGGGACATCCTCCCAATGTGAAAAGCTCTATTGTTGTTTGTTTGTTGAGACGTGAGACCTTCAAGATTTACTGTAAAGTCTAGGGACTGTGCACTTGCAGGCCAATGCGACAGCCAATTTGCCCATTGCAATGTCCCACAAGCAGCCATGTAGTGACTGACTGATTTTTTTCTGGGAGATTATTAGCCAGGACACTTTTTAAATTGCACACATGAAGAATTGGTATTTGAGGAAAAGTACTGGAGGGCTGTCAACATCCACGGAGCTGTCCCCAGCTAATTAGTACCTCAAAGAGAGGACTAGGGAAGAAAAGAGAACAACAAAATAATTTACAAACCTGCAAGAGTTTGGAGATGATGTGCCAATAGCATGAAGGGTCCAGAGTACTGTATAGCCTGCGTCTGAGTCACTGTGCTCATTGCCAAGTCAGTGTAAACTGTTAAACATTGGTAAAAGGGAAAAACGTCATTTTATCCTTAAGTGTACACAAACACCAGTACAATCTACGCATTAACAGAAGTCTGGAAACACAGATAGATGATGGTAATGCTAAATTTAGAATTAGACAATTTACAGAATTTGAAACTAAACAAATACACACACCAACCTGTCAGTCAAGGGAGTAGATAATTGAGTCTAGATAGCTAAGAAATAACCAAACATTGAATTCTCCTTAAATCATATGAAGCTTTGAAAGCATAATTTTTTTCTGATCTGTGATGTACATAGATAGTCCTTTAATGTGATTCAGGCAGGCAGCTTGTCTTTTTTTAAAAAATGTATCTCTTTCTTCAGTGTAGTCGATTATCTGAGCTATTAGAAGTTTTCCAGTTTAAGAGGAGAGTTATCTTATCTCATTATCTCAGAATAGGAACAGAGGTTAGAGAGAGGTATCAGCTCATGTGGAGTATAAACACTAGGATGAATTAGTTGGGCCAAATGGCCTGTGTAGCCGGAACATCCTATTTAATTTGACTAGTCTATAAGAATATTTTATCCAGATGCTCTTTTGAGTCCTTTGTGGAGTCCTGTAGCTTAGTGGTTAGAGCACTCGCCTTGCAAGCGAGACACCTGGGTTCAATTCCAGGCAGGGCAAAGCCTTGGGCAAGTTTTCTTACTCCACACGCCTAATAATAATCCCTCCAAAAAACAAAACAATAATAAATTGGTCATTTTTAATCCATGACTGTTTGTGGGACACTGCTGTGCGCAATTGGCTGCCGCATTTTGCCCACAAATATACAGTCAATTCACTTTACAGCATATTCTGTGAAGCGCTTTGAGACGTCTACAAGACGTGAAAAGCGCTATATTAAATGCAAGGATTATTATTATTATTTGATCTATATAAATGATCTGAACTTGGGTATATAGGGAGTACAATTTCCAAGTTTAAAGATGGTACTAAGCCAGGAAAAGTAGTAAACGGTGAGGAGGATAGTAGCACTGCAAGAGGGCATAGACAGACTGGTAAAATGGGAAGACATGTGGCAGATGAAGTTTAATGTGGAGAAATGCGAAATGATACATTTTGGAAGAAGAATGAGGGAAGGGAATATAAGCTGATGGTAGAATCTTAAAGGGGGTGAAGGAACAGAGAGTCCTGGGGAGTCATATAAGTAAATCTTTGAAGGCGGCAGGACAGGGAGATAAAGCTGTTAAAAAGCATATGGGATACTAGGCTTTATAAATAGAGGCACAGAATACAAAATCAGGAAGTTATGATGAACTTTTACAAAACACTGGTTAGGCCTCAGCTAGAGTATTGTGTTCAATTTTGGGCACCACATTTTAGGAAAGATGTCAAGGCATTGGAGAGGATGCACAGGAGATTTACAGGATGGTACCAGGAATGAGTGTCTTCAGTTATCAGGAGAGGCTTGAGAAGCTAGGATTATTCTCCTTGGAGCAGAGAAGGTTAATAGGAGACTTAATAGAAGGTTTCAAAATTATGAGGGGATTTGATAGGATGAACAAGGAGAAACTATTTCCAATGGCAGGTGGATTGGTAACCTGAGGACACTGATTTAAAATAGTTGTTGAAAGAAACAGAGGGGAGGTGAGGAGAAATTTTTTCACACAGCGAGTTGTTCGGATCTGGAATGCATTGCCTGAAAGGGTGGTGGAAGCCCATTCGATAACAACTTTTAAGAGAAGTAGATAATTATTTGGGGAGGACAAGTTTGCAGGGCTATGGGGAGAGAGCGGGGGAATGGGATTGATTTGGATAAGCTGTTAAAAGAGCCGGCACAAACACGAATGGCCTCCTTCTGTGCTGTATAATTCTTTGCTAATTTTGTTGACTCCACAAACTTCTGGCAAATGAAATAACGTGAAGTCAGCAAATACACCTGGACTCCAAGTTGTCACAAACCTACCCTATGCTGCATTTATTGTCGGAAAAGGACATTGGATTCAGGAAATTGTTTTAAAAATCCAATCTCTCTACACTTGCTGATTCCAAGAATTGCCCATTTAGTTCACGGGAACATTTTTAAAAAAAATGGAGACAACATGGCTGCTAATTATCCCTGCTCTCCCACATTTGGCTTGAACAGTGAAATATCTCTCTTACCTCACTTCTAAAGAAGTTTTAAAATAAAAATATGCATTAAAAATCCTTACTGTACAAATACTAGGCACTGTGCCAACCGATCAAATGAAATTTTAAACGTGGCTGACACCATGAGTTAACGTTTGCAAACAGCGCAGCCACATAGGACTCCTCACAATGTGGAATTGGAGATAAAAAACTTTTTCTGAGTTATGACGTGCATAGTCCTTTCATTTGACAATCAGACAGGCAGCTTGTTTTTTTTTACAAAAGCAAAAAACACTCCTGATAAAAGAAGTGGTCCAATGATAGGCCTGAATTAAATTAGGAAGTGCTTGTTCAGGAAAAAAAGTGATGACATGGTTGACCTGATCTCAGCAGCACACCCCCAGCACTGTACTGGACTGTCAGCTCAGAGTGAGTGAGTTCAAACTCCCAACATGGGGCTTGAACCCACAACCTTCTGACTCGGAGGCATGAATGTTACCAACTGAGCCTGCTTTTCCGCATTGTTACACAGGTATGAACTTAGTGAAACTTGAAATTGTCACTCTCTAAAGTCTCTTTCAACAATAACTGAATTTCCTTTTCGCCTGAAGAAGTAGTAAATTAAAGAACACGTATGGGGGTGAATTACTCACTGGACAGATCAGACGGTATGAGGATGTGATAGTTAAAGTTTCTTTTTACAAGTATTCCTGAAATCCTTTGACCTTGATCAGCCTTTTTGTCTGCCAAGCAGCCCATCACCTGTCAAAAGTAAAGAAGAAATAAAGACAATAATACAACAGCAACAACAATTTGAACTTATATAGTGCCCTCCAGGCAAGGCAGCATCTCAGAGTGCTTAATACAGATCCTTACTTGATCTTACCTCCACCCTCAGATGGGATTATGGCGACATTTTACAGCGGCAGCAAAAACAATGCAAGATTATAGCTGAAAGATTATGTTTGCAAACTACTTGCATCTCAAAATCAGAGTGAGTCAACTGGCGTTTACCATGTACTCTGGCAAAGTATAAACAGGAGGTTTACAGCTAGAAATCTGTGATAAGTTAAGAAAAAATTATTACAGAAATTCAGGACTGACTGGAGATGATCAGACTCTGGGACCTCAGGGCAAATACGGGGGCGGGGGGAGAAGAGAAAAAAAGCACTGAAGAAATTCAGATTCATATTTTATGTTCCCCTAAATTCATTTTACAGCTAAATACTCAAATGGAATTAGATGTAGAAAGGGTTTACCTTTCTGCTACCACCCGCAAACATCCTATACTGCCACACTACTTTACAGTATATCCTGTGAAGCACTTTGAGACACCTTAACCAAGCAGTAAGGCACTATAACAAATGCAAAGATTATTATTATTACAGTTTTTCCACTAAACCTGAAGCAATAAATCTTATTGGATTCAGATTTCCTCCTCTCTACTCCTTCCCCCTACTCCTACAAAATATATTTTTTGTACGTATATTGGACAGGGTCGAGAGAGTGTATCAGAAACCAGATTAACCCTGACCTGGTCGATTATGTGTCTATATATGTTTACATACACATTCTGGCAGGAATACCTGGAGCCAGAACCCTGCCCAATTGAACTTCTACTTAGTGAAGGAAGATCAAGTCCTTGCTGAAAGCAGCTAACTTGGGCACAGATCAGGGACTGAACTTGAGACTTTACCAAACTTTATAGTGGCCTTTATCCACAAAGCTATCAAGGGAGACTAACCCCTGCTTTAGAATAAGAATTTGGGGCAAATTTTATATTATTGGCTTGAATGTGACAAAAGTTGTCAAATAACAATAACAACAAGATTCCATTTATAGAGCGCCTTTCACATCGGGAGAACGTCTCAAGGCGCCGGACAGTTGTCGGGACTCGAGCAGGGGGTAAATGGTCAGGGGGAGGGAAGGGAGGGAGCGAGGAGGGGTTAGAGAGTCAAGAGGGGAGCTGAAGGCACGGTTGAAGAGAAAACAAGGAGCTCAGACTAGCCGTGTTCTTTCACTGTGTGGTGGATAGTGGAGCTGGTGATAGGATTCTTGTTAAAACAAACGCCACAGTTCATTGCCACTAGAAAAATGATACTTCATATCGCAAGGGCCTGAGCTCCCACAAGCAATTACCTTGGCCAGTTTTTCTCCTCTGAAGTAAAGTGTCACAGCCTCAGTGTTGCGTGGGTTGTGGACTTCTATGTGAACCTCATCATTGTCTTCGTATTCCCGGATAAGCGCTGCCTTCAACCTGGCCATCTCGTTCTGTTCTCCATGTACCAGCAGCTGTGGAGGGAGACCCAGACGCTCAGAAACAGAATGTCTCAACACAAGATTCTACAGCACACAATAAAATGCTTCAAATGTTTCCGGAGTTAAACCAAATATACTGTCCCCTCGTAAATAGTGATCTGCAGTACTGGATATATAAAAAAATCAAAATGGTGCAGCACAGATTCACGAGGATGTTACTAGTGTTGATGTGTTTTATTGTTGCGAGCTTCATTGGACATATCCTTTCATCCTTATCATCATGCAGTCCACAGACGAGTTATACATTTTGCAGGACGTCACATATCTTTATGTTAATTAGCACACTAACACTCAGGGCTGGATTAACCAATAAACCAGGTAAACCATGCTTTAAGACCCGAGGTCTGAGGCAGCCCAGATATGACTGACTCCTATACCTCCCGGTTGCATCTCTGTTTCGGTCAATCTCCACGCAGCCTCGTGCCTTGCACACCCTTGTGGGAGACAACGCGGAGAGCGATTGGAAGAGACCCACAACAGGAGGTAAGAAGCAGCGTGGAGAGCAGGAGCAGCAACAGAGCTCACCTTAGTGGTGCTGAAAAAAGATTTTGATGCAGACAGTGTTGATGAATTTATGCACTTTCTGGATTTCATTTCACCTACGGAGTGTGAGAAAATTCCACAAGAAATTCTAAAGTACATGAAACAGAATCACTTGGAATCAATATTTCCAAATGTGGCAGCTGCGTTCTTAACATGACCAGGAGCAGACTGTGAACAGAAGGTGAACGCTCATTCTCAAAGATGAGTCTCATCAAAAAATCACTCAGAACTGCAATGATCCAGGATTGACGGAATGCACTCACAATCCTGTCTATTGAGCATGATTTGATGCTTACACCAAGTTTTGATCATTTAGTTGACATATTTGCAATTATGAAGTCACACAAGAAAGTATTTTAAAAAGGCATTGTTGCAAATTGAGGGCATAGAACAAAGGGCCCCAAATGTGATCTGGTTTAGGGCCATCGAACTCTTAATCTGGCTCTGCCAACACTGCTTCTTCATTTTACTTCTTCGCATAAGACAAGTACCATCTGGTGACACATCCTATCTCCTCATTAACGTACCAAACCAAGCAAGGAAAGGATAACAAGCACCAATCAGGTCTAACAACCAACATTAATCAGGTTGAACAAGGTCACAAAGTTAGCCATACAATTTCACTTGAAGGCACAGCAGTGCAAGTGTTCAGCAACTTTCTATCAGGGGCTAACGGCATAGCACTACAACAGCACACCGTGATGCATCAGAAACAAACAGAAAACTTACCCGTGATGCCGCAAAGTGTTATGACACAGTAAATAGTAATGGAATATTTAAACTAGGAAACAAAAGAGTAAAGATTTAACATCCCATAAACAGCCTTGGAGTGGGTGGACTATTTAGGATGACAGAATTCTCTGCCCTACACCTTTATTGAAGCAAAGTTCACAAATTTGTTTAAAAGAGAATTAGACAGGTGCTTGAAGAGGGAGGAATGTTAAAGGATATGGGGAGCAAGCAGGAGAGTGGATTCAGTTAGGGAACTCATATGGAGAAAAACACCAGCACTGATTTGATGGGCCAGAACAGCCTTTTTCTGGGCTGAAACAGTGTTTGATTATAAAGATTATATAGAAAGAAAATACGAAAACAACATAATAATAGAATCCCAACATGCTGTGCAACTTTACAGATAGTGTGTTCTCAAGCTTGGCAGTGTTTCCATGCAAAGACTGGGAGCTTTGCCAAGGACAATGAGGAAAATAAACTCAGCAAGTCCAGGGGAATAGGAGCCAAATTGCTGACAGCACTTTCCTTTTTAATCCAAACAGTGCCACAGAACTGAACCCATGGCCTAGGTTAACAGTGCTGTGGGTGTGCTTGACTGTCAGAGTTACTGTTACTGTTCTTCAGATGAGATGTTAAGCCTGACCACTGCCTATTCAAGTAGATGTTTAAAGATCCCATGGCACTACTCGAAAAGAGAAGGGAGTTTCTCCCGGGCATTGTACTGCCCAATTGGACTGCGACGTTCACCCACGATTACTCACTTCACTGGATTTAGATGTGCTCCCGACATGAAAGGCACTAGACAAATGCAAGGATAATTATCTTTAACATCCACCTAGACATGTAGATTGTTTAACTTCTCATCCAAAAGCACTTCCAGGAATACAGCATTCCCCCAGCAGTGTCAGCTTGGATTATGACTGCAAAGTTCTGACATGGGACTAGAACCCACAACCTTCTAACTCAGAGGCAAGAGTCCTACCAGCTGAGCCTAACTCCAATTGCATATGTTTTTATCTACGTGTGTAGAGAGAGTGATCGGCTAAGGCCTGCAAGCTGCCACCTGCCTGCCTTCTCAGCTGGAGATTTGGGGAAACTTTTCTCCAAAGAAAATGCAAAACACAAATAAATAAAATAACTTTGCAATTCAGTACTAACCACATGGGGTGGCTTCAGTGCACGAATAAATTCACTGGTCTGTTGGTAGTCTGTGTGTGCAGAGAATGAGATGTAATCCACTGACATCTTCAGGGGTAATTTTTGCCCAGACATAGTTGTTACCTCCTCAGGCTCAGACATAATGTGCTAGAGTTGTAAAACAGAATACAAGCGTAATGAGTAACACAGTAATAACCCAAATATTGAATGCAAGAAATTACTGAATTATTAATTATCAGCTAATGGAAAGGCATTAATTTGAAAGCTATAAATTATGAGAATTTATTGAGATGTTTAATGCGTGATAAATGGGATGTAAAACCAGCTCGTGATCTGGAGAAAAGGGATTAAAGGCTGGCATTTTTTTCAAAAATAAACAGGATCAGGCTTAACAGAACAAAAAGCCTACACTTCTGTTCTTATGCTCACTTGTAATTCCCTCTGTACAAATGTTTAACACATGGTTTACATAACTTGAATAATAAACCTTGCTATGAAGGCTGACCCATGAATAATGGTCAGTGAGTCAGTGACTGGAAGGCATCAATTAGGAGAATTTGTTTCCACACACAGAGTGGTTAGGATATGGAGTGGTTGCCAGGAGTGGTGGTTGAAGCAGAATCCATATCGACTTTCAAATGGAACTAGATAAGTATCTAAAAATAAGTAAATTACAGGGGTATGAAGAAAGCTACTGGTAAATAGGGCTGAAATAATTAATCTGAAGACATAATGCAACATATTGCCTTTTTGTGTGCTGTAAATTTCTATGGTACTAATGCCCACACGGCTGAGACTCTTGAGAGGACTGTGGAACGATAACCCAATAGAAGGCATTAAACAGAAGAGAAAATTGAGATTTTTTTTTTAAAAAAACTGGTAAATTCTACATACCTTGGCAAGTGTGCCTTCAACACAGTAACCTGCAATAATGACTCCGTTCCTCTTATCAGTGCACCAGCTCTCAAACAGCTCCCTGGACAACCCGCTCTGCATCATACCAGGAGAGGCCATGACCACACTGGGACCAATGTCATCAAAATGATCCATGCTCTTAAATAGAAAAGTCAAACGATAACATTAGGTAGCTATTTTGATCTCTCAAATGACATCTTCTATGAGATAAAACAAATCAGTACATGTTTGGTTGCGCTCCAGAAAATGGTATGTGTGAAGGTTCTAGGAATCAAATGTTTTGTTTATAGTATTTATTTTTATTTAAGAAAAGCTCAGGGCAAGTGAAAAAAAATGAAATTACTGGAAACATACAGGGGCATAGCTATCAAATTATTTGAAAATGGAACTAACTACTTTATTAGCTTTGGATATTTGTCAGTGTTCCAAGATACTCCCCTCATGAAGAGGGATATATAAATGCAACTTGTTGTTGATGTTCTGTACACCTGGATTTCACATCTCTATTAGTTTTGCTTTTAACATATTCTAAAGCCTGAAGCAATAAAGGCGAGATGAGCTTGACACAAGAATGATACCTTATGGAATATATATAACAATATTACTAAGTTTCCCAGCATAAATATATATATTTGTAATCACTTTAACATTGTAGATTGATGAAACTTTGTTAAATTAACTAGTATCTTGTTGTATTACTATGTATTTTGGCTAAAATGGAAAATGACTGAACATTTGTACTGCTGATGATTGGACTTGTGTAACTTTTGTAACCTTGCTAGAAATGAATCGTGTCTGCTTTTTCTTTATCTAATATCTGTGCTCTGCTCAGTGCAGTGATGAGGGAGAAGGAACGTACAAACCCGAGTCCTTATTTAATGTACTTGTATTTACTGCTTTGGTCATGTAGAGAAGGAAGGTTTTAATGGGATGGTCTTTGTTAGGTGAGGAATAAATACAAGAAAACGGTTTCTGTGAAACAAACCAAGTGGTCTTGAAAGTCGCGAAAACATGTTTGTTCCTAGTTTAAATATTGAGCCATAAGTTACCGGAAATTGGAAAAGCCCTGGGATTGAAGACAAAGCTAGCAAATAAAAAGAAATGAAGACAAAGAAAAAAAGATAAAGAAGAAACTCCTGTAATCATTTTTGCTGTTCTCTGGATTGGTAACTATACCTTTCTGTATTGTGCACATTGCTATATAAAGGTTTCTTAAACAAAACATTCCCTGAGTTCAATTATCTTGGTGTCTGCAAATCCATAGTTGATCGATTGTAGTCAACAAAACAAAATAAAAAAAAACTCAATATCTTGGTTACAGAAAAATTCCCACAGCTGAATTTGAGAGCCTGAACACCCGACCAGCCTCGACTTTACCTTCAGGTTGCTGATGTGCTTGAAGACAAAAGGATTGTTGATGCTGATCTGTTTGCGGATCTTTTCATTCATAGCATTCACATAGGTCTGGTACACAGCCATGCACTTTTTCGCCAGAGATGAGGCGTAGTAGATGGGTATGTCGTGCAGTTCTGGATGGTTCTGCCAATATTCATCTGTACGCAAAGTAACACACACACACACATTAGAAAATAGATTTTCATTAGCATTCTGTGGCATATTTTTATTTCCTCCTTCATTTAAGGATTCCTTTTACCTATCCCGTCATATAGTTAATATAGTTAAGTACCAGCGAGCCAAATAGCTTTTCACCCTGATGTTAGTTTTTTAGGAGTGTAACTATGCCCACTGTGTAAAAGTTACTGTTATGTATGTGCCCATGTTCAGAAGGATTAACAGGCTGCTCAATAATCGAATTAACATCCAATCCTTTTCATTGGTTAAATCACTGTGTACACTTGCATTTACACATGCATATTATAGCTATACAGACAATTGGTTTTCTCTCTGGTGTTGTCTAGCTTGTGTCCACCTTGTTAAACACGTAGAAGTCCTCAAACTACTTCTGTGGGAGGGAGAGCTAGCACGACTGCTCCAGGGTCCTGCAACATCCATGATTACGTTAAAGCACGGGTATAAGAGACAAGTGGACGATCAATTGCCATCGGCATTCAACGACCATCATCGTGAGTCCCAACTAATACGGAGCCATTAACTTGCTATGAGTGGAAAGATCTGTATTTAATGAGTAGAATAATAAGGTATCCACTCAATTCAATGTCACTTGCATAGAGATTGATACAGATACATTATCATGGTGTGTCTTTAGCTGCCGGAGACAAAACAACAGTCTCCCTATAGACTTGCTCGAATGCAAATCTTCAGGGAAACGATATTTAAATATTTAATAGGTTCTGGTGGGATAAGCATCTTACGCTGAAAGCTTTCCACCTGAGAGCAACATTAATAGCAGAATGATACCCACAAGCATTAAGACTTAATTACCATTTGTTACACAAATTATAATGAGCCCCCACCTGAAACCAGCAACGGAAGAGAAGTCAGAGTATAATGGTTAGACGAGAATCAAAAATTACCATTTCAACAATAGTGATTAGCAGGAGTATTACAGAATTAGTAGTATTGAAAACAATTTGATACCATGTCCATTGAACAATGAATTCACCAATAGTGCAAGTTCCAAAAAATAAAATGTACCAGAAATCGTCATCAAGTTCCAAAAAATAAAATGTACCAGAAATCGTCATCATCAGTGTCTAATAATAATCCCTCCAAAAAACCAAAAACAATAATAAATTGGTCATTTTCAATCTACGACTGTTTGTGGGACATTGCTGTGTGCGCAATTGGCTGCCGCGTTCGCCCACAAATATACAGTCAATTCACTTTACAGTGTGTTCTGTGAAGCGCTTTGGGACGTCCTCCTGACATGAAAAGCGCTATATCAAATGCAAGGATTATTATTATTATATGTATTAATATAATATGTAATAATCCTTGCATTTGATATAGCACCTTATCACATCTTCGAGACGTCTCAAAGCGCTTCACAGAATATACCGTAAAGTGAATTGACTATGTTTTGTCGGCGAAATGCGGCAACCAATTGTGCACAGCAACGTCCCACAAACAGTCGTGGATTTAAACAATTCAAAATCGTAGGGTTGCAAAGAATTCTCTGTAATATTTTTATCTGCAGTTCTCCTGTAAAGTTTTTGTGCAAACAGCGAGTGCTGAAGCAGGAGGAGGACTTCTTTGGAGGAGTTACTGAGCCCAACATGAGGGGGTTGAATTAATTTCAGCTGAGACACAGTCATTAACCCTGGTACTTCAGCTGCCACTGTGTATGTTAATTCAGCTCCCACAGCTGTGAGGCTCAGTAGCTCCCTCCACACCAGGATAATATATCATCAGCAGCACAAGCTAATTAAACAACAAGATTCATAAGAAAAAAATCCCAGTGAATAACTCACTATTTGATTTTTTTTGGAAAGGTGAAATGTGGTCACTGGTCAGTAAACAAATAGAGTTAACCAACAACAACAACAAAATTACATTTATAGAGCGCCTTTCACGTCAGGAGGATGTCCCAAAGCGCTGAACAGTCAGGTGTCGGGGCCCGAGCATGGGGGAGGGGTAGTGTTGGGGTGAGGGAAGACAGAGAGGTAGGAGGGAGACCAAAGGCACGGTCGAAGAGAAGGGTCTTGAGACCGGCCTTGAAGGAGGCGAGGGAGGAAGCGAGGCGAAGGGACTGTTGGATGGAGTTCAAGAGTGTGGGGGCAGAGAGGCTGAAAGCCCGGCCACCGATGGTAGGGTGGGTCGGGCAGGAGTAGGTCGGAGCCTGATGAACGGAGGGAGTGGACAAGTTGGTAGGGAGTCAGAAGGTCAAGAGAGGTAGGAGGGGGCAAGGCCATGGATGGCCTTAAAGGTGAGGACGGGGATCTTGAACTTGCTTATCGATGGCTGCTAGGCGAAACTCAATGCCCATTGGCACCCCAGTGTTAATTTTGTGTGCTCCAAACAGCCATCAGAAGTAATTTCACGAGACAACTGTCTGTATCTCCTTCAAGCTCTTCTCAAGACCCCGCCTTTGACCACAGTTCCACTCCCACTCCTACTAGGCGTGGGACATACACCCTCTTAATTCTAACCCTTAACTGTCCAGCAACTTGGGACATCCTTCTGACATAAAATGGGCTATATAAATGTCATTTGTTGTTGTTGTTTCACCTTGTGATGCCATTCAATATAGATGCTGCTTTGCTCCAGCAATATGGAGAGGGAATCCCAATTTCTACTTCCTGCTCCTCATCACTTCAATTCGGGTAGTGGGGAAAGATGACCTCAGCCACAGTGAAAGAGGAAGGTCTTGAGATGGACCTTAAAGGGGGTGAGGGAAAGGGGGAGGCAGAAGGGTTCTGGGATGGAGTTCCAGAGTGTGGGAGCAGAATACACGACCGCCGGGCTGAGGGACGTGAAGCAAGTTAATACCTTAATAATAATCCTTGCATTTGATATAGCGCTTTTCACGTCGGGAGGACGTCCCAAAGCGCTTCACAGAACACACTGTAAAGTGAATTGACTGTATATTTGTGGGCGAACGTGGCAGCCAATTGCGCACAGCAATGTCCCACAAACAGTCGTAGATTGAAAATGACCAATTTATTATTGTTTTTGGCTTTGGAGGGATTATTATTAGGCGTATGGAGTAAGGAAACTTGCCCAAGGTTTCGCCCTGCCTGGAATTGAACTCAGGTCTCTCGCTTGCAAAGCGAGTTTCAGAACTCTGCAGCTCGTGTACTGTCCCGCACCAGGCTTCGGGACCACATCACTCCCACCCTCGCTCGCCTCCACTGGCTCCCCATCCCCCAGAGGATCGATTTCAAGATCCTCATCCTCATCTACAAGGCCATTCACAGCCTCACTCCCTCCTACCTCTCCGACCTACTATCCCCCTACCTACCTGCCCGTACCCTCCGTTTCTCTGGCTCCGGTCTGCTCCACATCCCCCGCCCCAACCGCCCTACCATCGGTGGCCGGGCCTTCAGCCTCTCAGCCCCCGAGGCTCTGGAACCTTATCCCCCAGTGCCTTCGCCGCCTCCTCCCTTTCCTCCTTCAAGGCCGGTCTCAAGACCTTTCTCTTTGACCGTGCCTTCAGTTCCCCTCTCGACTCTCTACCCCCTCCTCGCTCCCTCCCTTCCCCCCCTCAGCCTGACCATTTCCCCCCTGCTCGGGCCCTGACCCAACTGTACAGCGCCTTGGGACGTCCTCCCGACGTGAAAGGCGCTTTATAAATGGAATCTTGTTGTTGTTGTTTTGTTGTAACCACTGAGCTACAGGACTCCACGAGCAGTGGGAGTAGGCGGGTTGGGAGGATTTTAGGAGGTTGCATAGCTGAGCTGCGGGAAGACCCTGGAGGGATTCAAAAGTGAGGATGAGGATCTTGGACTCTATCCTCTGGGGGCTGTGGAGTTAGTGGAGCTGAGCGTGGATGGGGGTGATAGGATTGTGCTGGCTAGTGTGGGAGAGAACACAAACTCCAGACTTCTGGCTTGTGCTGCTGCAGAGCAATTCACATGTCTGAGCCCCCTCTTACACTGCACCAAATACTGAGAGCAAAACGCTGAATCAGGGTTGAAGAGATTTTCAGCAATGTTTACCTAAGATCAGAAGTAGTTCCTGTGCCCGGCCCAGAGCAAAGACAGGAATGAGGCATCTTCCTCCACGGTTTACAATGTCATGTACAGTGTTGCAGAACCGAGCTTCACGCTCCTCACGTTTCTCATGGATGTGAGTGCCATATGTAGATTCCTGTATGACAGAAAGGATTAGTAATATCTCGATAGTAAGAGAACGGTACAGAAGCTAGCTGTTTGATTTGGGAACAGAAACACAAACAAAGACGGGGATCCAGTTTCAGTTGTCAGCTTATAATGACCAAAACTGGAACTTAGTAAGAAGTTCCTCATCGCAATATTGTTGAGGATTTACTTAAAGGATAATATATTGGGCCGGGCAATATGCCAATATATTTGGAAACACAAAATCTTATTGTGGATCTTTGTTTTGCAACTAACCAAAGAAAGAACAGAATATGATAGGCAGTAAATGCACAAGTCAGTAAATAAAACATATCCAAAATTGAACATAGGAATCGCTGGACGAAAGAAGACCAAAACCCATCTAGTCTACTTTCTACAACAACAACAACAAAATTACATTTGTATAGTGCCTTTCACACCAGGAACACGTCCTACCATTCTGGTAGTCGCATGCTACAATAATGGAGATGTTGATAGGAATTAATTCTGTATGGATTAGTCTACAACAGAGTGAAAGCTTTGGGAACCTTAGATCCAAAGTTGCCTGGTCGTTCCAAGCATACTACACTTACTATATGCCATGTCTGAAATTACTCATGTACTGTATCCCAAAATATTATTTAAGAAATCTATCTAGTTTGCATTTGAATGAAATTGTTCGGGTTATTCCAAGCATATACAACTTAAAACATAATTTTAAAGATGCTACAACGTTTCTGTTGCTGTAGTACATTGACAATACACGATTAAATTAAACGACTGTTTGTGGGACATTGCTGTGCGCAATTGGCTTCGCATTTCACCCACAAATATACAGTCAATTTACTTTACAGTATATATTCTGTGAAATGCTTTGAGACATTCAGAAGATGTGAAAAGCGCTATATCAAGTGCAAGGATTATTATTATTCCAGAATTAAAGCAAATTCCTTAAAACGTAACAAAAATCTACTTTTGTACATAGTAATTCAATCTACTCTTGTAAACATACATAATAGAACCAATCTATGAAAAACAGCTTCCTATTTGCTCAATTTTAGTTTTGTGGGACGTCCTTGGGAGGTGAAAGGTGCTATAAAAATTTAATTTGTTGTTGTTTTGTGATAAACTAGGCTTAAAATCGCTAAATTCAGGTAGTTAACACAGAATTACTATGAGCATCGCTTTGCCAAAGAAGGAACAACTCACAATTATAAGAATGTCAGGTCGGACACTTGGGATCTCAGCTGCCATTAAGTGTCTGTCCTCCTGCCGTGAAAAATCTCCAGTGTACAAGATCTGAGGGGAAGCAATTAACACAGATTAGATAACCACACAAGACAATACTGAAAGCTGCTGACATTTACTTTGAGACATCTCAACAATGTGATAAGGCGCTATACCAAATACAAAGATTATTATTATATATTGTTTACCCACAAAATACAGTCACTATAATTCACAGTAAAATCCTGTGCAACACTTTGAGAGGTCCTCCTGACGTGAAGTGCTATATCAAAGATTATTTATGATAATAAATCCTTGCATTTGAAATAGCGCCTTATCACGTTGTTGAGACGCCTCAAAGCGCTACATAGAATATATTGTATAATGGATTAACTGTATATTTTGTGGGCGAAATGCACCAGCCAACTGTGCATAGCAGTATCCCACAAACAATGGCACAAGCAACAATATTATTTATTTATTTGCAGATAATATAATAATCCTTGCATTTGATATAGCGCCTTATCACATCTTGAGACCTCTCAAACTGTTTCACAGAATACATTGTGTATTTTGTGAGCGAAATGCGCCAGCCTATTGCACACAGGTGCAGCCAAAGTAACGCAAACATTTCTGTGCAGATATTATACATTGGGCAGAGTAACCAAAGACTAATGTATGATATTTTGGTATGAATTATAATAATTATTATCAATAATTATATTGTGCATCACTAAGGAAAGTCGTACCTTCACTCCAGCAATTTCGATCATGAACATGGCTGCTCCCAAGACATGGCCGGCATGGTAGCACCAGAACTTGATGCCTGCCACCTCCTTCACCTCATGGAAGTTGATGGTCTCAATCTTGTCCATGCTTTCCTCCAAGTCAGACTCTGTGTACAGCATGTCATCTGCTGAAATATTACTGCACACACAAAGAAAACATTGTTAGGTGTTACCACTCAACTGGTTGGATTATTTAAGAGTTTACAAGAAAACAAAGGAAATTCAAAAATGGAGAACAGGGGCAGAACCAAGCGCTGGATCTCTCTGCCATCAAATACTTAAAACACTGGTGCAAGTTCACACATAGTGAGTTTTCTCAATCTTTGCCTTTTTTGTGGGGGAAAAATGTGGAAAGGGAAATAGATATAGTAAGTAGACTGGCACAATGTCAGGGTCTCAGCGCTGGCTCAATTGCAACATTGGCAGAAATCTGGGGAGGCCTGTACACCATCTTGTTACGCTCATACTCCTCTCCCTCTTCTTGTTCAAGGGCCACGTCAAGATCATGTCTTTCCCCTCCCCACCTCCTTCAGAACCCACCCCCTAGCCCAGGATCTCAGCCAGCAATGCCAAGCGCGTTTCCCAACAATGAAAGTTAATGTATAATTATCAGTATATTTGTAAGCACATAAACCATAAACACACATCTTAAATGATGGCAATGTAATCAAGCTAAATAAATGTGTCTTATAAGTTAGTTAAGCCTCGAGATCCAAGTTAAACTGGCAAATCCTTCTCAGAAAAGAGCCTCAACATAGAAGGTATTTGGTGGGACAAATCTTTCATTCTTAGAGAAGCACAGCTGAAACAAGCCAGGAAGGGTGTACTTCTTTTTAATACATATATACAGTCTGACCCCACTACAATATTGATGGTCTCTGCCACTAACTCACTCCGTGCAGCCTAAACTCTCATCCAGGCCTTTGTCACCTCCAGGCTCGACTCCTTCAACTTCCACCTTGCCACGTTCCCCAGCTTCAATGTCCATGAGCTCCAGATAATCCAGCCCCCATACTCTCCCACACCAAGATCATTCCCATCCTCACCAAATTCCAATGGCTTCCCATCCCCCAAAGCATCACTTTTAAGATCTTTGCTCTTACTGTCTTATGCCTCCAGATCTTGCCCCACTCTGCTCCAGCCTGCTCCATGCCCCCTGCTTCCTCTCCCCCACCATTGGCAATAACTTTGACAACATGGAAAATACCATCTTAAGAGCAAGTTTTTTTTCAGCAAAACAAACTGAAGACCAAAAGGCAGAAAAGGTTCCAGCACTAAGCATGCCAGATAAACATCTGAAACACCACTCACCTGACCTTGACATAATCAGACAGGAGCCAGCGATAGATAGCTTTTGTGGCGTGAGTCATAAACGTCCTGCCTTTGAAACTTGTCTTTTGCAGAAACCATGGCAGAGCACCACAGTGATCCAAATGAAAGCTGGTGAAGAAAATTGCCATTGAAGTAAGACAAAATATGCAGAAAAATACAGGTGCATGTGGATACCTTTTATCCATGGAAACCTGCAGAATTATGCGAACCTTGTACAGCTCTATCGATTCACTTATTTTAATGAATTGCTACCAGGTCCCCAAGACGTGTTGCACTTTGATAAGAATCACATATAAAACAAGATGATCAGAGCAGAGTATATGAATTCTGAAGGAACCCACTCCTGTCAGTAACTCAGTTTCTAGATCTCCTCAGGAAAATGCACCGTACTGTGTACTGCAGAGTCATAAGAGACTGGTTTGTGCTAAGTTAACTGATCTCAAAGGGCGTAGTTGTGGGATGGTCTGAACTGGTCTTGATTCAATTTAATAAGGGGGGGGTGGTGGGTAAGAAATTAGCTCCCGATTTCTATCCAGTTAACCTATGCTGAAAAATAAGGGTATTTATATCAACTGAAGGCAGGACCAAGCTCACCAGCAATATCTCTCAAGAGCCTAAACATCCTGCTGACATTCACTATCTATGCCAAGGGTTTTCATAATATGGCTCAAGATTCCAATCTGTGCTGAATTGATTGAATTCACTCTCACTCTCTGTGGGTGACATTGTTATAACACAATGTTTGGTTTCCAATAAGTTCCCGACCCACACAATAACAAGGCACCGTGTCAGGTTTCGCTGCAATCAGGGCTCCGTGCGCCAGCAATGCTCTGTGATTAAAACATGGCCGACTTCAGGCAGTTGGCATCACTTCCTGTTTACTGTTCGGGTGCTAAACATGAAGTGATGTTGGTGGTGATGTAATTACCCAGAGTTAAGCCATTGTACCATGAAATCCGGCCGTGTGCGGGAAGCGAGCAGCCGGGTACACATCCACAGTGAATGGGGTCCAAACGGCAGCAGCATTCTAACTGAATCCACCCCATGTAGTAGCATGTTATAGCAGGTCCGACCTGTGTAATATTCAGCTCATTGAAACATTACTTCAGAGGAATAATTGGACTTGAATTTGGAAGATACATTCAAATATGTGGCTGAATTAAGTAACCGATTTTATGGCATTCCTTTAAATCGGGCAAATGTACAAATAACTTTGTAATTTCTAACCCTGCAGTCACAGGAAGCCGTGCTACTTACTGACTAATAAGGAGAAGGTCTATCTCTGCAGGATCGATTAGATCAATGTATGGGAGGGCGTCCATTCCTTCCAGTCCAGGATGTATTCCACAATCCAGCTGTGCAAAACAAAAGTCAGATGAAGCTAAGTTTAAAGGTGGTTTCAACCGGTACGCTGTTAATGCTGCCAGATACATATATTACTCAAAACTAATTCAAACCATATTCGTATCAGTATGTCAGATCAAGCAATTTGATCGGTAATGCACTGTTTCAGAGGCCTGCTCCAAACTTGCTGTTATCCCTTGCAATGCAGGGATAAGTGAAGCAAGTCTTCATCTAACATGCAGACAGTCAGGCTGCTCATCAAACCTATTCCTTCAGTAGACCATGTTTGCACGGTTGCAGTAATCCAATATTACTGGTACAAATATTCAGCTTTCACGAGTGGTTTTCCACAGATGACACCTCCATGGTCCCCACCGGAAAGCAGAGTATTTAATGTGTAATTATTCTTATACTTTCTAGCTATTTCTTAATTAGATATTTATTCAACACTTTGAGCTCTTTTTGTACTTTTGTAATAAGAATTTAAGTTAAAAGCTTAATTCATCCGTACCTTTTGGCATTTTAAACACAAGTCCACGTAATGACATGAACTTGTGTTTAGCTCAGCTCTGCAATTGCTTCTTCATAACTTGACAAGAGATGTCTGACAAGACAGTTCTTTGGCATTTGATCTCATCCTTTTGCACAATCACCTCTATGGTTTTATTTTATAGAAGAATCGTGCAGCTTCTTAATTATATCCATGTCCTGGCCTCCATTATCCTCTTGATAACCCTTCAAGCTGTTGATTGCGCTTCTGCAAATGAAAACCTGGCTGACCACCTCCCAGTCCATTCACTTGCTGCTTCAATATTGGAAGAACTTAAGAGGTCTACTTGCCAGATTTGCCCAAGTCCCTCCTCTCAGAGCCAACTTGAACAAATCAATGCTCCAGAGCTAAAATGTGAAAACACACAGTGTTCCTAGTGCACCCAAACTACTCTCATTCAGCTCTAAAATAAATCATTTCAAGTTATTATTTTTCCTCAAGTTGTATTACAATGAGATTCCCTTTGTTGATAATGACCTCAGGTTAAAAAACGTACCATGATTTTTCTTCCTTTGAATTCCACAATGATACATGATCGTCCCACTTCTTGTCCTGCTCCCCTAATGGTAACCCACAAACAAAGAGTAAGTTAAGGCTCCAGTCCACTGGGAACAGATTTCACAAAATCAGACCATTTTTCTACTCAATATTGGAACATAGTGGCGTAGGCTTGACAGGCTGAGCGGCCCACTCCACTCTCCACAGAAAAAAACACATCTCTAGAAGCTTTTATGTGCCAAAATTGAAAATATGAGTTTTGTCATCATTAATACTGTATTATGTGGGCATCATTGATACTGTATTATGTGGGCATCATTAATACTGTATTATGTGGGCATCATTAATACTGTATTATGTGGGCATCATTGAGACTGTATTATGTGGGCATCATTGAGACTGTATTATGTGGGCATCATTGATACTGTATTATGTGGGCATCATTGAGACTGTATTATGTGGGCATCATTGAGACTGTATTATGTGGGCATCATTAATACTGTATTATGTGGGCATCGTTAATACTGTATTATGTGGGCATCATTAATACTGTATTATGTGGGCATCATTAATACTGTATTATGTGGGCATCATTAATACTGTATTATGTGGGCATCATTAATACTGTATTATGTGGGCATCATTGATACTGTATTATGTGGGCATCATTAATACTGTATTATGTGGGCATCATTAATACTGTATTATGTGGGCTGCTCCACACCAAAGTCAAGATGTGGCAGTGCATGATATTTGGAGGAGTAATTTTGTGCAGTAATGAGACACAGCAGCAGCCCACAGATCCCCGGAGAGCGAACGTCTCATCTCAGCTCTCAGCTGTGCCATGGAAGAGAAGTGGTAAGAGGAGAGGAAGATCAGAAGGCAGGTCACTCTTGTGCACGTGGATATTTACACACACTGTGTATCCAATTACACATTGGACAGGAATGAAGCTAAGTTTGAGCAGTTGGACGTCGGGCTCACCAGAGGTCATTGAGGGGAGTGAAGCAGCGAATGGAGCAGTCACTGAGTAGAATAAGGAGGGTTCACACAAGGGATAAACTTCATATAAAAATAATCTTTGCAATTCTTACAACAGCTTTCATGTCAGGACACACCTACGGTCACCTTCGCTACCCCTCGCTTCCAACCCCACCGCTCTAAAGCGCTCTGACACGTTACAAGGGCTCTGTATAAATGCAAGTTGTTGCTGTTGTCTCATAGTGCTTCACAGGATTCGCTGTAAGTGTAGTGGCTGTGTAACTTGCAGGTTCACACTGGGAAGGTTCATATTAGGAATACTGAACCCACGACTGTTTGTGGGACAGTGCCGTGTGCGATCGGCTGCCGCGTTTCGCCCACAAAATACACAGTCAATTCACTTTACGGTACAATCCGTGAAAGCGCTTTGAGACGTCTCGAGGACGTGATGAGGCGCCGTATCAAGCGCAAGGATTATTATTAAGTGCAAGTTGTTGCTGTTGTCTGAAAGGCGCTGCACAGGATTCACCGCGAGTGTAGTGACTGTCGGGTTTGCGGGGACGAAGGGGAAAGGTGGTGTTATTTTTGCACCAGCGGTTCCGAGCGGCGGTGCGGACTGCGGTGGGGGAACCACGAACAATCTTTGCATTTGATGTAAAACCTCATCGCGTCTTCGCGACGTCTCACAGCGCGTCACAGGACAGACTGTAAAGTGTAGTGACTGTGTATTTTGTGGGCCAAATGCGCGCGTGTGTGTCTGTGTGTGTGTGGGGGGGGGGGCTGTGGGGCTGTGGGGTACACCCCTGTGGCTGCGGGGTCGGGGTCGGGGTCTCACTCACAGGGGTCGGATCAGCAGTTGGTCGCTCTCCTCCGCCGGGATGAAAGTCTCCGCTTTGCGTTTACCGCTCATGGCCGCCCCGCTCCCCGCAGAGACTTCCGGTCCGCCGGAAACTGGGGCCGACCGGAACCGGGTTCCCGGAATAAACAGTCCCCCCTCAACCCAGTCCCCCCCTCAACCCAATCCCCCCCCCCAACCCAGTCCCCCCACTCAACCCAGTCCCCCCTCAACCCAGTCCCCCTCCCAGTCCCCCCCCTCAACCAGTCCCCCCCTCAACCAATCCCTCCCCGGCCCAGGCCCAGTCCAGTCCCCCCCCCCCAGGCCCAGTCCTCCCGGCCCAGTTCCCCCCCCCCCCCGGCCCAGGCCCAGCCCCACCCCTCGCGGCCCCGGCGCCGCTAATTTATATTAAAACAAACACAGCCGCTCCTCCTGAGCTGCGGAGAATTTGAATGAATCATTTGTGTTAACTTCAAAAAGAGAGGAACCGGAACCTTCGGTGTTGTTTTGTAAGACCCCAAAACATAAAACCCTAAATCACGTTACTCTGCGTCGTATTGTCTGACACGTGAGTGTGTGAGTGAGTGTTGTTGTTGACATTATATGACGATTGTGGGTTTTTATTAAATGAAGATGTTAACCCACAGCCTCTGTGTGATGTCAGGGGGTGGGGACAGGACAGGGGGGAGCAGGACAGGGGGGGGGGAGCAGGACAGGGGAGCAGGACAGGGGGACAGGACAGGGGGGGACAGGGGGAGCAGGACAGGGGGACAGGATAGGGGAGGGGACAGGATAGGGGGGGACAGGGGGGGCAGGACAGGATAGGGGGACAGGATAGGGGGGGGGACAGGATAGGGGGGGGACAGGGGGGAGCAGGACAGGGGAGCAGGACAGGGGGACAGGACAGGAGGGGGGAGGGGGAGCAGGACAAGGGGGGGGAGCAGGATAGGGGGGACAGGACAGGGGGGGACAGGGGGAGCAGGATGGGGGGGACAGGGGGGAGGGGGAGCAGGATAGGGGGGGACAGGACAGGGGGGAAGGGGGACGGGTGGGGACAGGGGGAGGGGGGACGGGGAACAGGAAGCTGCTGAGGACACACATATCTGTCCCTGAGCTCAGGTTTGGTGTAATGTGACTGAGTTTGTAATGTGACTGAGTTTGCACTGTGACTGAGTTTGCACTGTGACTGAGTTTGCAATGACTGAGTTTGCAATGTGACTGAGTTTGCACTGTGACTGAGTTTGCACTGTGACTGAGTTTGCACTGTGACTGAGTTTGTAATCAATGCTCTGCTGGTTGTTCTGGTTGTTGCCCCTCACCCTTCAGGGCTGTGTTACTGCTCACACCGGACAATCCCTTGTGACTGTCTCAGTGGCTTATGTGTACGGGTTTCCACCTCCTCTGACCCAACTCCCTCCGTCCTTGCCTTAAAGTCCACCGTAAGATCCACCTTTTCGATTGCGCTTTTTATTCTCTTTCTCCCCCCCTCCCCCAGTCAGCAGTGCAGTGGTTAGAGCGTTCGCCTCACAAGCAAAAGGACACGGGTTTGATTCCCGGGCAGAGCAAAACCTTTCCACAGGTTTCCTTACTCTCCACATGCCTCTATTTAACCAGGAGTAAGTAGGAACGTGGTTGTTAGACGATTGGTTGATCGCTTTCCGGAGGTAATAATCCCACCAAAAATAAAAATAATAATAATTTGGTCACTCAATCCACCACTGTTTTTGGGTCACTGCTATGCGCAATTGGCCATTTCACCCACAAAACGTACCTTCAGTTCACTTCACAATATTTTCTGTGAAGCGCTTTGAGAGGTCTCAATGACATAGTAATGCACTATATCAAATGCAAGGATTATTATAAAAGATTGGGCTCTGGGTCTGCTGTGTCAAGAGCAAGTTGTTATTATTGTTGAATTACTTTGAGAAGTCCCATATTAAAGGCGCTGAATAAATGTAAATTTACAAAGAATGTACAGCATGAAAATAGGCCACTCGGTCCAACCAGTCTTTGCAGCTGTTTATATTCCACATGAGTCTGAAGCAACAGGTCAAGTTTAAATTGGTGACCCACTGGGGGAGCAGCTTTCTCATGCTCTTTTGCTGCCAATTAATTTTTTCTTCTCCTGTCCCCTTTTGAAGGCACAGTTCCGCAGTATGTCAATTGCCTGATGAAGTATGGTTAATCTATTCAGCCGGTCTCCCAGCAGTCAATGCATAGGGTCACAATACAAAGGAGGTGTTTACGGAGGACAGACTTGATGTGTAATTTCACTGTCTGCTTGTTTCTGATTAACGGTGGCAAAATGTTTTTATTTCAAAGGGTGTTCAGTAATCTTTACAAATGGGGACTAAGTAGGCTGCCCTCGCCTGCACTGCCTCCACTGCTCATGGTAATGAGAGCAGGAGCAAAACCATTTATGGGTCAATTCCCTGTTCAGAACTGCCTTCCTCCCTCCCTCCCTCTCTGTATTAGTTGAAGTTTCAGCTTCCTATATATTTATGAAAATTTGATTTAAGTGGGTATAAGACTCTTGAGGCCGCAGAAGAGTTTTTAGAGAGATGAACTCTGTGGAATGATTTAGATAAGATTTCTAGGTAAAAGATTTCTCAAAAGGCACCCTCATGAACATATAATAATAAAGCTTGCGTTTGATATAGTATCTTATCACATCATTGAAACATCTCAAATCACTTCAAAAGATAATATTATAAAGTAGTGTAAAGTAAGGATACACTGTCGTTATGGGGGGAATGTGGCGATAGGCATGTTCAAAAAGGTAGGATTTGAAGCGCGACTGAAAGAGAGGGGGGTGAGTGAGGAGAGATTGACAGTAGATTTGGTATTCTGGAAATATGAGATTAAATGGGCAGAAAGGCTTTCTTCATCCAAACTGTTGTGTTCTGTGAGTGTCTGAAGGATTCTCACTTGTAAAAGATTCCAGTATCTTTCTGAGGACGTTTGGGATTTAATGCATTATTAACTCATGGGAAGTTCTCTCCGTTTGTAGATTTTCATCGTGTAAAACATGGTGAGAAATGTTTCGGAAAGGAAAGAAACGACACAGCAGTAGCAGCTCTCAAGGCAGTGAAATCAGCACTAAGAGCAAGGTAGGTTATCACAGCAAAGGTATTTATTCCTGCTTGGGGCATGTTTACCAAATAAATATTATGTAACTTCATAGAGACTACCCTGATTGTAACTTAGTGGTTTAGGTCTGTAAACCATGTTACGCTAAAGATTGGCTGCTGGTCAGTGCTTTGGGGTCATCAGGTCACCCCTGACATCAGTTCCTGTGTACATGTGCGCTTTACACAGGAAGTACTGCTGATGTCATTTTCTGCGTGCTGTGTTTATGTGCAGGAAGTCGGTCATGCAGCACTGGAAGCTAAGCCTCGGTGTCCTTTCTAGATCTAGTACACTAGCTAGTCTGGTGCCACTGCACTACGAGAGGACCTGCAGGACACCAAACAGGGTTATGCACCTGTAAATCCCCTGCATTAACAATGTTCTTTACATAAAATGCTTAAAACACTTGAAAGCACGTATTCACAGTGTGTCAGAGATGGTTCAATGCAAATATTGACTCTATGGAATGCCGTACAATTACTCACTTTAGCATTTGTGTTAACCACTCTTATTGATTAAGTTGTGATTTCTTTTCCCAGTCGGTAGACTCCAGTCTTGGTGGCCTTTCTAGATCTAGTACTGTGGCTAGTCTTGACACAGACTCCACAAAGAGTTCAGGTACTGTACTTTTCTTATGTCATATTGTGCATTACCATTGAGTGCATTACACTCCTAGTTGCTTGTGTAGCAAATTTTCAGTAATTGCAGTAAAGCAGAGAACAGATTTTTTCTGGGGTCAGCCAAGTGGAAACCCATCACCATGCTGTAGAGCATCCAAACTGAGAGGTCCACGCCTGCTTCCTCCACATGGAAATCCCTATGTTCCAGATTCCAGAACAAAATCTTTCAACCTTACTAGTGTATAACTCGGGTATTAATATACAGTATAAATCACAGGCATAGATATCAGAAAGATGTGGCTACATGTTCTTAGCCATGGGACAGCCAGTTGGGACTACAGTTGACCTCAGTATCTCTACATTAGGAAGGGAAAAACTTGGCCTGGCTTTCTTTGCTTAAACTTCACCTTCTGTAATGTCAAAAGTTAAAATGGAGGACTTACGTCTGAATACTACATCTCCAGAAAGATCTCCAGATGTAATTCTGGAGAGTATTTGAGATAAGTTTTGAGGAAAAAGCTTTGAAGGGGTGATTTTGTTTTTAGTCATTCAAATGCATGCAGAATCCCATCACCATTGTTTAAGAGTATCTGAACCAGACTGAGACAGGCAGATGGGACCTCGATTCCACATCTCATCTGAAGGGCGGCACCTCTGACATTGCAGTACAACAGCATCGCATTGGAATGTCAGCTTAGTAACACTCGTCTCTTAGTCAGAAGGTTATGGGTACAAACCACACATCGGGTTCCAAGACTTGATGTGTGGCTTGAAGCCATAACCTGACTGAACGGTGAGAGTGCTACTAACTGAGCCAGGCTGACATACAAAAGCCACCTACGCATGGACATTTCCCAGTGTCTGGAATGGAATGCAGACTTTGCCTGGAGGGATGCATCTGTATTTCCTAGTTCTGGAAAGTATTGAAAGAGTGAAGGCTCTAATAAAGTTACAAGTAATGGTATTCATGCCGTTAAGGCCCAATTGAGCAAGGCCGTATCCTGAAGTTTTAAGTGAACCCGTTTCTGGGAGCATTCAAAGCTTCTCTTTACAACCACTTTCTGACACAATACCCTCATAGAACTAAACACAGGGTAAAATAAAATAAAATAAAAGTCATGACAAAATGCCTGTGGCTTTTAATGCACTCCAGCCTAAAATATGACTAGGGACAATGCTGAGCTACTGAATTCAAAGCTCACACGTGAATAATAGCCACTGGAGGGAGGTAACAGAGACCAGTGCTCGTGTAACTGTCCCAGTAAAATGAAAAATATACTGAAATCTACCTTCTGGTTGTTCAATCAAAGAGCAGCAATTTAGCAGCAGCATTTACAGGCAATTCACTTTACAGTATAATAATAATCCTTGCTTTTTTTGATATAGTGCCTTATATCATTCTGTAAAACGCTTTGAGACGTCTCAACGACGTGATAAGGCGCTATATCAAATGCAAGTATTATTATTATATGGTGCCTTTCACATTGTGATGAAATCCCAAAGCGCCAGATAAAGCATTGATTACCTTCAATTAGATATCACACACACCCCATTCATCTGACCAAGCAACGTATCTGAGAGAGATGATTAGAGTGCAGCAAGTGACAAAACCTCTTACCAATTGCATATCTTTCACAGGGGTATTAAAGCTGCTATTTCCAAAGTCACCAATATATATGGTACACATTAAAAAAAGGCTTCTGATGGTTCAGTGAATAAATGTGTCACAATCTGAGCAGATGTAGATCTGGAAGGTTCAGACTGTCCAGGTTTAGGATTTGGGAGTCCAGGCAGAGAAATGGAAACAAAAAATAACCAGGGACCAGAACTATCCCACCTACTATTGCTATGCAGTGATCATTGCTGGCAACAATAAGTGTGTCTTTTTTGGGGGTGGAAGAGGTCAGCCGGGTATCTGACACATGCGGAAACCCATCACCGTGCTTAAGAATATCCAAACAAAACTGAGAATTCCAGGTATTCCACCCGCACATGGAAATCCCAGAGATAGATTGTGGAATGCATTGCGCGCTCTCTCCCTGGAGGGACACATCCTGCTTACCTAATTCCAGAAAGTATAAGGCACAGTTTGGATTAACAGTTAGAGTCTAACCAGCTAAAACCTCATAGCTTGCCATTGAGAGCGCTGTCTGGCAAACTTTTCCCATTGCTTGTCCATCTAGGACCAAGCTTCATCTTAACCCAGATTAGCAATTTTCTTTGCAGAAAGCTATAATGCAACAAGTGTTCATACATAGAAACAAAAATCAATCAAATCATGAATGCTGGAATTCTGAAGAGTATTGAAAGTAAAAGTGACCTAATGTAAATGCACAATGGGTCTGTCAGGATCTGTAAGAGTATGATAGGTTAAAGTTTTGGAATGAACTGTCATCAGAACTGGAACCATTGTACTTGGAAAACAGCCTCATAGAATGGACGAGGGTAAGTAATATGAATAATTCTTACATTTGGTATAGCGCAATTCACAATGGGAGGACATCCCAAAGCGCTTCTCAGGACGTGCTGTGAAGTGTACTGACTGTGTTTTGTGGGTGAATGTGGCAGACAATTTACAATGTTCTACAAACAGCCATGAAATGAATGACCAGTTTTATTTTGGGGATAGTTGACCAGGACACTTTCCATTTTCAAGTAGTGCCTCGGGATCTTTAAAGTCCACCTGAACAGGCAGATGGGCCGGAGACCAAGAAAGAAAAGACGTTTAAGAAAAAGTTAAACAGTTTTAAAACCACTATCTCTCTGTGCACGTAGGACCTCAACTGTAAAGATGACTGTTGACGCCCTCTATAGTCGAATATTATCCTGCCAATAGCTGCTTCTGCTCACAGAGTGAACTATAGTTTGCGGCTGGAGTCCCAGCGGGGTCATTGCTTTCTAGAGAGAAAGGAAAAAATCTGCTTCTTTAGAAATAAAATGGATACCGACAAGTCAAGGACAGTTTAGCGTCAGGCAAGCTAAATTAATGTAATGTTATGTTTATTGCTGTTTTGTGCCCTTTCCTAATTTACGGTTCTTGTGCCTTTGTTACACAGGGCAGAGTAACAGCAATTCTGACACCTGCACTGAATTCCGGGTCAAGTATTTGGGTTCTATTGAAAGGTTAAAAGTTGGTCTATGTGGAAATCTTCAGGACGCACTCGATTTGATTAATTACATTGATCTGGCCCAGGTAAGAAAATGCGAGGTGAGGGATTTATTTTTCTTCCTTCAGGACATGGATTTGTACATTTCTAGTTTTACACATTGAGTGTGAGAGGGGAAGTTAAATGAAAATTACCCACTGGGATTTGCTGTCACTGATACCTTGGAAACAAAGCAACACCAAGCAACTTGCTGAATAACTAGATCATAAACCCAAATTCAAATATACTACTCAAAAGCAGTTGCTAATCTTGCTTGCTCTGAGACACTATCCTGGGTGGAGGGCGAGTAGAGGGCGGGTAGTTGATTCCTTTGAGCCTTTCAAAAACCCCTATATATTTCTCCCTTTTGTTGTTTGTAAGCAAGAAAACAATTTCCTATGTGATGCATCCGTTTTTGCTCATGATTTCTTCTAAATGTTGACGGTTCTTCATAAGTATTGAATTGGCACAGCAGCAAATTATAATTGTATAGCGCCTTTCACGTCGGGCAGACGTCCCAAGGTGCTGGACATTCAAGGATTTGAACCCGAGCAGGTGGTTGGGATCAGGAGCGGTGGAGGTTAAGGGGAGAGGGTGGACTGAAGACAAGCTCGAAGAGGAGGGTCTTGAGACGGGCCTTGAAGGAAGCAAGGGGGGGGGGGGGTGAGGCAAAGGCACTGTGGGCTGGAGTTCCAAAGGGTGGGGGCAGAGAGGCTGAAGGCCTGACTGCCGATGGTGGGGCAGGCTCTGGGTGTGGGATATTGAGCAGACATCACACATCTTTCATCAACACAAGCACGTTGAAAGTTGTGGAAAGCCTCGCAAGTGATCTTATTCTATGATTTCCCAGCAACATTTAGAAAGTTCAGGCAGACGTTCCTCTGCTGTCCTGCTCGGATCCCAAATAAACAGCACATTCCCCAGAGAACGCTGCTACTGAAATCTACATGGGCTGTCCCAAGGTTTGCGTATCTATTTAAACTAGCTTCTGGGATTATTGGCACTTTTCCATTTTAATTCCTCAATTTATATATAGTCTTTCACGTTGGAAGAACGTCTCAAAGCCTTTAATAATGCTGGATGGGCAACCGACCTGGGGGTGGGAAGGGAAAGATGACTGGAGGTGCAGTCGGTCAAAAGGTAGGTCTTGAGAGGTTATTGTAAATCTGAGAGCAATGTTTGCCAACTAAATCTGCATTTCAATTGGAATTTTAGGCATTCATTTTGAATATTTCTATAAGAAATATCTTTATGGAAATCTTGGGACTGGAAATAGTGATTACAATTGCTGTACACCAAGGCCCATATGAATATTTATTAGTTTGTAACCTGGGAGAATTTACTGTAGTGAATCTTACTTTTTTTTCACAGCAAGATGGAAAGCTACCCTTTACAGCATCAGAAGAGGAGATTTTTTTGTATGTCTCGAAGTATGGTATCAAAGCTGAATCCTCCGATCAGTATGTGAGTAGCTTAATGCGTCCTTATTATAATAATTATACAATAATGCATTTGATATAGCGCCTTACCATGTTGTTGTGATGTCTCAAAGCGCTGCACAGGATTTTTACTGTGTAGGTAAACATGTTTATTTGTAGGTAAACATGGCAGATAATTTACCACAACAATAACATCAAGCATTTATATAGTGCCCTTCATTCAGGTAGTGCCTCAAAGCATTTACCGTGGTGGAGCTTGACCCTGAGCCAGGGAGACGAGAGGTGCCATAGGCACGGTTGAAGAGGAAAGTCTTCATGTGTGAATAGGGGGTGAAGCAGAGGGAGTCTCAAGACAATAACAGCTATAAATGGATGTCTCGAAGATCTTAACGCTGCTATCTGGCTGGGTACCTGAGCTGGGGTGGGAGCGAGGGGTGAGAGGAGAAAGATGACCAAAGGCTTGGTCAAAAGGAAACGTGTTGCAAAATTCTGTATTTAGCTGTTTACTTGGTATTTTTCTACAGGATGTTCTGCACCGGCACCCGTTGTATTTGATCGTGCGAATGATTTGTTACGATGATGGATTGGGGATGGGAAAAAGTCTTCTTGCTCTGAAAACTACAGATGCAGATCAAGACGAGTATAGCATCTGGCTTTATCAGTGTAACAGCTTGGTAAGTTGTTAAGGGCTATAACCCTCTGGTTCCCTCTTCTCAGGTCTACATGGACCATTCATTTTAATATTTTGGAAGATTTAATATATAGGAGGACAATTTCCTATTTGCTGGCCCACATCAACATTCAATCAGCACAATAGTCCTGTTACTTTCTCGGGCATGTCTGACATACAATTTGTGGCTTGACAATGTTGTTATAACTGCCTGTCTTCACTTTTTGTGTTTCTTTCTTGGTCACCTCCACTGTATCCATGGAACAGAGAATTTCAGTGATGTTGGTTTGCTTTGAATGAGGTTAAAACTGACAAGACATGACCATGGCTAATTCTGCATTTTCTAGGGTGCGACCACATATAATTGATGGCTGCTTTAGCTATCCAGATGTTACACTAGGATGATTTCTTCCCCCTCCCCCCCAATACAGTATTAAAGTTTATTTCAGTTTGTCTTTTGTTTAGATGGTTAGATACTGTTACATTAGAATCATAGAATCATAAAATATTACACCAAAGAAGGAGGCCATTCGGCCAATTGTGCCTACGCTGGGTCTTTGGAAGAGCTACCCAATCAGTCCCACTCCCGCTTTTTCCCTATACCCCTGCAAATATTTCCTTTTCAAGTACCTATCCAATTCCCAATTAGGTTTATTTTTCATAAGTAAATGAAAGTGTGAAAAATTTTCAGCATTGTAGTAGTTAATATTACAAAAATACAGTTTTTTTTAAATATAAAGTCGGTTCCCTCTGACTTTATTCCTGAATTTGAGCTATTCATTCTGTTAACAGTAGTAATTGTTCTGAGGAATGAAATAAACTTGCACAACTTGTAGCTGTTAATCATAGTTGTCCACCTAATCCTGGGTGTGTTATTGAGATGTCTCTGCTCAATAACCGTACTGATTTCCTCTTGCTCATTGTTTCATCATTAGACAATGTAGTGCTGCCCTTGCTCTCCATGGAGAGCACCTCATTGCTACCATCTCATTGCTCACTTTGCTCCACCAACATATCATCTGAATTCTCCAATCCCTTTAGTGTCAGGTGAAATAGCTCAACTGTCTTCAATTTGGATAAGCTTTGTGTATTATGCTTAGCTCAGATCCACTGAACTAATCATAATAAAACAAACTGATTTGCAGGCGTTCATGAAGAGATTTTTCTTTTGGTCTGACACATGCGAAAACCCATCACCACACGTAACAGTCTCCAAACCAGACAGAGTTCCATATTTGTCTCATTGTGTCTGTGACACTCTTATACAATCACTGCACTTAACTTTAAATCCTATGAAGTGCTTTGAGATGTTTCAATGAGGTGATAAGTCCTTGTCTTGAATATAAGTATTTATTTACCTGATTTTAGAAAACTTTCCCGATCTCATTCCATATCCATTAATATGTTTATACTCATGTGCTTATTTATTTCCCATTTGAACAATCCTATTGATCCAGTGTGTATAACTGCTTGCGGGATTGAATTCACAACCCTAGTCACCATTTGAGTGGAGAATTGATACAGCAGTATTTGGGGAAATTTATTTAGCAATTTGTGTGATTTGCATGTGGTGGTGTTTTAGTACATTTAAACTTATTAAATACCAGACTTTTACTTACATTATTTCAGATGTTTAGCTAAATTGAAATACAGTATTTTCATCAGGGACCATTTTTAGGGTTTTAAGTTACAGTACGTTTTTGCAAAATACTTATTTATTTACAATAAGATATTATTAAAAGCATAAGAACTTGTTAAGCGAAAGACCAAGGTCCATCTAATTCACCTGGCAGTCACTTGACATATTGTTTCCCAAACTATATACTGTATACCGAGATTATTTTTATATTATCTTTATTATCATTATTAATTCTGCAGAATTGGGTAAGCAGGGTGCATCACATTCCAGACATAGCGACATTTCCATATCATTCATATGTGGAACTCTCAGCCTGTTTGGATACTATTAAGCATGTTGATGGGTTTCCGCATGTGTAAGACACCCAGCTGACCAAAACAAAATCAGAATAAAATGATTCCTAATATTGCATATGTTGTGAAATATTTCCATTTACACAGTTCTTTTGTATTGCAGGAACAAGCTCAAACCATCTGCAAAGTTCTGTCCACTGCTTTTGATTCAGCACTTTCATCAGAGAAGTCCTGATACTGTCTATTGTTGGATTATAATTCTGAAAATGCAAACAGAATTTTATGTAAAGATTCCTGCATTTACTGTATGTAGAATCACTGGGTTAGATTTGCAAGCTAAATAGCTGTTACAAACCTGAGGTTGTTTGCTGTAAAATGAGCAATAATTGCTATTGCTATTGAATACTTTATAGATTTAATATTGCTTAAATAAGAAACTTTGAAATGTCTTGACTGAATGGATCTGAAATGATACATCACTTTCCTTACAGTTCCATAAATATATTTTCACTTTGATCCAAATTTACTGTATTTTCTCATTGAAAATGTAATTAAACAAATGTATGAAACATTAAATATTTCATATAGGGTTTTTCAGAAAAAGTTGGATTATGAATTAACTGCATTTCTCCAATAACTTTGGTATAATGTTATAAAGTAGATCCAGTATGTTATTCAATACAGCATTAGTGCCTGCAGTAATTGTCGGAATAATCTTAATTGTAAATACTGCTTGTCAAGTTAAATATATTGTATGAATATTGCAACAAGTTGATGTTTTTATTAAGTAAAAAGAGATTGCCTTATCTTTAAGGTCTTTGTTATTCGCCTAATGTTGCCATCCTCCACATATTCCTAGAGTTTTGAGTAACGACAAGCTAAGCTGGGCTCTTCCATCTGAAGAGAATATGACTGAGAGGACCTCTTGGATGTGTAGAAAATGTTAAATGGGATTGAAAAAGTAAATCCAGAGGATCTTGAAACTGATCCTTTCAGAGACGGGAAGCAATGGAGCCTGGCGAGGATTGGGGCGATTTGTGTGCGAGTTTGGTACGGTGAAGATGGAATTTTGTATGAGTTTGTTCTTGTGGATGGTGGAACTGAGACCAGGGAGATGGGCATTGGAGAAATCGAGGCGAGTTGACAAAGCTGTGGATAATAATAATCCTTGCATTTGATATAGCGCCTTATCACATCTTTTAGATGTCTCAAAGCGCTTCACAGAATATACTGTAAAGTGAAGTGACTGTATATTTTGTGGGTGAAACGCAGCAGCCAATTGCACACAGCAGTGTCCCGCAAACAGTCGTGGATTGAAGTGAACAATTTATTATTGTTTTTTTCTTGAGGGATTATTATCAGGTGTGTGGAGTAAGGAAACTTGCCCAAGGTTTCCCCCTGCTGGGAATCGCTTGTGAGGCGAGTGCTCAACCACTGAGCTACAATACTCCAATGAGGGTTTCAGCAAGTTTCTGGGTGAGATTCAGCTCAAACTGGATGTCAAGATTGTGCACAGGTTCAGTGCGTTTTGAGAGCTAAGCTAGGGTGAGGAGGTTGGGAGAATACATTTGATATATTATCTTTCACATTGGGAAGATGTGTCAAAGTGATTCCCAGTACATATTGTAAAATGTAGTAACTATATTTTGAAGGCAAACAGGACAGCCAATTTGCACAGAAACTAAAGTGATTGACCAATTTTGTCTGGGGGATTTGGCCAAGACATCAGGAGAAACTCACTTCTCTTTTTGAATAATAATCCTTGATAAGCACCTTATATGGTCATCGAGATGTCTCAAAGTGGTTTGGATTGTATTTTTGTAGTGAAACGCTGCAGCCAGATTGCTCACAGCAATGTCCCACAAACAATCAAACAAATAAAAGTGAGTGACTAACCATGCCATGGGCTCTTTAACGTTTAACTGAGCAGGCAGACGGGACCTGTTTCTCATCTGAAGGATTGCAACAATGCAGCACACCCCAGCACTATTATAACATCAGCCTACATTATATGAATTCCAAATGTTAGTGACTCAAGTGAGAGTGCTACCTACTGAGCCAGATAAGACCATCCCGTTATTGCTCCCATCCACCCCTTCATGACCTCTGTCTATGAGGACGGTGCTAGCTGGTCAATAGGCAAAGGGAAGTTTACCAGACAGTCTGGTGTTCCAGGGAACACAGGTGCAGTCATATCTTAACAATAACTGACTCTATATCCGTCTCTGGAGCTGAATCTGTACCATCAGGAATGCATCTCAGCCTCCCTGAGGTTACATTCCTGATGCCCTGGCAAACAGCTGCAGAAGAACAATTTAATCAAGCGACGTTGTAAGAGTAATCATCTCCCATCTCCTCATACTCCGAATACCTTGACTTCAAGTCACCCCCCTTAGCATGTGGACAATGCCTACAAAACCACCCAGTAATTACACTTTCTAATAAATCCTGTGAAGGCTTTGAGATGGCCTTCTTATATGAATGAGGCACAACATCAAACAGAATTCTTATTAATAATCTAATGATGGAAGGCCCATTGGTAACAGCATCAAAGGATCCACTTGCACATGAAAGCACCCTGTGTAGGGGCAGTAAATTTGGATGTGAGTACCTCTTTTCTCTTCACCCCTTTTTTAGCACCTCCCTCACTCTCTCGTGCCTATGCACTGCTAGGCGAGTTTAGTCATGTCTTTCTAGTGAATGCTGAAAATTTAAAGAAAAAAAATAGCATATTGCCTGGAGGACAGGCAGGGATCATGACCATCCAGCCCTGAAAAGTTGTGCATTTGGTGCAGAACTTAAAACAACCAGAGCACTGCCCTGTGGGTGCCATTCTGAAAATTTAAACTAAATAAATCTGAAGTATAAATCTCCTGAAGTACAAAACTCCTGTAAAAACAAATAAAGATTTCAAATCGGCACTGAAATAAAGGCAAACTTCACCAGCAGGTGGAACTGGAGTGCTGTATCTGCTCTTACTGGCAGTGGCTTTTACTTAATAATCCTTACATTTGATATAGTGCCTTATCATGTCTTCAAGACGTCTCAAAACACTTCAAAGAATACACTGAAGTGAATTGACTTTATTTTGGGGCAAAACACAGCAGGCAATTGCACTCAGTAGTGTCTCACAACAATTGTGGATTGAGTGACCAATTTATTATTTTTTTGAAGGAATTACCCTTGGAAAAGTGATCTGCTAATCTTATAATAATCCTTGCAGTTGATGTAGCGCTTTTAAGTGCTTCACAGAATATACTGTAGAGTCAATCGACTGGATATTTTAATAATAATAATTATAATTATTATTTTGTGGGCGAAACACACAAAATCTTAGCTGGTTTGGCACCTCCAAGCTCCTCTGAATACCTGCTGTAACAGCAACTTAATCATTGATTGTTTTAGCATCTCAGAGGCTACAGGGATATGTCAGTCTGGCTCAGTTGGTAGCACTCTCGTCTCAGAATCAGAAGGTTGTGGGTTCAAACTCTACATCAGGACTTGAACTCACGTGTTCTGGGCTAACACTCCAATGCAGTGCTGAGAAGGTGTATTGTATTGGTGGAGGACTGAATGTGTGGATGAATTGAGCTTTAAGCAAAGACTGTTTTTGAAACAAACCTGTGCTATACCAGAACAGGTGGGAGACCCTCACATCCCAGTAAATTACATTATTGATCTGCTGATGTATTTTCACATTTACACCATGTGAATATTTCCAAGAAAAAGTGCTATTCATGAAGATCACTTGTCATGTATTTACTGCATTGAATTTTTAATTCTGTGTGTGTGTGGCTTTACTTTATAATGATTAGAGCAGAAATGTAAAAATATGGCTGGCTGATGTTGAGGCTGAAGTTTCAGATTAAACAAGATATTATCACACAATTTGATTGATGGCCATTATCATGTTTCTCAACATGTATGGAACAGGAATTTTTCTAATAGGTCTTAAGTCCATCAAAATATGGTTGCACAATTTAGAAGTATGACCTTACTTTTGTCAGTGGTAGAAGAGAAATCTGAAATATGGGGTCATGGCCTTCCAACGTTATACATAAAGATTATAATGAAGATGGATCTAGTAATATTGCAATCAGTTTTTTTTTACATGAAATTGTCTTTGCATTGATGTATTGATTAGCTAATGTATTGACCCATGCTAAGATTCTTCATTCGCTCAACACATGCAATCAAACAGAATTTGTGAAAATGTGTCTGAATTTTGGTCTCTTAGAGTAACTTGAGATGAACTGGATTTTCAGCTCTTTTCTTCATCAGAATTCTTAACTTTGTTCACACAGAAAATCTTTTACTCTCCTCCAAAAGTGACAGTATAATGTTGCACCTAGAAGTAGGATTGCTATTTTTAATTTAAAATTTTAAATGTTAAAGTAAACTAAAATTTAAGCTTAGTTGCTTTTATCTCAAATTTTGCACTTTTTTCCCTGCCTGATTTCAATGTAAAGTACTCAAGCTAATTGTATTACATTAGTAAAGCTGTGTAACGGTTGTTCATTTGAGCTTTCAGTAACAATTAAATGCATAAAGACACAAATATAAATCTCTCAGGTCTAGATTTTAATAGACTGGAATTAATTTGTGTCAAATCTGGTTAGTAAAAAGTTTATTGTGAATGAGTAATAGCAGCCTTACCCAAGTGCAACTGAAAAACATTTCATTACACAAAGAAATTTTAGATCCTCATATTTTATGCAGTGTCAGATATTAAGTTATTCCTTTGCAAAAAACAAACTCATTAGGCTTTAACTTGAAAATACACACTCAAACCTGCATTGCCAAAGCAGGTTTTTTTAATAACCGTTTATTACAGTTCCAGATAGCTGTAATGTTGAACTAGGATATAGAGTACATATTACACATGCCCTAATTGTCAAGTCACCGCAACAAGAATTACAAAGGTATATAGTATTTAAGATTTACAATATATATATACAGTTGCTCTGCAACAGAAATCTAACTGGTTATGTTTTTATTCATTTTACACCATATCAAATAGGAAATTATTTTTTATTCTAAGAATCAGTCACAGTAAAGAAAAACAAAATTAGCAACAGCAGGTGGCGACAGTCAGCGTGTCTGGATATTTATGGCCATTTTAATCACTCATGGAAAACCACAGTTCTGAATGATGCCACCATCTTCGGCATTGATTTGCATTACATAAAATAACTAACTGCTTCCCATTGAGACAGCTCAACAATTATTAATTAGGGCTATATTTAGCTAAAAGTGCCAACTACTTAACTTTTTAAAAAAATCATTTTCAATTGGATTGCATCATAGTGTTGCAAACCACACTATGTGGTTCAAGTAACATTACCGTTGGCAGTTTCTGTAATTTTTGAAAAAAAAATATTTCTATTAAAACAGGACCCAACATGGAAAAGGTACTTTTTGTGTCAGCATTTTAGAATGAGATGAATGTTCATTAAACTGCACATTTTGCATTATTTAATTCTGTAAATGTGCACCATTATTCCTTATTTTCCTTAATAAAGGATAAAGACAAGAAGCTGTTAATTCTGTGTAAATAATATGTAAAAAAAATTCCCTTTGAACATTTTAGGAAATAGACTGAAATATTTAAACACCATTTTGGTTAAACAAAGATTAATGCAACAAAGCATTTCAAACATGTGGTGTTTGCTTTCTATTCCTCCTCCTAAACCATTGTTTTTGAATGTCCACCAACTAACCAGTTCCTTAAAACAGCCCCATGGGTATTGATTGATTTTAATCGTTTGCCTCTGGAAAAATGTTGAATTGTCTACAACACTGGATTATTGATCAAATCAATTATGGAAATTTATTAAAATATCAAAATAAACTGGAAATCACATAACTGAATATGAAATAGTGGTAATATTTTAAGGCCTTAATAGTTATATTATTCGCTGAACCAGCATGCTTACTATCTAAATGAATTATCCCAGTTTATCAGTACCTCAACATCCAACTTCGCTTAGTATTTAGTACATACCTTGAAAATATTTCAAATTTCAACAACATTGACACAGTTAGTAAGAAATAAGCTATTCATTTCTTAAAGACATGGAACTAATTTTCCATTTTCAAGTACCTACATGCACCATAGCAAATTGCCAGAAATGAAAAGTTCACAACTTACAATGGATCTCCAGTTGTCTTGAAAGTGCAAAATACCAAAAAAAATCAATTTTAATAATCAAAACTTGTATTATCCTTCTGCTAAGTGGTGATGGATTCTATGGAGTTGTGTTCCTTGCCATCCAAAGACATACAATGATCCAGATTTGTTTTTTCTCTCGACTTAAAAGGGAGCTCAGTCAACAATGAAGTGCACAAATGTCACAGGGAAAACACCTCTCCGCTTTGGATTTCCTTCAATGTGGCCAATCTATATGAAAGCAAACAAAGACAGTACGTAATCTTCCTATTCCTTAAAAAATTACCAGTCAGGCACTTATTCTATTCTAGTAGCAGCCCTTTTCCTGGGTTCTTCTGCATTACTGAATACTGTCTATTATCTCCGCGCCATGGGTGATCAACACAAGTTATAAATGACTGAGAATGAACTACAAGTGTATAATATAGTTGAGGGTTTTTTGGTGTGCTTGTGTATGTGTGTATGGAGAGACGGGGGCAGGGAAGAGAAAAGGAGGGAGGGACATTAATTTTTTAAAATCTTTTATATAGCTGGCAACAGCAATCAGTGGTCATTCCAGCTGTCCTCCCTCTCCAGCTCAATTCTATACAAATTTTAAGTCCAATATTGATTATTTATTCATACAAGTCAGTGTAAACAGGCATTTTGTTGGATTAACTTTTGATGTCTTACAAGTATTTTATTAGACTTCCAAAGAGTAGAAAAATACCTCTGCAGCCATCGATACTCCATTAGATTTTGGTTACAATTTTTTCTTTCACAAATCAGCAAGCCTTCATCCCCCTGCAACAAAAACTGTACTATCCTCCCTAATCAAGAGAGCAAGCTTTCCTCCCCTTCATCACCTCGGGAGGCATGCTGTGAAGCAAAGCAATGTAATCAAAACTGGTCAGCTTGCCCCTTTGGGAGTTGCAAGATAATTCTAGGTAGAGATAGAGATTGGGGAGCTGATTATCTAAAACATTTAGAAACCTATCACCATGATTAAGAGTAGTCAATCCAGACACAATTCCATATATGTGAGCACATTCTCTTCCTGGAGGAATGCACCCTGCTTATCGAATACCAGAAAGTATTAGTTGCATGTTGGCAGTGTGTTTTGGGAATACTGCTGGAGATTACCCACAGTTTGCCACTCTTAGAGATCAACACTCCAAGACTCTGTTCCACATGAACATAGCTATATAAATGCAAGCTATTGTTGTCCAGCTAGGCTCCCGCTACTAGTAAGGGCTTTGGCTTGCAAGGTTTAACAGTGGGAAGACACCCGGCCTTCAGTGACTGATCTACCCATTTAAGGCATCTAATGAGCTAGGCTGTTTGTCCAGGCAAAAAGTGCTATGATTCCCTGTCAATCTTTTGACCATATTACTAAGTATGTGTACCACTTACCCACCATTCTGGATCTTCCTCTCCATCAACAACAATAATCTCACCCTCTGTGAAAGTGAGTTCATCTGGGTTATCAGCACAACAGTTATAAATTGCTTTCACTCGTCTTGGTTTTGGTTTCAACTGAAATAAATGTAAAACAAATTAAACACCCTGTCATGATTTTGCACATTTGTCTGATTTCAGTTTATCAAATATCATCTATAACCCGCTTCCTTTCAAAAGAGGCGACCACTTTTAGCTGCAATGAATCTACTTAAACCGATTCATGTTCACTTACTTCCCACAGGTACAAACAATAAACTCACACTGGTCTATATTCTCTCACAAACTGAATGTTTTCCATTTATAATACTCTAATTATTGTTACTAAAGGTAAAATACTAGAGAAAGAGTGCACAGAAAGTAGAGTTAAGTAAAAGATACAAGTTTAAATAAAAACTAAAACACAGATTACCAGCACTTCAAAAATGGCTTCAGAATATCCATGTATCTTTGAAACAAGTTTCCTCTTAGATTATCTTTTCTCTCTTAGCGAGCAAAAGGAAAAGAGCAAGTCTGCATCTGTGACCCCTTTACAATTGAGAGCGCTTTCTAGAAAGCTTTCCTACTTCTCATCCACTCACATTCTTAGAACTTCAGATTCATTCAATTTGTGAAGGGCACAGAGCAAATTTTGATGCTGGATGCACTGTTCGCCTTGAACACTATCAACCGATTGTCTTGTTCATACCTTGCTGTGAATGAGATTCAGAGACCAACTGAAACAATGGTGTTTTAAAAGTCTGTTAGCTTTTGTTCTTCCAGATTTTTTACACATAAGATGTTTTTATTATTATTATTCTCTCACAAACTGAATGTTTTCCATTTATAATACTCTAATTATTGTTACTAAAGGTAAAATACTAGAGAAAGAGTGCACAGAAAGTAGAGTTAAGTAAAAGATACAAGTTTAAATAAAAACTAAAACACAGATTACCAGCACTTCAAAAATGGCTTCAGAATATCCATGTATCTTTGAAACAAGTTTTAAACAAGTAGATTTATTATTATTATTATTATTATTTTTTTAAAATGGGTCAAAAATAGAGTTTCAATTGTGATTGCTAGAACTATGGGTTAAACTAAATTGTTTAGTCACTGCCTGAATAATATAAAGTTTAGGTTTACTGATTTTTAAAAAAAAGAATTTCATATCTTGTGCAAGAAATTGTATTATGGATCTAAGCAGCACAATCAACAAACCCAAATCCAAACTAAGACAAGTGTAATATCTATGGTTAAATTTAGATCTCCAATTGGAGCCTTTTCTAATGTGCAGTTCTGCATTCCAGTCTGGTTTACTTCTCATTGTATGTATATGAATAGAAATTTTACATTTTCAGTGCAATTGGCAGTCTTTATGAAAAGATAAGAAGATCAAGGGGACGAACTGTCTGTTCAAAACTCCAGCATTCCCCTAACTATATTAGAAAATGGCATTTCAATAATATGTGAAACTTTAAATCCTCTGTGGAAATCCTCATTTTTTTTTGATATTCCAGGCCTGGCTCCTCCAGAGATATGATCAAGAGAAGACAAGCATTCTGGAACAGCTCCAAGTACTTTGATTGGGGGAGTTGCTACAAACTGGTTTTGAAGCTTAAGCTGGTTCTGACACCAGAAATGCACAACACAGAGAAGTAGGTCATATCCAGGACAATGAAGGGTTCCCATAGATCAGTATTGTCAAACCCAGATTTGTACTGAGCCACACCAGTCAAAAAATTTAAATTTACAGAATTTTCTCCCTAACATTTATTTATAAGCATGTCTTCCTTTTTTTCCCGGCAAAGACGACAATATCACAGATGACAGCAAAACACAAACATAAGCAATATTAACAGTATAAAAATAAACAACACATTAGTGTAAGTTTGATAGTTGTTTCTCTCAATTAATTTCTGAAAATTCAGTGAAAACGATTGCACAAACATATAGTGCAGTTCAGCCACCAAATGCTCATTTGTCAAGAGAGATCTTTATTCTCCTTTGATGAAAGTGATTACAGAAAATATTGATTTACTTATGTATTTCGATCCAAACGTTTTGCTGTGATTTCTTCCTGAGACGAGCTTTTTTTAGATCATCATTTCAACCGAATATTCTTTGAACTTTATATATATTCAATTTGTGAAGGGGACCAAGCTAACTTTGACACTGGATGGACTCTTAATAAAGAAAGTAATCTTTAAACACTGTAAACCTTGTTCACATCTTGCTGTGAACAAGATTCAGGGAGCAACTAAAACAATGTTGCTTTACAACAAGTTGCACTTATATAGCACCTTCTACACAGGGTAGCGTCTCAGAGCGCCTGTCAGTGGCAGAGCCTGACTCCGAGCTGGGGGGAGGGGGTCAAACAGGAAACTTTTCAGGAAGGACTTGAAAGAGGGGAGAGGGGGCAAGGCAGAGGGATTAAGGGAGAGTGTTCCAGAGTTTAGGGGTGTAGTGGCTGAAAGCATGACAACAACAAATTACATTTATTGAGCACCTTTCACATCGGGAGGACGTCCCAAGGCACTGCCTTCCCTCACTGGTAGGAGTGAGGGAAGGCAGAGAGGTGGGAGGATGACCTCCGATGGTGGGGCGAAGTGTGCGAGGGATGAGCAGGAGGCTGATGCCAGTAGAGCGGAGATGCCGGGTGGTGGACTGGGGAATGAGGAGGTCAAAGAGGTAGGGAGGTGCCAGGGAGTGAATGGATTTGAACAGGAGAGGATCTTGAAGTCGATTCGTTGGGTGATGGGAGCCAGTGGAGCCTGGGCCAGAACTGGTGAGATGTGGGTATGGAGTTTGGTCCGGGTCAGTATGCATGTGGCAGAGTTTTGAATGAGCTGAATCTTGTGAAAGGTGGAGCTGGGAAGACCGGTGAGAAGTGCGTTGGATAATCCAAATGAGAGGTTACAATAATAATAATAATAATAATCCTTGCATTTGATATAGCGCTTTTCACGTCAGGAGGACGGCCCAAAGCGCTTCACAGAACACACTGTAAAGTGAATTGACTGTATATTTGTGGGCGAACGCGGCAGCCAATTGCGCACAGCAATGTCCCACAAACAGTCGTAGATTGAAAATGACCAATTTAATTATTGTTTTTGGTTTTGGAGGGATTATTATTAGGCGTGTGGAGTAAGGAAACTTGCCCAAGGTTTCGCCCTGCCTGGAATTGAACTCAGGTCTCTCACTTGCAAAGCGAGTGCTCTAACCACTGAGCTACAGGACTCCACAAATGCATGCACGAGAGTTTCCGCTGCATTTTGGGTAAGATATGGTCGGAGGCAGGCAACGTGGCAGAGGTGGAAGAAAGCAGATAGAATATCGACAGACCTGGAGTTGGTCATGGAAGAGGCAAAGTAGATTTGTGTGTCATCCACATACATGTGGAAGGTTACCCTGTGTCTGCGGATAACATCGCCCAGAGGAAGTATATAGATAAGGAAAAGAAGAGGGCCAAGGATGGAGCCCTGTGGTACCCCGCAGGTAACTGGGCGGGGCCGGAAGGACAAACCATTTGCTGAGATGAATTGGAGGTGGTTGGTTAAGTAAGACCCCTCCTTAGCCTCCTTCAAGTCCCACCTCCTCTTCGACAATGCCATCGGCCACCCCTTCCCCTCCCATCCCTTAACCCCCCAACCCCAGCTCGGGTCTGAAATGCTGTACTCTATCCAGCACTTTGGGAAGTCATCCCGATGCGAAAGGCGCTATACAAATGTAATCTTGTTGTAGTAGAACTCGAACCACGCGAATGCAGTCCCACTAAGGTAGATGAAGGAGGCGAGCCGATGAGGATGATGGCGTGGTTGACTGTGTTGAGTGCTGCAGAGAGATCCAGGAGGACAGGGAGGCAGAGGGAGCCCTGGTCACAGATAGAGAGAATGTTGTTTCTGACTTTGATAAGCGCTGTCTCTGTGCTGTGGGTAGGGCGAAAACCAGACTGCAGAGGCTTGAGGAGGGAGTGGAAAGAGGTGTGACTGAAGTTGACCTGCAACAATGCGTTCCAGGACTTTGACAAGGAAGGGTAGTTGGAGATAGTGTGAGAGATTAGAAGGATTGAGGATGGAATCTTTGAGGAGGGATGTGATGACAGCAGTTTTCAGGGGGAGTGGAATGGAGCCTGAAGAGAGAGATTGGTTGACCGTGTTGGCTAGCAGAGAAGGGGGCGTTGAGTGACCAGCAGCTGGGTGGGGAGGGGGTCAACTACAACCACAGGTGTGAACTTCATCCAGGTGATTGTGGTTGAGAGGAGGGAAAAATGGAGTGTAAGGAGTGGGTAGTGGCAGGAGCTATGGCGGAGGGAAAAGGCCGTGTGGATGGTATGGGTGGGGTGGAAGTGGGCATTGGGGTGGGAAGACGATGCAGCCAAGCAGATGTTTTAAATTTTTGAGGCGAAGAAGTCTAGGACCTCTTCGCACTTGGCGTTTGACATGAGGATAGAGGGGGCTTGAGGTCTGCACGGAGGAGGTGATAGATGGTGGAAAACAGTCTTTGAATTGTTGTTTGCCTCCAGAATGACTCTGGAGTAAAAGTCAGTTTTCGCCTGTGAAAGGGATTGGCGGTAGGTGCGGAGGTGCTCGAGCCACAGCCGGCGGTGAATCATTAGGCCAGATTTCTGGCATCTGTGCTCGAGCCTCTGGGTTTGTGTTTTGAGTGAGCGGAGATGACTGTTGTAAAAATCAGATTAGTGAAATCTTTACTGAATACGTACAATGCCTTTAAATAGCCACAACTCATCTCTATAAGCAAACTGTCAGTGAGAATTATCTAAGACACATGCTTTCTGCTGAACCTGCACAAAAACTCTTCATGAGCCACACATGCCTTGTGACTATGGTTTGACAACACTGTATTAGACTTTCCTTTGTATTTTTAGTTTTCTTGAATGTGAATGCAAGATTACAAAGGTAGAAGACATCCATGCAGGAATTTTAAAGTTGTGAACCCAAAACTGTTGGCAGTTATTTTTATAAACTGCATAACCCTAACCCCAATGTGGTCTTGTCCCATCACAGCATGTGTACTTACCAACTACATTGACGAACTATCATATGCAAACTTACCGGCTGCATTAAATTTGCATGCACAGTAGATTATTGATTAAATTGGATTTTATACAACTTATACCGTTTGCCTGCGACTTGGACTGCTTAAGTCATTTAAAATGTTATGGTCCCGAATGATACAACTTATGTGAGTTTTACTGTATTGCATTTTAATTATGAAAGGTAAAACAACAACAACTTGCACTTATATAGCGCCCTCCACGCATAATAACGTCTCAGAGCCTGACTCCGAGCTGTGGTGGTGGGGTGGGGATGGGAGAGAAGGTGGCCATAAACTCAGTCGAAAAGGAAGGTATTCAGGCGGGACTTGAATAAGGGGAGAGGGGGGCAAGGAAGAAGGATTGAGGGAGTGTTCCACAGTTTCGGGATGTAGTGACTGAAAGGGCGACCTCCAATGGCGGAGCGAAGGGTGCGAGGGACAAGCAGGAGGCCGATGCCATTCGAGGTGCCAGTAGTGGATTGGGGAGTGAGGAGGTCGGAGAGATATGGAGGTGCCAGGGAGTGAATGGATTTGAACACGAGTGTGAGGATCTTGAAGTCAATCATTCGGTGATGGGGAGACTGGTCAAAACTGGCGAGATGTGGCTACGGAGTGGGCAGCAGGGTTCTGAATGAGCTGGATTTTTTGAAAAGTGGAACTGGGGAGACCGGCGAGGAGTGCATTGGAGTAATCCAAGTGGAAGGTGACAAATGTGTGCACAAGGGTTTCGGCTTTATTTGGGGTAAGGTACGGTCAGAGGCGGGCAATGTGGCAGAGGTAAAGGAAGGCGGACTTGGTCAGGGACTGGATATGGGCGAGGAAGGACAGCTGGGGGTCGAACCAGATGCCTAGATTGCGCACTGGTTTCGTGAGTGTGAGGGAGAGCGCAGAGAGATTTAGGACTTCAGATCCGCAGGAATGACGACCGTGACCAAGGAGTGTGGCTTATATCCTGTCCACATTCAGCTGCAGGAAGGTTGTACTCATCCAGGCCCTGATGTCTCCCATCAGGGATCAAGGATCAGCAAAATCTACATCGTTAAAGTAGATCAAACTGACCGTTTAATCTACTACATACCATTTGAGATTTCCGTGGCATTGGTGCTGGAGCTTTGCTTTGACTTGCAGAATTCGGTGCATGCCCTGGCTTTTTTGGTATATTGCCTGGTCCCAATGAAGCATCACCTGCTTAAACAAATGAAGCAGATTTTGAATACATTTCTCTTATTTTTGTTTTTACGCATCTCACATTTTGGCAAGAATTTGAATACATTAATTTGAATTGTCTGTACAGTTTACAGAAGTTATTCAAAATCTCTAGCAGGATGCAATAAATGGAGGCATTAGTGGTAAAGTGGAAGTGCAGACAATGGGATTAAAAGATAATAATCCTTGCATTTGATATAGCGCCTTATCACATCTTTGAGACATCTCAAAGTGCTTCACAGAATATACTGTAAAGTGAATTGACTGTATATTTTGTGGGTGAAACTACCAAGATCTGCCAAGCTCTAATGAATTCGTGAACTGGCTTGATGGGCTCTTTCTATGCCCATTTTTCTATGATCTGAAAACAAAAATCTAGTTACTGAAAATGAGGTTTAGAAATTTTTAAACTTTTAATTAAAAACTGTTCTCCAATTGAGCTGTGGATGAAATGCCTAAGTTACCATAACTTTTTCATCTCAGCTGGGGCAGCGGGGGACCACAAATCATTTAAGTGTGCCCCATATGGTGATGGGGTGTATGTGAGAGAATGAGAGAATACGTTAGAATATACAGCACAGAAACAGGCCATTCGGCCCAACTGGTCCATGCCGGTGTTTATGCTCTACTGAGCCTCCTCCTGCCCTTCCTCAACTAAGCCTTCAAGCATACCCTTCTATTCCTTTCTCACTCATGAACCTATCTAGCTTCCCCTTAAATACATCTATGCTATTTGCCTCTACAACTCCTTGTGGTAGCATGTTCCACATTCCCACTACTCTCTGTGTGAAGAAATTTCTTCTGACTTCCCTAGTTGATCTATTGGTGACTATTTTATATTGATGGCCCCTAGTTTTGGTCTCCCCCACAAGTGGAAACATCTTCCCATGTCTACCCTATCAAAACCTTTCATCATTTTAAAGACCTTTTATCAGGTCACCCCTTACCCTCCTCTTTTCAAGAGAAAAGAGTCCAAGCATGTTCAGCCTTTCCTGATAGGGATAACCTCTCAGTTCTGGGATCATCCTTGTGAATCTCCTTTGCGCCCTCTCCAGCACCTCTACATCCCTTCTATAATATGGGGACCAGAATTGCACACAGTTTCCTCTATTCTGCACACAGAATAGAGGAAATGAGCTAAGATTTACTGTATTTGGCAACTTCATTAGAATAAAATTTTAGCTAAAATGACTCCTGGTCAGATAACTGAAAAGATGGTAAAAGTCATTAATAGGAGTTGAGGTCATATATTTTATAAATACACAATAAGCAACAAGGCTGAGCTATGGTTTTAAAAGTTTACTCACCTGTTTGCAATGATTGTACAGATCCAGGTAATGTGGGTGGTCTTTTAGCTACAGATGTTCGATCAATGCTGTGAATGGATGATAAAATGTGAGTTCTAAACAGGCAAAATTATTTTCTTAAGTTTCTTCTATAATCATCCATTGGGTGTCACTGTGACTCAGTCGGTAGCAATCTTTCCTCTGAGACAGACTGTTTTGGGTTCAAGCCCTACGTCGGAACTTGGAATTCACATAGTTCAGGTTGGCATTCCAGTGCAGCCGAGGGGTATTCTGCCAATTGATTGACAACTGGGTTCCTACTTACTGCTAGATAAACAGAGGCGTCTGAAGTAAGGAAACTTGTCTAAGGTTTCACCCTGCCCAGGAATTGAACCAGGTCCTCTCGCTTGAGGGGCGAGTGCTCTAACCAATACGCTACAGGATTCCTGTTACAGCAGACAGTACAACAAACATGATGAAGTGATCACTCAGTGATTTTTAGTATATCTAAATGTGATTTTGAAATTAAATAAGGACAAATTAAGGCCACAAATGTAAACGGCATTACCTGGGTGAAGATTTCTGTAGTGAAACACGAAGTGGTGGCTGAGGAGGCAGTGGTGGTGGCAGTGGTTTTTTACTGGGAGGAGTTTGCTGTTGGGACTGTTTCAACTGCAGACTCATTGCTTCAATAACACTGGTCGTCTTTGCTACTGGAGTTGGCGGTGATGGGTCTGCAAGATAAGAAATAACTAAATGATATCAACTGCAGGTAATTTTATTTTCCCCTCCCTGTAAAAAACAATTATCTCCAGCCCTTCATACTATTCGGGTAAGAAACATCCTGTGTACAGAATTAAGGTGTATGTCTGTGTGTGTGAAGGGATGAGGGGAACTCTACCACGAGAAAGATCTGTGCTTCATGCTTCCACTTTGTTGTTTATAAACCTGCAATGATTCTACCATCCCAAGTTTTAGAATTAGAAAGAATATGGAATTGGGATTAGAGTACATCGCTTCAGTTTGGAGTCCTGTAGCTCAGTAGTTAGAGCACTCGCTTTGCAAGCGAGAGACCTGAGTTCACTTCCAGACAGGGCGAAACCTTGGGCAAGTTTCCTTACTCCACACACCTAAATTATTATTATTTATTATTACAACAACAACAAGATTTGATTTATAGAGCGCCTTTCATGTCGGGAGGATGTCCCAAGGCGCTGGACAGGTGGGTTGGGACTCGGGCTGGGGGGAAATGGTCAGGGTGTGGGGAGGGAAGGGAGGGAGCGAGGAGGGGGTAGAGAGTCGAGACGGAGCTGAAGGCACGGTCGAAGAGAAAGATCATGAGACCAGCTTTGAAGGAGGAAAGGGAGGAAGCGGCGAAGGCACTGGGGGATGGAGTTCCAGAGCCTAGGGGCTGAGAGCTGAAGGCCCGGCCACCGATGGTAGGGCGGGGGATGTGGAGCGGACCGGAGCCAGAGAAACGGAAGGTATGGGCAGGTACGTAGGGGGATAGTAGGTCGGAGGGAGCAAGGCCGTGAATGGCCTTGTAGGTGAGGATGAGGATCTTGAATTCAATCCTCTGGGGATGGGGAGCCAGTGGAGGCGAGCGAGGGTGGGAGTGATGTGGTCGCGAAGCCTGGTGCGGGACAGTACACGAGCTGCAGAGTTCTGAATGACCTGCAGCTTGTGGAGGGAGGTGCCGGGAAGGCCGACGAGGAGAGAGTTCTCATAGTCCAGCCTTGAGGTGATAAAGGCGTGAACCAGTGTTTCAACAGCGTGAGGGGTGAGGTAGTGCCGTAGTCTGGCGATATTCCGGAGGTGATGGAAGGCGGTGCCAGTGTATTACTTCTACATAGATACGATGGGCTCAAAGGCCTCATTCTGTGCTAAAACATCTCTGACTCAATGAACTCTATCTCTCGATAAGAGTTTTTAAAAAGGGTGGTAATGAACCATATTTGAATCCAACAAGAATATGAAAGGTGGTGAACTGGGAAAAGTGTCTATTGAAATGTTTATATTTCTGGGTCTTCTTTATTACCCTAACTATCTATATGAAACTGAACTAGTTGTTATAATGGTAATTAAAAANTACTTCTGCATACAAAAAAAAATCTAATTCATAACAACTACATTTGTGTAGTGCCTTTCATGGTGGGAGGACATCCCAAGGTGCTAATTCATACCCTAAATTATTAGATATGCCCATTAAATTCTGTACTTACAGTACATTACATAATGAAAATATTTTAGCACAAAACCAGGAATCAAATATTTATTAATTTATATAAATACCAATTTATGTAAGTGAGAGAGATTTCAAGCAATTAGAGTAACTAAGTTATAATATAGTAATAAAGTAGGAAGCAATTAAAGCTTAGGTTTGGTGCCTCATACCAAGGTTTTAAAAAAAACTTCAGCCTTATGTAATAATTGATAAAAAACAAGATCCTAAAGATGTAAATAAACATAAAAACGAAAAACGATTAAACAATAATATAATCTATCCCATGCTAACACAGAAATGACTCAAATGTTTTATTTGTTTCTAGCAAAACCAAAAAAGCCACTGATAAGTATTTGGGGTAAAAAGTTCAACAAGTTGAGAATGCAAGTGAATCAAACGGGTGGTCATACATAGAAATGGAACCACAGCTGGTTCCTACTATGCATATAATTTTTGGAAAAGCAAAAGTTAAAAGAAATGACACTTATGAAGTCAGAAGAATGGAATGTTCAGTAATGTTTTTAAATGGTGAGTTACTATATTAATGTTCATAATGGATATTATTGGTTCTCAGAAAACCTTTTTAATTGTTATAGCTCCCAGTCAGATAAAAGCAATTTATTAAATGTGGAGAAAATCAATATAAGAGCTTTTAAATAGTTACAGGAGCAGAACATTTATGTCTGCACAGCTGGCATCAAAGATCATCATCACTTTCAAAAAGAACCCACAAGAAACAACTCAAATGTTTTTAATTTGTGAGATAGCATTTACAAAAAAAAGAATATGTAGACAGTCCAACAGCTCTACAAATGTAAATGATACCTTATACCCCAGGCCACTCGAAAAATAGAAAATTGTAGAAATATCTGCCAAACTTTGTGGAGGGGTGTCAGATTTTGCAGAAAATTGTGGGGGCTGGTTGGTGCTATTGAGTGGTAGGTTTTAAAACTAACCTACATTCTTTCACTTTATTGCAATTGCAACGATTATTATTATTGATAAAAACTAAACAAAGAAATCACACATATTAGATTGTTAGGGGAAAAAAAATTATTAATTGTTTGTTTAATAAAACTGAATGGCCCACTCGGTGGGGGAGAATTAGCTGCGCAGGCACAGAGAGCCGAATGGTTCGTTTCCACTCACGCTCCGTTTGAAGGCCCGGAGATCTGCCAAACACCAGCCAGTCTCCTGACGGTGGGGCTCCAGGAGGTCACTGCCTCCTGCTTCTCAGGGCCCGTCACCACACACACAGACACAGAGAGATACACTCACAACGCAGAGACATTCAGACACAGAGAGACACACACTCACAGACACAGAGATACACACACACAAATACAGAGACGCTCATAGACACAGAGACACACATTCACCGACATGGAGACATACAGAGGAGAGAGACACACAAAGACAATCTCAACAACGGGATTGACTGTCTCAACGGCCCAAGGGGTGAGCTAATGGTGGAGGTAGACAATACAGGCTAAAACCTGGATACATACTTGCTGTTGCTGATGTCACCCGGAGTGGTGGTATAGGTGGATGAAGGTTTGGTGGGTCTGAAGCAGATCGTTGTCGATTAACACCTTCCATTCCCATTGATCCAGGTTTCCAAACATTCGAAGTCTGTGAACTAACACTGGGAACTGCAGATTGAACTGTAAACAAAATAGACTTGCTAGAAATTTACATTGAAAACATTTTACATTGAAATCATTTACTTTTGTCCTTACTGATTTTGTCATATGGTTGTATACATAACCATACTGTAGTCACTCGACCCTACTAGTCCCACAACTTGAGTACGGATGCTGTCTGGCTCATATGTAAGAACTAGATGATCTACGCACTAGGAGAAGAAAAGTGATGGAATATTTTAGTCCCATTGGGTTAAGATCTTCATGATGGGTAACATATGATCTTATGTTGATGTAAGGTAGATGGGTGATTTACATCTACATAAGATCATATGTAGATGTGAGGTACCCATCATGGATATCTTAACCCAATGGGACAAAAATATCCTTTTCCTTCTCCTAGTTAATTCAGACTATGCTTCTTTGCCTGGGATGTTAATTCCTTAGTGGTTAGCTGACAGCAATTCCTTGGAGAATACAATCCTTCTGGGCCAAATGGTTTTGTACATTTAGCTGTGCACTGATATATTTAATTTATGTTATTCCCTCCTTATCATTCATTCTCCAAGATTAGTTTATCTCGATTCAACGTCCGAGCTCACCCCTCCTTATTTAAATGAATATAATTGGTGATTCCATATCTGTTAATTGGTCTGCTGCTGCCCAATTCAGACACAGCATATACTTCTTGTACTAACATTGTTTACCTTGAAAAAACAGCCCCAATTACCTGTAAATCCATTTGCTGGATGGCAGGTATTAGGGTATATGTGAATTATTTTTAAAAATGTGACCTTCGATCATTTTAAAAAGCAATAGTATTCGGTCTTCAATATAAATAGATCTTTATAGTGCACAATCTTGTTTTTGACAGCCTCTTAAGATAATCTTAGTTCTACCTTAAGAGCTCTGAGAAGCTACCGTGCGTGGAGGGAGCTATATGAGTGCAAGCTGTTGTTGTATTGTTATCTCACATTCAAAACATTCAAAAACCAGTTCCTTGTGTTTAGCCTCTGCAAAGGAAATTTAAACTTCTATCCCCATCCCACCTAAACCAACTGAATCCACAATTTTAAATTGTTTTGTAGCCTAAAGCAAATCAAAAGCAAAACAGTAGATAGGATGTGGAAGAACATTAAATATTAATATTAAATTAATTAAAGAACATGAAAGAGGGAAGCTCTCCCTTACCAACCTGCCGGCTCCTGCTTCACGCCCCCCCATCTTGCATGCACCACCACTGACGGATGGGCCTTCAGCCACTCTGCGCCCACCCTGTGGAACTCGATCCCAGTCCCTCCGCCTCACCCCCTCCCTTGCCTCCTTCAAGATCCACCTCAAGACCCTCCTCTTCGACCGTCCCTTCGATTACCCTCCTTCCCCCCTACCCTCCATCCTCCCCGATCCCAACCCCCAGCTCGTGTCAGAAACACTGATTGTCTAACGCCTTGGGACATCCTCCCAACGTAAAAGGCACTATACAAATGTAATTTTGTTCTTGTTGTTGGAAGGCCATGGGGAGTCTTAGAAAATTATGCTAAAAAGGTGGTAAACAATAACGTGTTCCTTGGGTGAAAAGGTGTTCTGTATCTGGAGAAAGAACACGTTACTCCCTCATGGAGATACGCAGTGGATTTCAGCAAACAAAGCCACATACTGGGCAGTAGAATACTTTATGAATCAACTCTAAAGCCTCATTTGGCAGTAAATCATTGTGATTATGGCAGAGATTTGCCCCAAATGTCAAATATATCAGACAATCCAAATTGCGATAGATACTCACTCATGATACTATTATCCGCTGGTGATTAAAATTGGTAAAATTTTCACCGGGTCAGTGTAAATGTAGAAGGTGCAAATCATACTGGATTCACATTTCCAAAGGTCAGTTCAAAGCTCTGAAGGTATTCCTTGGAGCAGCAAACATAAACCTTGTTTTGCCACTCAACATTAATATAATGCGACATCTCTCCTGGTAACATAATTGCAGCATAAATATGGACCACTATCCCTTAGTTTTAAGTCACAGCTTACTTAGCTTATAAATATTATTCTGATTTCAAACAAACTTTCTGCATTCTTCTTTGCAATTCCCTTCACAATACAACAAGCTTGGGCAGTGTCCTCTTTAATATCTTTTCACCAATGCCAATTGGTTCAGTTTGCTTAGCTTCTCTTCACAGTTAAGTGTGAATGTGAAACTATATTTGTTGCTCTCCGAATCTTTTCCATTGTCTCTCTTCAGAAGAATAGGACAAAATCTTACTTGTATCTTGAGCTCAGGAATTAAACATTGAATTTCTAGAAAGCTTCACAAATAAAATTTTAGCAAAGAATGAAAAAATTATAAAAAAGCATGAATCTTATAGTAAGTAGTGTTGTATTACTCATAACGAAGCATTGCTTACCTTTACCGATGTTCCTAGGTGGAAGTGGGGGTACATCAGATATAGAAGAAAGAGGAGGACTTGAGCTTAGTATAGTTCCATACGTTTCATTGCTCACCATACTTGGAATGAACGATCGCTGTTTATCTTTTATGGAATTGGCTGAATCCCTCAACATGGCTGGAAGAGTGGCCATGGGCTGAAGTTGACTTGTTCCTGTCTGATATGACACCTGATAGAAACTGACAGGTCTGTTGGGACTGGATTGCTAAGAAAAGCATGAGATTTGTTAAACCACATCCTACGATTTTTACAATTTATTTAGCACATCATTTTCTACTGACATTAACTATACAATATAAGGTTTGACAAATTGCCCCATTGGCTTAGCCACTGGGAAATGAGTTTTCTCCAGGGAAGCCTTGTTAAACTCCGCTTTCAGCACCAATGAAACTAGAGAGCTAAGGTCTCCTGTTGGAAAACACTATTTATGACGTAAGTGCTTTATGCAGCTGTTATGGCTATCGAACAGTTTTTCAATCCTGTAGGTCTACATCTCATTCTTCACTACCATCTGGACACTCTCATTGGTTTGTCAAGATGACAAATAATATTATTCAAAACAGAAGGAACATGTGAGAATGTTTCCTCCACTTGACTGCAAATGGTACAAAAAAAAATACAATTTAAATTTATTTCAGTAACAGCTCTTATCAGTTTTAAAATGTAAACTAGTTTACTCTCCACATATAAGATAGGGTTAAACAGAGCTGAAATAGAGAGATAGTATCTCTTTAAAGACCTTTGAGACAATAATGAGATGATGTACAATAACAAGAAAATTCTTACTTTCCTCAGAGTTATGCACTGTTGCCTCATGGGCATCTTCCCATAATCTTGTCCTGGGTAAGAGCCACAACTGCACCAAGCCCAGTTTCTTAGTTTTTGCCCTGGGCCATATATCACCTTCAGCCAAGCAGGCAGACAAGCAACCTATTCTTAACAATACTATTTTTCATACATTAGCTGGCAAAGCCTAGGGAGACCCTATGGTCACCTAGAGGGATAATCAGATCTGCAGCTATTATTAGCACAGTGTTATGCACTTGTGCTCCATTGCTCTATCATTATTGTGCCGTATCAGGCAGCCGTGATCCTGGTTTAATGTCTCATCCAAAGGACAACACCTCCACTGTGCAGTAATAATAATCCTTGCATTTGATATTGTGCCTTATCACGTTCTCAAGAGATCTCAAAACACTTCACAGAATACACTGTAAAGTGAATTGACTGTATATTTTTGTGGGTGAAACACTCCCCTATTGCTGCATTTGTGGAGTCCTGTAGCTCAGCGATTGGAGCACTCGCCTCGCAAGCAAGAGGCTTGGGTTCGATTCCTGGCAAGACGATATGTCGGGCAAGTCTCCTTGCTCCACGTCCCTCTGTTTAGCTAGCAGTAAGTAGGAACCCATTTGTTAGTCGACCGGCAGATCGCTTTTTCAAGGGTAATACTTTATTCAAAAAAAATTGGTAACTTCATTCCACGACTGTTTGTGGGTCACCCCTGTGAGCAATTGGCTCCTGTGTTTCGCCCACAAAAGATACAGTAAATTCACTTTACAGTATATTCTATGTTGCGCTTTGAGACGTCTCAAAGACGTAATAAAGCACTATATCAAATCCCCAGATCATTATTATTATTGGAGGGTAAACAAGCGGCTTGAACCCATAGCCTTCTGACCCAAAGAAGAGATCACTATCACTCTGATATTTACACAATGATGTATATTTAAGCTCTCCATGAACCAAATGAAAGATTTTCTGGATTTGGAGAGCCTTTTCACTCAGGAACCGTTCACCTAAAAGTCTGTTCCTCCCAGGAAGGTACAGTTTGCTAGATAAGATTTGTCAAGAACTACTGTAGAAGTAGTTCAGCTTTAGGGAAAAAGCCTATTTGCCAATGGGAATAGTGACACTGACCTGCCTATTTGGGGACTTGAAGAGTAGATGAAATGCTGATAGAACTATTGCATCCTTTGATAATACACTTTTGGGTCTCCTTGAATTCTGGAATGTCTTAGCATAGGTAGGGAAATTTATGTAGTGGATGATGTGAACTGCAAGGATGTGTGCAATGCAAATACGAGATTGTTTTATTGCCTGTTTCCTAAATAACTGAATATGCATGTCTTTTATTAGAGAAACTTGGAAATAGCTAGTGTTTTCTGTAAAGCAGTCAGATGTAGCTCAGTGGTTAGAGCACTCGCTTTGCAGGCAAGAGACCTGAGTTCAATTCCAGGCAGAGGGCGAAACCTTGGGCAAGTTTCCGTACTACTCCACACGCCTAATAATAATCCCTCCAAAAAAAAAACCAATAATAAATTGGTCACTTTCAATCCATGACTGTTTGTGGGATATTGCTGTGCGCAATTGGCTGCCGCGTTCGCCCACAAATATACAGTCAATTCACTTTACAGTCTATTCTGTGAAGCGCTTTGGGACGTCCTCCCGACGTGAAAAGCGCTATATCAAATGCAAGGATTATTATTATTATTATTATTATTATACAGGAATCAGAAATTAAACCTGAATTTAGAATTAATGCTGTATGAGAACATATCAAGGTTACTTTGGCTATTTTGTTCAAGTTCTAAACCATAAGTGTGTATGAAAAAATCTAGCAGAAGTGAGACAAAAATTAAGAATTATATTTTATTGATGTCACTTAATATCCTACCTTGTCTTCAATATCATCATCACTTTCATCCAGATCTTCATGATGTAACCTCCATTCATATTCCACGTGTACATGAGAATTAAACTTGCCTGATAAACACTGTGTAAGCTTTGTAACAGAAAGACGCGATTTAAGTCCCATAAATGTAAGCAGAGATAATGAAATGTTTTTGAAATATTTTCAAATGTGTTAAATACACGTACCACCTCTTCACACTGCGTGTGCTTCAAGCGTCTGGCTATATCAAGTGGAGTTTCTCCACCTTCATTGGCTTAAAATAGAGGAAAAATAATTTCTTAATCTAAGACCTCAAGAATATTTTAATCAACTAGTTTTTCCAATTGGAAAATATAGATTTAAGACTAATGCATTTCTTGGTTTGCAATTTTTGCAATAATTTTTTTTTAAAGCTTTAAATCTGGCAAGCCTAAAACGGTATGAAGATGTAATACTTTAGAATACTAAAGCACATCTTCCACAGATTTCAAATTACTCAGAACTTTCTGAAATCACAATTACACTAATACTGCAGCCTTAACTTCAGATCATCTATGCTGAAAATGTTATTGCATCATTTAGCTCTGTTCTCCGCTCAGATTAGGTTCAAATGCAACACATACACCAAAAACCACAGGAAAATTGCATTAAGCTATTTAGACCAGCTCATTATGCATTTCGAGATCTTTCGCTCCAACCATATTTATATCAACAGTGCGCAATTTATTAGATTCACATAGTGAGACTTTGCTGCTGGCTCTCAGCTGGATACTCTACAGACATAACTTTACCATTTGTGTGCATCTGTTGGGCAGATCAGTGGTTATGTGCATAAATATTCATGAAAAATGTAGACATAATGGAGCGCAGTTAACGTAAGGTTAATGTGGTAGGTGTTGTAGGTACGTCCGAGGTGGCACTGGAAAGAGATGCCCTTGAATTGAGCAGAAAATCAGAAATATTCAAGATAGTTCCTCAATTTGAGTTATGTAACAACTTTATAAAAAGGAATAATAGGAAACCCATCAAAAGAACGTCAATCTATTTTATAATCACTGGAAATGGAAATACTGAATGCGACAAAAAAAATCTTACCTATATCAATGGAGGCTTTACCCCTTAGAAGCAGTTTAAGACATTCCAGATTATCATTTAGACAGCAGTAATGCAATGCTGTGCTGCCTTTGGCAGTCTGTTTATCAAGGTTCCCACTGTAAGACCAAATAGACATATTTACACATACGGAGCATAAAATTTAAAAGAGAATATTCAATGAATTGATAACTATATATTGTAATTTATACAGTAATAACTTTCTCTGGATATTATTAGAGCAGAAACTTTATCTCATTTACTAGTAATAATATAATATTCCTTAAGACCTCTCTTGATTGACAACCTCATCCAGTGAGAAAGAGAGCACAACTCTCTAAAGAGCATCCGCTAGCAAATCACATGCATCACAGGGCACGGCACTATTTTTGCTACTGCGGATTTTCCTCAACAGCCCAGTTGATTTGTGATAAAAAAAATCTGCCGTGAGCACTATTTCTCTACAGAATTCCAACTCATTGATTGCCAAACCCCCAAATACTTTTAAAAAAGGTGAAAATACATCCTTCATCCTAATAATAAAATGCTAACCTGTTCTGTACTAAAAAGTCAACCACATGAAGCGATGTTCTGTCCACCAATCTTACAGCGAGATGCAGTGCCGTTTCTCCTTGCTCCTAGAAATAAATATTGGAAAAGATGAAAAATGAATGATGCCATTAGAAATAATCAGCATTACTGCTTTAAATGTAAGTGGAAAAAAAAAGTGAACTACAACAACAATGAAAGACTGGTGAGGTCTCACAAATTACACCAAAATACCAAAGCAGAAATGGTAGTCATCTAAGAAAGTAGACAAAGAAAATCCACAAATTCAACATGTGTTATAGGTGGCAAGGAAGAGCGATGCCCTTGATTTGAGCAGAAAATAAATATTCCCAAGATAGTTCTACGATATGGACATAGCTTCAGGAATATACTAAACCCCAACTAACCAGACCGGGTCTGAAATGGAAACATTTAAAAAAATATCCATTGGTTGAGTGCGGACTCCCACCGGCCCACTCTACTAGCGTGCATCCAGCCTCACCGTGCTTCCTGGCCTTTAGTGGCCAGGGATATCAACTTTGACTCGGTTTGAATCTTGCAAACAGAAGTTAGCTTATTCACCAACTTCTGGATTCAAACAATTACAATGCCGATACTGGCACTTTTCAGTGCCCAAAAATGCTGGTACCAGCATTGAATATTATTATTATTATTGTAATTACACCTAGGCACAAATTACAGATTGCCACACTGAATTTCCCCCCACCTCCCCCTCATTAGTCTGGTTAACCAGGGTTTAAATGCAATTATCAATGAGAATAATTAATGAAAACTAAACTTACCTAAAATTATGCACAAATAAACTGGAAGACAATTTTAGACTTGTATACCACTTTTCTCTCGTTTAAGAACTCACTTCTGTAAAGGTTAATAATTTTCTTCTACACCATCTAAAATTACTCAAGTAAATATCCAGGGGCTTGGGACGTCCTTCCTCCCAACGTGAAAGGCTCTTTATATGCTCCCCCTTGGTGACATCATCCGCAGACATGGGGTTAACTTCCACATGTATGCGGATGACACCCAACTCTACCTCTCCTCCTCTACCCTCAACTCCACGACCACTGATGTCCTGACAGCTGCCTGTCTGACATCGAGTCCTGGACGAGAGACAACTTTCTTCAGCTCAACGTGCGCAAAACTGAGGCCCTCCTGATTGGCTCACGTCAGCGCCTCCGCACCTCAGGCGCTGACACCATCAGCATCCAAGGCTGCACTCTCCACCTCTCAAAGTCAGTCAGGAACCTCGGTGTTCTGTTCGACCCGGAGCTGTCCATTCTCCCTCATATCCGCGCCACAACTGGCACCGCCTTCCATCACCTCCGGAACATCGCCAGACTACGGCATTACCTCACCCCTCACGCTGCTGAAACCTGGTTCACGCCTTTGTCACCTCAAGGCTGGACTATGGGAACTCTCTCCTCGCCGGCCTTCCCGCCACCTCCCTCCACAAGCTGCAGGTCATTCAGAACTCCGCAGCTCGTGTACTGTCCCGCACCAGGCTTCGCGACCACATCACTCCCACCCTCGCTCCCCTCCACTGGCTCCCCATCCCCCAGAGGATCGATTTCAAGTTCCTCATCCTCACCTACAAGGCCATTCACAGCCTCACTCCCTCCTACCTCTCCGACCTACTATCCCCCTACTTACCTGCCCGTACCCTCCGTTCCTCTGGCTCCGGTCTGCTCCACATCCCCCGCCCTAACTTCGGTGCCGGGCCTTCAGCCTCTCAGCCCCTAGGCTCTGGAACTCTATCCCCCAGTGCCTTCGCCGCCTCCTCCCTTTCCTCCTTCAAGGCCGGTCTCAAGACCTTTCTCTTTGACTGTGCCTTCAGTTCCCCTCTCGACTCTCTACCCCCTCCTCGCTCCCTCCCTTCTCTCCCCTCACCCTGACCATTTCCCCGCTGCTCAGGTCCTGACCCAACTGTTCAGCGCCTTGGGACGTCCTCCAGACGTGAAAGGCGCTCTATAAATGAAATTTTGTTGTTGTTGACAAATCTAATTTGTTGTTGTTGTATAGCTGTATAAACTTCAAAATATTCTCTTCAATCAATTTTCATTGAAAGTTGAACATATCAACCTTTTATGTTAAAAGAAATTGCTATAAAACTGATGATCTTACATGTCCATTTGCTAAAGGAATTGGCTCAATCAGGTCCACACCATCAGCATATACTTGAATTAGTGCGAAGATGTCTCTTGACTTGATTGCATCACACAGACAGCTAAGTTTGGCTGCATTATCCAGGCACTTTTTCCTTGAATATTTACGTTCAATGTATTTAGCTGTTATGTAGTCCTTTCGTGCAATCCTAAAGAAAGAGGATATTTCCCGTGTCAAAATCCAGTTTCATATCAATGACAAGTTTGAAGTGATTATGTTACATTACTTAAAATATGGTCTTTCTCTTGTGCTCTAAAGCAAGACATAGACCAATGTTGACATTTGGACTCCTCATTTCATGCATAATAAGTGACAAGTAAGTATCTAAGCAACTAATAACTATGAGTGCTAAAAATGTCACTGCAACTAGAACTCAATGAAGTACTTAAGGCTTGAAGAAATACAAAATGGCACGGAAAATGGTAGAATTAACTCTAAACTAAAGTTACATGCTTGAGGATAAGGATGGTCCTTATAAGGATAAGAATTATTAAACAAAATAATCATCACACAAAGTATAATCCTTTTAAATCGCGGGACATCATTTGACACTAAATTAAAATTTAGGAAGTCAGTTACATTCAAGAGACCTGCTGTTCTGGCCTGATGGTTGTGGCTTTTATGCACCATGTTGTTTCTTTGCCTATGATTAATGACTAATCCTCATTCTATGCAGAGGACATTAACTGGTGATTGATGGAACATCTAAAAAATGAAGTGTCAAGAGCAATGAGCTGATAAAGTGGAAAATGCATGTTGATGAAGTAAAACAGAATTAGAAATGAGGGAATTAAACCATAAAAGTTAAACTGGAAAGAAAAACAGAGGACTAAAAAAAATTCTTCAGCCCTTTTCTGGGAAAAAAGTTTGGAATCCTTTCAAAAAGTGGAACAACGCAGTCATTGTAAAATTTGGCAATACTGTAGTTAGCAACACTACTATCTATAGAAAAAAGAAACTAACGTAGCACTTCCTTCATTATTTTGAAAGCAACAGTATTTTTATTTGGCTCATAAATTGTACACATTTTCAGCTTTTAAAACAAATCAAAATTTAGTGCGTCATGTATTTTCTACTGTTTTTCACCTTTAAAATATCTACCAAAATTGGAATATTGTAGGTAAGGGGAACCAAGTATTGTATTTCACATCCTCTTGACTTTGCTATCAATAGAGGTTGTGCTAATAATCAATTTTAATAAATAAATGCTATAATTAATGACCCTGATAAACTATACCATTCTTTTCTGGATTAGACAGCCCTAAATTAATAAAACAATTATCCCGTCTAAGAGAATAGCTATATTGAGGCCTGGTTGAATGTAAGTTTCAGAGTCCTCAGCACAGTATAATTTACAAGTAATGCAGGTATCACTAAGTGCACAATATTTATATTTTATTTCAGCCATACTTGAATCACCAAATGTACCTGAAAGCTAAACAATTCCCTCTTTTTCAGAGCTCATTGAGAAAACAATTCAGTTTTTTTGAAACAAATACATATTTTAAAAGAGAATCCCCTGGAGACTCTTCAGAATCAACATTGCTATCACTACCTACAGTGATTTAGAATAGAACAAAATACATTTATATATTATGCCTTTCATGTCTGAAGGACATACCAAGGTGCTGGACAGTTAAGGGTTTACACGCAAGTTGGGGGTTGGAATCAAGAGGGGTGGAGGACAGGGGGGTTGGGAAGGTGGACTAAAGCACGGTCAGTCAAAGAGAAGTCTTGGGACGGGCCTTGACAGAGCAAGGGAAGGGGCGAGGTGGAGGGATTCCTGGATGGAGTACCACATAACAGTTATATACTTACATATCACTGGTTGGAATAGGTTTGATGGTTTCATCGGAAGGTAGACAAGCTTCCATAATCTCATTAAATCCTGCATTCCCAACATTCTTGGCCAGCTGTCAAAGATAACAAACCAAATTAGATCTGCGGATACTCAATCTATTTAGTGAATCATCTATCAAAATCACATTAATAACATTTAGGATTTCAAAAGTGGTTTCCTCAAATGTACTTTTATTTTACTCCACACAGGGAGTGCACTACAACATAAAAAATTAATGTGTTTATTTTGCATTGCAAAACACAGATTTTGGATATCCAGCAGAGTATTTTTTTAAAAAATTCCTAATCTCCTAATAATAACTGATGTTAATGTTGATAATTTTTCAGCATAAACATTTCATTAGATTACCAGGATCTTCCTTACAGTGACTAAGCCTTGAAATTGCCCTTGTTGTAGATGACAACAACAACAACATTAGATTTGTATAGGGGCTTTCACGTCGGGAAGACATCCCAAGGCGCTGAAGATGACTCACTGACTAACAGTCAGACGTGTTTCTGAGGGGTTCACAAAGGTTATTTCATCACATTGTTGCTTCCTATCATTGACTTATACAAAACTAAAAATTCAAGCAATTTTCATTAGCTTGATTTATGTTGCCATCACATTATTCATGATTTATATCAAATTTAATTTAAGTTTTCCCTCTTCTCCCATAAGTAATTTTTATGATTTACCCTACTGTGGTTTTGTGCACTACAATCCTTATGAATCAACTGGTTTCCAGGCTGCACTTTAACAAACCTCCAAGATGTAAATTAAAGTGACCTGGGGTGGCTAGTCCGGTTTTCTAAAAGAAAAGTTTCCATTGACCCCAGTGTGTTAGCCTGGCTCAGTTGGAAACACTCTCTTCTACAAGTCAGAATCAAGGACCATGTCAGGAATTGAAACACAGACTAGACTGACACTCCCAATTTAGTGCTGGAGACGCTGTCATTCGAATGAGATGTTAAATCGAGGTTCCTTTTGCTTGTTCAGATGGAGATTAAAGATCCCATGATGCTATCCAAAAAGAGAAAGGAGTTTCTCCCGTTGTCTTGGACAACAGTTGGTCACTCCCTCATGGCTGTTGGCTCAGGCATTGACAGTATTACCATTACCACACGCCACCTCACTGAGCCAGTCAGGAACCTTGGAGTCTTGTTCGGCCTTCAACTGTCCTTTCTACTCTACATGCTCTGCCTTCCCCCCACCTCCGCAACAGCGCCTGGCTCCACCACTGCCTCACCCCTCAGGCCGTTGAATCTTCATGTACGCATTTATTACACCTAGGCTCGACTATGCCAACTCCCCACTTGTCGGCCTTCCCAACTCTTCCCTCTGCAAGCTGCAGATCATCCAGAACTCGGCCACTTGTATGCTCTCCTGCACCAGGCTCCGTGACTATCACCCACTCCCTTACCCAGTCCACTGGCATCCCATTCCCCAGAAGAGTGTTCAAAATCCTTGTCTTCACCTTCAAGGCCCTCCACGGCCTTGCTCTTTTCTACCTCTGTGACATGCTGATCCCTCTATTCAGCAGACTCCAGCCTGCTCCGAGTCCCTCATCCGTCCCACCATCGGTAGTCGGGCCTTCATCCTCTCTTCCCGCACACTCTTGAATCCTAGGGCACAGTCCCTTCGCCTCACTCCCTCCCTTACCTCCTTCAAGGCACATCTCAAGACCCTCCTCTTCAACCGTTAATTTCAGGCACCCTCCTACCCCGACCCTCCCTGCCCTCCACCGCTTCTGATCCCAACTCCCTACTGGGGTCCAAATTTGGTGACCGTCCAGCGCCTTGGGACGTCCTCCCGACATGAAATGTAATTTATTGTTGTTGTTTGTGGGACATTGCTGTACACATGTTGCCTGCCAGGTTTGTTTACAGAATATACAGTCACTCCACTCTGCAGTATATCTTGTGGAGCGTTTTGAGACATTGTCCTAATGTGAATGGCCCTATACAAGTGTAAATTGTACTGTTTGAAAGGAAATTTATATTTAAAACAGGTCCTACCAAGAGTTCTGATGTTCCTAATACGTCCAATGTAAGGGACTGTATTCTGGAATAGTGAACACCTAGTTCTCGATGGATCCCTGAGCATTCAATGCACGTCAGAATTCCCAGATTTGTGGACAGCCATGTTGGATCTGTTAAAGAAAACACATTACTTTGGTTTCAACATCATTACCAAGATGACTTGGAACCGGCAGGCAAATGGGGAAGCAACCCGTTTGCTGCAGAACCTTGTTATAACAAGGATTGGGATTTTTATGGTCCCCAAACATCATAGTATATTGTGGCTCCACTGTATTTACAGTAGAGGACTTCACATCCAAGTCAAATTGATGCTCAAAACACAAACCTAGCTGAACTTTAAGTTTAGATAGTCGAGTTTTTTAAAAATCAGTAACAGAACCAACATGATTACCCAATAAAAAGCTCCTGTTATATTAACAATACTAATTTATTATTAATCTTCAATGAGCGAGTAGTAAACATATGGAACAGGCTCCCTAGGTAGACGGTGGAAGCAGAAAGTGTTGATTCTTTCAAGAACAAATTGGATAGATTTATTTTTCTGAAATAATATCCCGGGATACAAAATATAGTTTGGGACACGACATGTCATGCACAACAGTTCAGGGTAGTGGAATGTGAACTGGATGGACCTTGGCCTTTCATGTAGCAAATTCTTATGTTCTTAATCTATATGCTAGCATCATATAAAATCTGTACATATTTTTAAACTTCACTGTACTTAATAAGCAATCAACTTTACATAGGTAGTTTGCAACACATAGTTAAAATATCATTAAGTGTTTTAGCAACAATTGTTTTTATATTAAAAAGGTTAAACTCTAGGAGTACACATGCACTCTGGTTCCCAAGCCTTGGCTCTTACCAACCTGCACCTAATACTCTCTGGAATTAGGTAAGCAGGGTACAGGCTGAGTGCACAATCCTTTCCAGACACAGGCAAATTTCCATGTGTGGATGGCAAACATAATGTGGAACTCTCAGTCTGGTTTGGATACTCTTAGGTATGGTGATTATCTTCTGCAAGTATGAAACACTGACCAACAAAAGATGTTATCCAACATAAAGTACATGAAGGACATTATATAAATGCAAAGTTTTTGTTGTAGAAGTAAAGACACTGACTCAAGCTGAGGGTTTTGTTCTCCAGATTAGCTTTTTCTCTCCAGTCCCTCATTGGAATAGTATTTGTCACAAACATGAAGAATTTGATAGCTTGATCAAAGACACTGGTTTCTGTAGTCAATCTAAAGTTTGTTGACAAAGATCTCAAAGATCAGACACCTCCATGTTGACAGAATGAGTGCATGAACTTATCTCTACTCTCACATATTAATTGAATAAATTTTAATTCAATACACGTTTGATTGGGAATGTGATTTTACAGCCATCACTCACTGCAGATCAAAGACTTTTTTTTTTAAATGATGACGCCTGCTTTAAAGTGCTGTTAACCAGGATCTGAGATCAAAGTGACATTGATGATGTATTTTTTTAAAATTTCATTTGTAATAATCCTTGCATTTGATATAGTGCCTTTCACAGAATACCCCAAAGTGCTTCACAAAATGTATGGTAAAGTGTAGTAACTATATATTTTGAAGAAAATCTTCAGTTAAAACAGTCATTCAAGGAGCCAATATGTTCCTTGGATTTTGGCAATTTTGTTTGAATGATTAAAGTTACGCATCAAGTTTTAGACTGTTTGTAGGATTTCATTCAAAGACTCTTTCAATCATCTAACATAGGAAGGTCCAACATTTTTAGCTGCCTACATTTCTAAAATAGGAAGAAATAGGACATTTCCTCCTATTTGAGAAATGTCCACAGGCCACATAATATTTTTGTTCTTCCCTTCCAGAAACAGAACATTTACACATAATTTTTTTCACGTTGGAAGGACGTCTCAAAGCGCTTAACATTGCCAGCTGGGCCCCCGAACTGGGGACGGGAGCCGAGGGAGATGAAAGATCATGTGGGTTAGCACAGCTTCGCCCAATACAGTCCTCCTCTGATGTTCTCATACATAGACTTTTCAGTAAGGATCCACTGGACACTGATCAGGAACAGGAACCTGGCTGATTTTTCTCCTCCCTAGCCCAAGGTATAGTCGAATTCTAGCATTTCTGCTATCCCCGTCTGAGAACAGCTTACTCAGCACAGACCAGGGAATTGAACAAACTTGCCAGATATATGTGGCTCATTTTAGTACTAAGTGATGCTTATGTCATTTGAGAAAATGTTATATTCAGAAACATTTTTGCACAAGAACAAGGCCAGATGTGTCTTTAAACAAAAGTATTAATAATTCTATGATGTTCACAGAAATATAGTCCAAACTGCTTAAAGGTATACCTAAATAAAAGGAGTAGTCAAAAGGAGAACAGAGAGAAATATCTGACCTTGAAGCTAGAATGTCTGAATCTAACAGAGTTAACTGAAATTCTTCAGGAATATTTGTTGAAGCAACAGACTGAAAATCTCTCAGGATCTGTTTAATAATAGAAGCTTCCACACATATTTTAATGCTCTACAACAGCATTAATAAAAGAGCAAGAGTGCACTTGGGAAAACATTCAAAGTGTAAAGTGTAATTTTACCTGGCCGACTTCTAACCGCAATTGTATTACTAACTCATTGTAAATTTTTAAAACTTGTCTCTCTGAGACTTGAGATTGCATTATTTTAAAAGACAACTAAAGAATTTGAAGACTTAGCGTCTTTTTTTGTCTGGCTAGAAATAATTTCAAAGAATGAAGCAACTGTAATAATCACATTCTCAATCCAGCATTAATCAAATAGAATAAAGGAAGTACAGAGGAGAAGTGAAAAGGGAAATAAGAAGGGTGAAGAGATTGTATGAGAAAAGATTAGCAGGAAACGTAAAAGGGAATCAACCCGAAGGTATTTTATAAGCATATCAAGAGTAAAAGGTTAGTCAAAGAAAGGGTGGGTCCAATTAGGGACCCAGTGGAAATCTTCTTGTTGAGGCAGAGGACATGGCTGATGTACTAAGTAAGTACTTTGCAACTGTCTTCACAAAAGACAATGCAGCCAATGCCACAATATCGCAGGCGTGTGAACAGAAATTGGATATGATATAAATCAACAGAGGTGGTCAACATAGATAAGTCACCTGGTCCGTACAGGATGCATCCTAGGTTACTGAGGGAAGCAAGGGTGGAAATAGCAGAGGCTCTGGCAACAATCTTTCAATCCTCTTTGGACACTGGAGTGGTGCCAGAGGACTGGAAAGTTGCAAATGTTACTCCCCTGTACAAAAAGGGGCAGAAGGACAAACCTGAGAACTACAGGCCAATCAGCCTAACATCAGTAGTAGGGAAACTTCTGGAGACTATAATCCGGGACAATATAAATTCTCACTTCGAAAAATATGGTTTAATAAAGGACAACCAACACGGATTTGTTAATCGCAGATTGTGTCTGACAAACCTAATAGAATTTTTTGATGAAGTGACTGAGAGGGTGGATGAAGGTAGTGCAGTAGACGTAGTTTATCTAGATTTTCAAAAGACATTTGACAAAGTGCCACAGAAGAGACTTATAAACAAAATAGAAGCCCATGGTTTTAAAGGGACACTGGCAGCATGGATTCAGAACTGGCTAGGAGACAGAAAGCAGAGAGTGGTAGTAAACGGTTGCTTTTCTGACTGGAGGGAGGGGTGTAGCAGTGTCCCTCAGGGGTTGGTATTGAGACCACTGCTCTTTCTGAATAATGACCTGGATATAGAGAGCACAATTTCCAAATTTTCAGACGATACTATGCTAGGAAAAGTAGTTAATGGTGAGGAGGATAGCACCAGACTCCAAGAGGACTTAGACAGATTGGTAAAATGGGCAGAAATGTGGCAGATGAGGTTTAATGTGGAGAAATGCGGTGTTGCATTTTGGTAGAAAGAATGAGGAGAGGCAATATAAGCTGTTGGTACAATCTTAAAGGGGGCAAATGAACAGAGAGACTTGGGGGTCCACATAAGCAAATCTCTGAAGGTGGCAGGACAGGTAGATAAAGCTGTTAAAAAAGGCATACGGGATACTAGGTTTTATAAATAGGGGCATAGAATTTAAAAGTCAGGAGGTTATGTTGAATATTTATAAAATGCTGGTTAGGTCTCAGTTGGAGTACTGAGTTCAGTTCTGGGCACCGCACTTCAGGAAAGATATTAGGGCATTGGAGAGGGTGCAAAGGAGGTTTAGCAGGATGGTACCAGGAATGAAGGACATTAGTTATGAGGAGAGGTTAGCGAAACTAGGATTATTCTCCCTGGAGCAGAGAAGATTAAGAGGGGATTTAATAGAGGTTTTCAAGATCATGAGAGGATTTGATAGGTTGAACCAGGAAAAACTGTTTCCACTGGCATGTGGGTCAGTAACTCAAGGACACAGATTTAAGATAGTTGTTAAAAGAAAGAGAGGGGAGGTTAGGAAAAAATGTTTCACCCAGCGAGTTGTTCGGATCTGGAATGCATTACCTGAAAGGGTAGTGGAAGCCGATTCAATAACAACTTTTAAGAGTGAAGTAGATGGGTATTTGGGGAAGACAGGATTGCAGGGCTATGGAGAGAAAGCGGGCCAGTGGGATTGAATTGGATTGCTGTTTTAGGAGCTGATGCAAATGCAATGGGCCGAATGGCCTCTTTCTGTGTTGTACTATAATTAATCAATCTTCTACAGCAGGAATCTAATTAATCAACAACAACTTGCATTTATATAGCACCCTTCACATGGAATAATGTCTCAGAGAAATTTACAAAGAGGGGGTCAGATGCCAAGCTAGGGAGGTGGGACATAACTATAAACAGTCAAAAGAGGTAGGTTTTTAGCGGGGGGGCAGGGGTAAAGATGAATAGGGAGGAGGCGAAGCAGAGATATGGGGAAGAAGTTTCAGAGGATAGGGGCTTAATCACTGATGGTGGCATTTTATATTCAGCTGCATTACGGAATCATTCGATCATGAGCTTTCGATCATGGGGTTACTCCTCCTATGAATCTGCTTAAAATGGTGCTATTTTAAACTAAGATGGTAAACTTGACGTCTTTCACCATGTTGGACAATGCTGTTAATGCTAAATGGTTTGAGCAGCCAGCAGACTAATAATTGTAGCTTAATTCTGACAGCAGTCACACGCATTTAAACAATAAGGGAAAAATGTATTACAAATTCCATTCAATGCCCTTCATTGTTAGAAATTTATAATTAGGTTTGAACAGGCATCAATTCTGCTAGTAAAACAGTAATTGCTTGTGCAAATGCTTTTTGAGGCTACGGAAAAATTTAAATATTTTAGCAAAAATCAGTAGTTTATTAATCCAAAAAAATTCAAGTGAAAGTCATAACAATGCATCAGCCTGGCTCAGTTGGCTACCACTTTTGTCTCTGAGCTAGGAGATTGTGGGTTTAAGCCACAGATCAGGACTTTGAAAAAAGAATCCAAGGAATGGGGTTTAATTCCCTCATATGGTAATTAAAAAGTATTGGCAGCTATGGTGAAATTCATAAAATCCAATCAATTCAAAACTCTACCACCTGTATCCTTTCCCATAGTAAACTCCGCACCCCTATCACATCAGTCCTTGCCAGGCCACTGGCTCTCTATTGTAGAACAGATTGATTTCAAGATCCTCTCACATATAAATCACTTAATTCCCTGGCATCTCCCTACCTCTATGACTTGCTTAACCCCAATCCTCTAACCATGTACCATGTCCACTTCGCTCAGCTGGCTCCGGCCTCCTGCCTGTCCTTCGTCCCCTCTGCTCCACCATTGGCAGCCATGCTTTTAGCCACTTCTCCCTGGAACGCTCTGCCTCAATCCCTCTCCTCCTTGTCCGTCTCCAAATCACACCCAAAGACCTTCCTTTTCGACCATGCCTATTGTCACATCTCCTGTCTCCCTGGTTCAGTGTCAAGCTCCACACTGTTAACAACATCAATCACATGCTTTTATATAGGGCCCTTTGCGCAGGTTAGCAGAGCACTTGACTGCTCTGAGAGTTAACAGCTTACCCCCTAAAGGACTCTATATAAATGCAAATTGTTTTTGCAAGTTGTTGGTGAATGAATATAAATATTAAATACATCAATCTGCAGTATATAGGAACAGTCGTAAGATTGCAATGTATAGTTAGTTATTCACTGATAAATGACTTCAGCATAAAACTGTTCCATGTTGATCTATTCATTAATTAAACTTACCTTGTGCCCCACAATCACAGCATACATCATTTCCAGTCATCTTCTGTACCTCTACAATAATTGCTTTTGTTAGTTCTTGGACAATATTATTTTCTCCAGTATTATGGTCTCCCTTGAAAGCATTGTTTAAAGCTTCTTCTTTACTGTTCTGCAGTACTGACATCCAACTGAGGAGCAGAATACAAGATATTTCAAAAACTGGTAACTTTTGTAAGCGGTTACATCAGAAGTCACGTACTTGAAGGTATCTTTCCAAAAATAAATCTATATGTTGATATAAATATAATAGATAGATATGTTGCCCTGATTTTCATTCATTGCACACAGTCCAAAAAACTGGGCATGAATATTACACAAAGATTAAAAGATCTAAAAAAAATGTTTAAAAGGAACTTCTTTAGGCAGATGGTGGTGAGAACGTGGAACACTGCCAGAAGGATGACTGAAGCAGAAACAATCAATGCATTTAAAGACAAAGTGGAAGCAGTAGGCCCAAGTTACTCAAGTTTATAGTCTTCTAAACTTGATCTTCGTTCATCCTCAGGTTTATATATAAAAAAAGCCATTGACTCAGATCACCAATGTGATTGCGGTAGGAAAACAGAATGCCAATGTATTCAACTTTTATAGAATTCTATAAAATTGTTGACAGTGAAAATGCCACAATCATTGCTTCCTTGATATCAGCATGATCAGATGTACTCAGGTTTGAGTGAGAAGAAACAGCAGGACTAAACTGTCCAAGTGCAAATTTGATCAATTGCTATTCTCTTCCACAGGCTTCAATGAGGTCTCAGTGCCTTCGTTACAACAGCAAAAAAAAAGGCAAGGTTTTTGTTACTAAAATTCAGGCCACTTATTGAGCAAGGTAAAACAAATATTCCTTTTAAGAAAAGTCTAATTCATTAATCACTTTCACTAGGCATGATGGCATCAATGGCCTTCTGTGCTGTAAATTTGTACATCAGTAGTTGTAGTTTTTAAACTTACACTTGGCATTCTGGTTCATCATCTGCTTGAAAATGGTATGTTCTGTCATCTATGGAAAGGAAAATAATAGTAATCCTTGCATTTGATATATACAATACAATATACATTTATATAACTCCTTTCACATTGAGAGGACAGCTCAAGGAGTTTCACAGGAATTTGAAATGCATTCTAAGATCAACATTCAAGCTATTAACTGTGAGACACAGTGAATATTTGATGTACTTATTCATATGTAGGTATTTAAATCTGGTTGAGTGGAAGTCATACCCACTTACACTGCATGTTATGCAAAGAGCAGATACTGAAAATCCATCAATTGACTATCTTCAAAAATTGCTCGGCGTAAAATATTTCTTGAACTTTTGTATCAAGATACTACTATAGCACAATATAGGTGCTATAATTTGCTCATTCATAAATTGGTCATTCACTTCATGACTGTTTCTGGAACATACATTGTGCACAAATTGGCTGCTGCTTTTACCCACAAAGACAGAGTCACCAGTGGCTACATTAATTCATTAGACAAACTACTGTACAACTTTCAGGCCCAACCAAACTGCATAGATTTATCCTGAAGACCATGTCTTAAAATGTAATATTGCACCAATTTTGGAAAATTCTTAAAATGTTCTTTAAAAAGCATAAAATTTCTAGCAACAGTTATAGTAATTAATTTGTCTAAAATGGAATCAACTATGTGAAATGGGGAAAAGGCAGATAAACGGTATTGAAAGGAATGGCCTTAAAAACAAACATAAGACACGATGCGCCAATGGACTTTCTTCTGTGCTGTAAATTCCTATGATTCTAAAATGTAAAGCTAATGCAATTTGAAAGAATGGGCCGAGTCTTATTTCTGGTGCCTGTATAGCTGGTATTGGTAAAATGTGGCCTATTATGTGAAGTCTGGTTCTATGAAAGTTTTGGATCATTCTAATCAGTTAAAAATAAACTGAATTTTATGCTATACAAATGTGTATGGTACATATCAAAAGTAATTAAAACATTTTTTATTACATAATTGAGAATGGAATGGGGGTAAAGCCCAAATTATCTGCTTACTGTCAGCTGATTTTTCAATGGAATAGCACCAATATTTTCCAAATAACTGTTGTTTTGCTTAGCTTCTTTTGACTGAAAATAATTTTTAAGAACAATCTATATTAACTTTGGATCCGAAGTACAAGCTGTGTAGAGGTATTAAAATACATACGTGATATGAGATCAAAGCATTTTCTTTCTTCTGGATTTGGCTTCACCTGGCACGTGAGGAGATTGAGTTTTGCTGGCAGTCTGTTAGCCTGAAAATCAATAGTAAGTGACACACATGAAGCAGAAATTCTTCCTGAATTTGTACAAACGTTTTAATTGTATGCACTCATCAAGTTGAACAATGTTAAATGCTGGGAAATGGATCATTTCTCAATATGTGGACATCATATGGCACCGTTAAGCACAGTTAAAGCATTACTTGGTCACAAGCACACCCTGAGACGAGCACATCCAATCACACCAATATAGAATATTGTAGAGTTGTAAAATAGTATCACTGAATCTCTAAATTTCAATAGATAACAAATTGAAATCAAGTAACACAAACATAAATAGGATTCTAGAGAGACTTTGGTAAAAATCTAACCCATTTTCAACAGAGCTCATACAAAAACACAGAATCTGTTTTCTCTAGAACAGAAGAGGGGGGAATTTCATAGCGGTAATTAAGATAATAATACTTGCATTTGATATAGCGCCTTATCACGTCTTCAAGATGTCTCAAAGTGCTTCACAGAATATACTGTAAAGTGAACTGACTGTATATTTTTTTGGGCGAAACTCAGCAGCCAATTGTGCTCAGCAGTGTCCCACAAACAGTCGTGGATTGAAATGACTAATTTATTATTATTATTATTTTTGGAAGGAATTATTACACCCAGAAAAGCGATCCACCAACAACCAGGTTTCTACTTATTGCTAGGTAAACAGAGGCGTGTGGAGTAAGGAAACTTGATTAACATTTCGCCTGCCAGAAATCAAACCCAGGTCTCTCGCTTGCGAAGCGAGTACTCTAACTACTAAGCTACAGGGGTAATTCAACGCAAGATGTAATCTGTAATATGCTAGTAGAAAAAAAACCTCCCAATTCTAGCTATATTAACAAATAAATGTTAACTTACTGTTCCATGAGATATTGTAAGGTAACCATTTTTTACTGTACACTTCCTTTTCTGCCATACTTTTCTGATTCTGAAATGAAATGCAACATTAAAGTGCACGTACTTTGCAATCCAGTCTCCATTCTTTTGATAAATATATTTAGAGAATAGGCTGATATATTTAACAAGTTGCTATATTGATAGTTGACATAGTGCGCTATTACAAGTCTATTTATCTGATATAACAGATTTTTGAAAGATTAACCGCATGTGTTTTTTTTAATAAAAATTTATTTTCTATCCAATCCTAATTTGCCACACAAGGACCTAACTAAGCAAAAAATAACTTAGATTTCTGACAGTGTTAAGGCAGATTATTTTCACAAACACTAAACATCTAAATATATAACCAGAATTCCTAATTTTAATACATTAATGCAAAATATGGCATTGCAAAAAGAGTAACTGAAGTGCAGGTATACCATTCAAAAAAGCTATACTTTTGAAATCACTGAATTTGAATGGAAGTTGACTCTGCTTTTTCTGCAAAACTGTTTTGACATCTATAATGGGATTTAAATTTGTCCCTGACTGTTGGAAAATCTTGTTTCTCAGCTGACAAATACTCATGAAAACAGTATGGACAAAAGCCCACTGACCACAAGTTGGCAAACTCTACAATGATGAATAAATGTATGGGAAATAGAAAATGTGCCCCAAAACGGTATAGTAGGGGTTCAGCACTTTGATGTGACACAAATAGCGGAACCTTTGCTTGACCTGGTAAGTACAGTACTTGATAACAAAACGTTTCTACTTCTCACTGTGATGAATACAAAACAAATTTCCAAATGACTTTGAAGGAAGCATAAAATACTTGAATGAATTATTATACATTTACAGTCCAGGCTTCTGAAAAAAACAGGAGTTTTTTTAGTTTTTAACTGCATGCCCTAAAGGTATTACACAGCAATTAAGATTGCACCTTAATGAATCACATCTCAAGTAAATTATAATATCCTTTCTACTGCTACAGCTGCAGGATAAATGCGTTGCTGGAAACACAATTTGAACGCTGCTTGAGCAACTTTAAGAAGTCAACAATAAGATTTCAGTTTGCAGTACTGCATGAAAACAGACCACTGCCCTTATAACACAATTACAAGCCTCTTGCAGCAGAAGCTGAAGAATACACTTTTTGACTTCTCGAAAAAAACAGTTACCATAAGCGCTCTTGTATGTTTTCCATACAACACAATTTTGGGTCAATTTACTACACTACACTCCAATTTGCTCTGCCATTAACTCATACCATATACAGTACATTTATACCCAGCACTCCTCCAATGCCCTAACAGCTAGGGTGGTCTGAGATAGACAAGCAGGGAGAAGCTTGCCAGACAGTGCTATTAATAACAAGTAAGCTATTTTGTTTTAACTGCTTAGACTCCAGCAGTACCCCAGCACACACTCTGGGATCCCCAAGCCTTGGCTTTTACCAACCTGTGCCTAATACTTTCCAGAATTAGGTAAGTAGATTGTGTCCCTCCAGGGAGAGTGCACATCCCAGTCCAATAAATATCTCTGGAATTTCCACGATTATGTGGGACACATGGGACTGTTTCGTTTGGATACTCTTAAGCACGGTGATGGGTGTCAGACAGGCGACTGACCCAAAAACAAAAGTAAACACTCATGACAGGCTGAATCAAGGTTCAGAGCAGTGTCCACATTCTTCCTCAGGTTGAGTCAACAAGCTTTTCTCTCACACCCAATATCTCCATAAAGAAAATCTGTGTATTCGATCATCTGCCCAATTTTTGGGTGAGGAATTGTGTTTTCCTCGGAGGTATATGATATACTCAATCTGAAGAGATCTTTGGTATGGACTGGCCATGACGTTATCGTGGACTGCAGACCAGTTGTTGAGCAACAGTAATCTTTCATACGTTGTTCTAATAACTGTGCAGTCAAATAAATTCATAACAAAATTTTAATTAGAAAGAAATGATGGTCCTTGGAACTGCACTGAACTTCTCAATTATACATCAACAAAATTACATTTGTATAGCGCCTTTCATGTCGGGAGGACATCCCAAGGCATTGGACATTATAAAAGAGTGAACACAATATGAATCGACTTCCTGATATGTAATGCAGGAGTTCTATATATAAAGTTAATAAAACTTTATTAAAGTTAAACTATATATATATAATCCATGTGGAATATATATGTGTGCATATATAATATATATACAATATATATATAAAATTATACACACACACTTTCAAACATAATGACCACAGTTTCTTTTGCATCAATTCAAAAGGTCTGCATGGAATGGAACTTTCTATGGAAGTTCAATAATAATAATAATAATCCTTGCATTTGATATAGCGCTTTTCACGTCGGGAGGACGTCCCAAAGCGCTTCACAGAAGACACTGTAAAGTGAATTGACTGTATATTTGTGGGCGAAAACGGCAGCCAATTGCGCACAGCAATGTCCCACAAACAGTCGTAGATTGAAAATGACCAATTTTAATTATTGTTTTTTTTGGTTTTTTTTGGAGCGATTATTATTCAAATATTGTTAGCTGAATCAGTGTTACTGAAGCTTGTTTTATTCTCTGCCATACAAGGACAGCATATGTATTTGTGTCTCTATTACTAAGTCAAATGACCCATGTGTCTTTGTTAGTTGCTTGAAAGCTCCATCTGTTAACCTGTGCCATCAAATATTGGGGAAAAACTCAACTTACCCATCACTTTTCTTGTAGAGAGCGCCGCATTTTTCAGTTCCATGTTCTTTATTTCCCTGAGGCTGATGTAAGCTGTAGGTTGTACTTTGGCGGACCTGGGAATCCTGAATGGTGAATTATTACTCGTAAATGATTAACTTAGATACAGCCAACCAAAGAAGGGGCAGACTGCATTAAATACCTAATTAGCAGCATATCAACTTCTTTTTCTGTAATTAGTTTTTAGTGTTGTGAAACCATTGATATGGTTGCTCTCCAAACAAGAATGGAATCTAGTGCAGTTGGGAGTTAGAAATGTGAATGGATTAAGTTTTCCAGCAGAACCCATAATCTTCTAACACCCAGTTGACGTGCCTAAATGTTACTGTTTAGTATCTTCCAGTACAATTCCAATGACACCTCTCGATTATCTACCATAATAGAGGGGCCTCCTGGCATATAATAGTGAATGTATAATTGAAAATGGTAATTAAGTTTCACTGTGTACTTAAAAATCAATTAAAAAGACAGAGTTAATAGCTCATCCTTTAGATATTGTTAATTAAGAATAACCATAGGCCTGAAGTGAAGAACTTCTGTATGGATTCTCGCTCCACATTTCTGTCAGCATTTAAATGAAACCCTCAAGCCAACTTAGTTCCCATTTGTTTGTCTCCCAAAACAGCTTTTCAAAGCTGGGAGTAAAGACCACAATCAGGTATGGATCATCAGAAAAATATTTTAATTGGAATATGGCAATATCGCCATTTAGATTTCAATGTTTCAATTTTTGTTGATTCGCTCTACACCAAACAAAAATACAAGAACAAAAATATACAAGGCAAGTTCCAAACTAAAGCCATACTGAAAATATCTTTCTCATCTTGATCATCTATCAGACTCAACTATTATAATTCAAATTATCAAAGCATATTGGTTAGGTGTTTGCACATCACAACATTGACCTGAAAACTACTCTGGTACAAAGCAAAGCAAGAATATTATTGGGTTTTCTGCTTTGGATACTTACAACATACACTGAGTCAGAAGGACATGAGGATAAAGAATGTGAAGGACAATTTTAGGACAAAAATCAGAAAGTATTTATTTACACAGCGGATAATCAACAGCTGGAATTAGTTTCCAGAAAGTGTGATTAAGGCCAGCTCATTTAAGAAATATCTTGCTATTGATGGTATTCTAGAAGTCTGAGAAGGAGGATTCATGAGGATTTCTGGCATGTGGAAGCTACTGCACAAAAGGTGAACAGTATCCTCATTTTTAAAAAGAAAAAAAACCTAAACATTAACAATCAATTTTTATACCACCAAATGGTTGGAATTGAGTGCTCATGGAAGGCTTAATTATAATGCCATTTGCCAGATGTCTAAACAAAATAAAATCTTTGAAGTTAGATCACTTTATACTATACCAATTACATTACTACCAAGGGAAAATCATTTATTATTTATCATAAACCTAGTTACATTATAACTGTAGTATTCAATTAGTCCCTTTCAGAAAGTTATTTTGCATTGTACCTTCTACAATGCATTTGATACATTGGTGTAAAACTATCCTTTAAGACAAAGTAAAAAAAACACTTGTACAAGTTTACAACTACATAAAATTACAAAACAAAAGTGATATGATAGCAACAAAATTGAGTGTTGAAAAAAATTGATTTGTTTGTACCTTTATATTGATGATTCAAAGCATAAAATCAGTCCACATTAAGATAATATGACCAAATAAGGACACAAAAAATAATTGGCAATACATCTAACAGCCATTCAGACAAGACAAGATAAACTTACTCTCCTAGACTTCGATCACAATGGGTAATTGCATTTAGGAGAGAAACAAAATATAGCCTTTAGTTAAAAGAAATTGATTAACAAATCAGAGCAAGAATAATTCCCAATAGAAAACCAAAGGTATGGATCCAGCCTGAATTATAATAATTATTGCATTTGAATTGCAGTTAAATTCTTGTTATGCTAACATCTGCTTGCCGTATTTTTTTTACCTACCTGATCAACAATCACCGCCTACAAAAACAGAAATGAAATGTGTATTGTAATATTTTTTTTAAATAGGATTCTCCCTCAAACAAATTTAAAATAACAAAGCCTAAGAAATTCTCAACACATCATACAATAATTACCCCCAAATGATAACACTGTCTGAAATTTAAATATTCCAGAGTCTTAACAATTTACAACATATTTCTAGCTATTGTGACCTTCATAACAGTTGTAAAACATTACTGAGATTGTAATCAAAATGTTAACTTAATTTCTTGTAGTCAATTCAAACATATTTTTTCTTAACTATGGACTATTTTGTCAAATCACTAAGTGAATTTTCTTTTAAAAAGTAGCATAGTTTGTTATATCTTATCTAATTGCAATGCTGTAGGCATTAGTTGTTGATTTAAGGGAATTCCAGCTGAATGCAGTTAACAGAAATGTTAGAATACACTTCCAGAATTATAAGGTACGAAATGGGAACCATTTTCCAGTGGAAAGACAAAGAGATTTTACCTCACACCAGGCAAATGATTCAAGTCTCAAAGATTTGACACTTGAATCGACCAATCACATCTGCAATGAGCGGTTAATTTTTAAGCAAAAGTAAAGCACTTCACAGAAACAAACCTTCACACTTGGAGGGAGGAAAATCTGTTGCACCTTGCTCTTCCCCATACATAATAACCTTTGTATTAGGTACAACTCCTTTCACATCAGGAGGACATCCCAAAGTGCTTCACAGGGTACACTGTAAGTGCAGTGACTGTGCGTTTTTTGGGCGTACATGAACAATAGAAACAAACCTCGTTGAAAATGGCTGAGGTACTGAGCTAATTAATACATGCCATGGTCGAATCAAATTTAAGTACACAAAGATAATGGACAACGCACATCTCAAAAAGGAGTCAATATCATTTTTTTTTAAATTGTGAGGGGGTGACTTGCCTCTCCTGTGTCTAGTCTGCTCTCAGTTGTCGCTCTGACCTCAACATTCTTCGATGTAGGAGTTGAAATGGGAGAATATTTCCCTCATCACCATGTGGAGAGCCTCATGACCTTCATAAAGTACTTCCTCATAATGCTGTAAATTGTTGGTGCTCCAATCATCATAGAATCATACAGCACAGAAGGAGGCCATTCGGACCATCGTGTCTGTGCCGGCTCTTTGAAAAAAGCTATCCAATTCAAGCCCACTCTCCTGCTCTCTCCCCAAAGCCCTGCAAACTTGTCCTCCCCAAATAATTATCTTCCTCTCGCTTAAAAGCTGTTATCGAATAGGCTTCCACCAATCGATAAAAGGCAATGCATTCCAGATCCGAATTCACTGTGTGAAACAATTTCTCCTCACCTCCCTTCTGTTTCTTTTAACAACTATTTTAAATTGGTTTCCTCCAGTTACCGACCCACCCGCCAGTGGAAATAGTTTCTCCTTGGTCACCTTATCGAATCCCCTCATGATTTTGAAAACTTCTATTAAGTCTCCTCTTAACCTTCTCTGCTCCAAGGAGAATAATCCTAGCTTCTCTATCCTCTCCTGATAACTGAAGTCACTCATTCCTGGTACCATCCTGGTAAATCTCCTTTGCATCCTCTCCAATGCCTTGACATCCTTCCTCAAGTGTAATGCTCAGAACTGAACACAGTCTCTACCTGAGGTCTAACCAGTGTTTTGTAAAGGTTCATCATAACTTCCTGACTTTTGTATTCTTTGCCCCCATTTATAAAGCCGAATATCCCATATGCTTTTTTTTTAAAAAAAAAAACAGCTTTATCTCCCTGTTCTGCCACCTTCAAAGATTTACTTATATGAACCCCAGGTCTCTCTGTTCCTTCACCCACTTTAAGATTGTACCATCAGCTTATATCGCCTCTCCTCATTCTTCCCAAAATGCATCACTTTGCATTTCTCCACATTAAACTTCATCTGCCACGTTTCTGCCCATTTTACCAGTCTGTCTATGCCCTCTTGCAGTGCTACTATCCTCCTCACTGTTTACTACTTTCGTAGCTTAGTATCATCTGCAAACTTGGAAATTGTACTCCCTATACCCAAGTCCAGGACATTTATATAGATCAAATCAGCAGTGGTCTCAACACTGATCCCTGGGGGTCACCACTGCACACCTCCCTCCAGTCAGAAAAACAACTGTTCACCACCACTCTCTGCTTTCTGTCTCTCAGCCAGTTCTGTATCCATGCTGCCACTGTCCCTTTAATACCGTGGGCTTCTATTTTGCTTACAAGTCTCTTATGTGACACTTTATCAAACGCCTTTTGAAAATCCATATAAACTACACTGACTGCACTACCTTCATCCACCCTCTCCGTTCTTTCATCAAAAAAAAACTATCAGGTTTGTTAGACATGATTTGCAGTTAACAAATCCATATTGGCTGTCCTTTATTAACCCATATTTTTCTAAGTGAAAATTTGTTTTGTCCCGGATTATAGTCTCTAGATGTTTCCCCACTACTGACGTTAGGCTGACTGGCCTGTAGTTCCCGGGTTAAATTTCTGCCCCTTTTTGTACAGGGGAGTAATGTTTGCAACCCTCCAGTCCTCTGGCACCATCCCGGCATCCAAGGAGGTTTGATGGCCAGAGCCTCAGTTATTTCCACCCTTACTTCCCTCAGTAACCTAGAATGCATCCCATCCAGACACATTACCTTGAGACATCTCAAGGTGCTTCACGAGATATACTGTAAAGTGGATTGACTAATTTCCTGATGAAACCTGGCAGCCAATTGCACACAGTGATGTCCCACAAACAGCCATGCAGTGAGTGACCAATTGTATTTGGGTGATTGTTGACGCAGATACTGGGAGAAACTCTCCTCTTTTCAAATAGTGCCATGGGATCTTTAATATCCATCTAAATAGGCAGATGGGACCTCAACTTAACATCTCATCCTGTACCTTCAACAATGTAACACACCTCACCCACTGCTTTGTAGTGTCAACTTAAGACTATGTAATTCCTATTCCCTACGTGGAGTTTGAACCCACAACCTTCTGATTCAAAGAGCGTTTCTTTGATAATTATCCTATCTGTTTTCTTTATTTTGTTTGTTGAATTTTTATGGGCAACTATAAATGTTCATGCATAAAAATATTGAAGATAAATAAACATGTTGGAATATAAAATTAGAGACTGAGTATATCAAGATGCAATCAATCATGAAGTTTGTGTAAAATGAGTTGAAAGGCTATTTTTAGGCATATGAAAATTCAGAATAAATATCATATTGCTTCACAAGTAAACACCACATTATTTCCAAATTTTACAATTCTAGTGCAACAACACTGGAAGAATTCGGAAATGAGGACCTTGAATAAACAAATTAAGTGATTAATTCATCTCCAACAAACTATGCAGTGAATCAAATTAAAAAGAGCCTGCAATAATGGCAAATTTAAATGACAATTAGTGGTAATGTGTAAATTGTGACATCAGAAAACAGAATCTTTGTACTACAATCAACCAGCACATTACATCAATCCATTTTCTTTTAAATTGTTCTCTTGGGATATTCTCTTTGCTTTTCTTACCTTTGTGTCTAAACAATCTAATCACTTATTTATATATTTTCCTTAAGAAGGTTCCACTGAGGAAACATTACACAGCACCATCTCGTGTGGCGTTCCTCAGGGCTCTGTCCTTGGTCCCCTCCTCTTCAATATCTATATGCTCCCTCTTGGTGACATCATCCGCAGACATGGTGTCAACTTCCACATGCATGCGGATGATACCCAACTCTACCTCTCTGTCTCCTCCCTTGACTCCAGGACCACTGCTATGCTGACGGAATGTCTGTCAGACATCAAGTCCTGGATGAGAGCTAATTTTCTTCAGTTGAACGTCAACAAGATCCTGGCCAATGTCCTGTCTGCCTGTTAAGCTGGAGAATAGAAGAGAGTGTCCTGGCAAATCTGCTGGATAAAATTAGCCATTCATTTTATGGCTGTTTGTAGGTCATTGCTGTGCACAAATTGGCTGCTGCATTTGCCAACAAAATACAGTCACTATGGTTTACAGTAAATTCTGTGAAACGCCTTGACGCGTCTTCCAGACGTAAAAGGTGCTACATAAAATATAAGGATTTTTTAAAGGCTGAATGGTCAAATATTGTAGTCTTATTCAATGAGCTCCAGAAAGAAAACTATTGCTTAAGGATTCTGTAGCATTGAAAGTTATATAAATCATTGGACTGCACAAGAATTGTCAACTCCAGAGTTCACCAAAGGAAGGGGACCAGTTGCAATATTATAACCAAAGCAGCATAAGTTACCAGTGTGCACACTTGCATGTTCATGCCATGAAGTCTGCACAAAGTATCATCTGCAAAATTTCACATGCCTGTGAATATCTGCCCTCTGTATGGAGGAGTTAATCATAGTTGGATGTACTTGACTGAACATTCATTGGGCTATGGGATCTGTCTGTTACACTTACTAAAGGTTCTCAAGGTACAGCAAAACTGGTTAAGCAACCTAATTTACAACACCCATACATATTTTAGAAACGTAAATAGAGAGCAGCGAAAATATCACAGTAATAAAATGAAAAGGTTTACTTTGCTTGGTGAGTTTCATACCTATTTAAAGATTCACGGTCCGAATCACTCATATGGAATTACATATTTTCCTTTTAGTCAGCCAGGTATCCGCATGTACGGAAACCAATCACTATGCTTAAGAGTATCCAAATCAGACAAAGTTCCACATATATATGTCACCTACATCTGGAAATTTCCCTCTGCGTATCCAATGTTTGTTTTTCATAGTTTGAAAGGGCTATTGTGGAGTGAAATACATCAAAACATACAGAACAAAAACAAGCCATTCGGCCCAACTGTTCTATGCCGGCGTTTAGGCTCCACTGAGCCTCCTCCTGCCCTTCCTCAACTAAGCATTCAAGCGTAACCTTCTACTCCGTTCTCCCTCATAGTAATAATTCTTGCATTTGATATAGCGCTTTTCACGTCTTCTCGACGTCTCATGTACATATCTAGCTTCCCCTTAAATACATCTCTGCTATTTGCCTCACTCTGTGTAAAGAAATTTCTTCTAACTTCCCTGTTTGATCCATTTGTGACTATTTTATATTGATAGTCCCTGGTTTTGGTCTCCCCCATAAGTGGAAACCTCTTCCCTATGTCTACCCTATCAAAACCTTTCATAATTTTGAAGACCTCTATCAGATCACCCTTTACCCTCCTCTTTTCAAGAGAAGAGTCCAAGAATATTCAGCCTTTCCTGATATGTATAACCTCTCAGTTCTGGGATTATCTTTGTGAATCTCCTTTGCGCCCTCTCCAGTGCCTCTACATCCCTTATAATGTGGGGACCAGAACTGCACACAGTATTCTAAGTGGGGTCTAACCAAGGTTAATAATAATAATCCTTGCATTTGATATAGCGCTTTTCACGTCTTCTAGACGTCGCAAAGCACTGCACAGAATAGACTGTAAAGTGAATTGACTGTATATATTTGTGGGCGAAATGCGGCAGCCAATTGCATACAGCAGTGTCCCACAAACAGTCGTGGATTGAAAATGACCAATTTATTATTTTTTTTTTATCTTGAGGGATTATTATCAGGTGTGTGGAGTGACGAAACTTGCCGAAGGTTTCACCCTGCCGGGAATCAAACCCAAGTCTCTCGCTTGCAATGCGAGTGCTCCAACCACTGAGCTACAGAACTCCACACGCCTGATGATAGGTTCTCCAGGTTCTATAGAAGTTTACTGTAAATTCCCTGCTTTTCATTTCTATCCCTCTAGAAATGAACCCCAAAGCCTGGTTTGCCTTTTTTATGGGCTTATTAACCTGCATTGCTGTTTGTAGTGAATTGTGTATGTGTACCCCTAGATTGCTTTGCTCCTCTACCCCATTTTATTTTCCAGGATGTATGTGACTTCCTTATTCCTTCTACCAAAATGTACCTCACACTTTTCTACATTGAAATGCGTATGCCATTTAAATGCCCATTCAGCAAGTTTATTTATGTTTTGCTGTAATTTGCTGCAGTCCTCCTCTGTATTAACTAGTCCCCCCAATTTGGTGTCATCTGCAAATTTTGAAATTGTACTGCTGATTCCCGAGCCCAAATCATTAATGTATATTGTGAATCGAGGTTCTGATCATTGAACTTGCAAATACTGAGTGCCACACGAGCAGGGAGCGACACAAGGTTGAGTCCTACTTTCATCAGTTCATGTCAGGGAGAGTTGGAGGGAAATTGGAGCAGAAAGCAATGACTGGTGATCCCTGCTGCTGTGTGTAATGTAATCACAATAGGACATTGGCTTACTCATTTTCAAGACAATAGATTAATAGAAAAACAAAATAGGGAGAACCCACAAAAAGATTGTACCTGAATACTCCCATTAAAAAAAAATCTGTTGTAATACAGTCATCAAAGGACAATTTCAAATTGTCACCCTGCCCTCCAGCAATTTTATCATGATACACTTTGGTTCTTTGTGGTGGTGCATATTCTATTATACAGTATTTATTCAGGAGTTTCTTACCTCCTGAACAGAAAGCAATGTAAGCTTTGATAGTTTGAGATAAAGAGCAACAAGCAAATGTGTTAATTATATGCAGACCTGCACATGCATGAGAATACAGAATTAGCTACTCACCTCTTTTTGTTCTACCTGAAGTGCTGTTTTCAGAACATCGCGAAGTTGAATTAGCTGCTTTCTTTCCTCATCTTGTACTTGTTTAATCTGGGCAGAAAAAATCATGATGTGTCATATGTCAAGAGAACAAATATCTCCTATCCGCAAGTGTAGCTTGTTTCACAAAGAATTACTAAAAAAAAAACTTAGGTTTACTTTAAGGTTATATTCTATAAGATTAATTTACATGCAATAACACCAGATAATCTTATTGTTATTTTATCACATCCATTAGGTCACAATTTCCTTGCCTCATAGCAACTGTCCTTATAAAAAGAGAATGATCGGTGGTGCAGCATTAATCTAATAAAGATGCAAAAATAACTAGACGTGAAGTAATTGAATTTTTTTTCCTTTTTTAAAATGTCTCAAATAAGTAGATGCATGTTACCCTTGTCATGAAAACCTAACTACAGTATTCCATTGGGTTACTGTACTAAAAAAAATGATCTGCAGCATCAGCAATCTCATATTACTCATATTTATTTAAAGGTTTACTTCAATTGTATAAAAAGTATCAAATGCTGTTTCATAAGATTAAGGAGAATGTATGTAAAGTGTAAATTTGTTGCATTCTCTCTCCTCCCTCCACCAAACAAAACCCTCATTCAGACTCAAAGCCTAAATACGATTTCAATCTCAATAGTTATACTTACAGCGTGTAAATCCGTAGAAAGTTTTTCCATTGAAGGTTTTAAACTTTCTACAGCCTTCAAGCCGTCCTGAAAGAAACTGTTATTGAACAGTTAAACAGAAATGCACACCATAAATCATAATTCAAGTACTCAACAACAATAAGAATCAACAATTGGTATTGATGTGCTGTGTATCTCTCAATCAATACACTCAATATCTTCTCTTGAGCTGTGCAGAACCACAGTTCCACATTTGGTGTAATCCACCATCATGTCCCTAGGTGAGTCCGCCAGCAACACAATATTGTCCACAAACAGAATTCTGAAAGGCCTGGAACACATAAACCAAGTCCATTCCCCTCTACGTCATCCAACACATCAGTGATGAATACATCAATAGGGTGGGTGACAATGAGCAGCCTTCCCTTACTCCCATTTCAAGATTAATGGGCTCAGTGAATCCAACATCTACTCTTACACAGATCTTGGTGTTGGAAAACCAAGCACATTCTGGATAAAAGCTAGGATTTGACCATATATTCCCAAGGCTTTCGGTTTCAGCACTAGGGATTCATGACGCACAAGTTCGAATGCCTTGCAGAAGAAAGTGGGTTTCCTTTTAGCCTTATGACATTCTGCGATCTCATACAGAGCCACCTTTTGTGCCACATATTCTTACAAGAATGAAAGCTAGCCTGCTTCCTTCCCATCAAATCACTAGCCTCCAATGTGTGCAATGCACATGCAGTGAAGCAGCATCTGAAATCAGTGAGATCCCTCTGCAGTTTTCAGTCTTACTAGGGTCACCCTCCTTGTGATCAGGTAGCACAACTGCACTCTGGAACTCAGAGAGAGAGAGAGAGAGTTCTGATAACTGGTGCTAGGGCGGCTTCTCAGGTTGGGGCCTCCTGGCTTGGATCTCACCGTTCTTTTCCCCATCCCGAGCAGCTTCTAGTAACTCAGGATTAATGCTATCCGCATCTGCTGCCTTAACATTAGCAAGGCATCGCAGTACAGAGTCCACCCCCTCCCAATGGGTTGAGTCATTAGGCCTTCAATCTCTTCCACACCTCCTGCCAGTTCTTCCATCCTTCATACAGATGGATCTCTGCTACGTCCTGTTGAGATGCCAACTCTGACCCACCTCTGAATACTGCTATTTCTTAAATACTATTTGCAATATTAAACATGCAACACAACTATAAACTATGGGAAGCAGGACTAATAACAGAAGAAAACACTTACTTGCACTGTGCGTGGAAATATTTTATCAAATTCTGAAGTAAATCAACTCCTTTCTTGATCTTGATCTCATTAACTTTAAGTAAATACTGTCAAAAAAATTATATAATTTAATGCTGAACATTGTTAAGGAATTTACATTCATCAAGAAATAATGCATTCTTCAACAAGATGAAGGGAAAATCATGAACCAGTTTTAGAATCCTGAGGATTGGGTGATGTGAATGTTCCACACTGGCACTATTAGGTGGAGTGTACATCCGTGTAGATAGAGATGAAAAGGGAATGACAAGAGCCAAGCAAGTAGGCCTCTGTCTTGTCGACATTTACCTGGAGAAAGTTAGCTCGCATCCAGGACTTGACATCTGACAGGCAATCAGTCAGGATAGCAGTGGTCCTGGAATTGAGGGTGGAGGCAGAGAGATAGTTGGGTGTCATCCACATACATGTGGAAATTAACCCCATGCCTACGGATGGCAAAATGGGAGCATCTAAATATTAAAGAGAGGACCTGGATAGAGCCCTGAGGAACACTACAGGTGATTTTGGAGGGTGCAAGGAGAAGGTGTTGGCAGATACAAAGTTGAGACATTGGAACAGGTGAGAACAAAACCAGGAAAGGAGTGAACCGAAAGAGAGGTTCTGTTCCAGGCTGCTCTAAAAATTGTATTCTGCAAAACATCCACAGAATTAACTCACCTCACACATTTGTAATTGAAAGAACCTTCTTTCCTTCTCCATCTCTTCAGCAATTTCTGCTCCACTTATTTCTGTACGGATCATGCCATGTTGCTTGGCATGTTCTTTTTTTTCCTTTTCAATTTTTGTACTGTACAAAAGAGAATATTGCAGTCATATGAGATCTGAGAGGACTATCCCACAGTCTAAAGTTTTGTTTACATAGATTACTTTTCTCCTTTGTAAACTTACTCTGACAGTTTCAAACCCCCAAACGTTCATTAAATAATTCTGTTAAAATCATCAGGAACTAAATATAATAAATCCTCACTACTATTAGCAAGATTCTGCAGAAGCATTTTTTGGGGCATCAATTCAAAACTGTTCTTGAATTTCTATTTTTCTCTGAAATAATAATATCCCACTGCAGATAACCCTGTGAGGGTGAGTGGCAGCAAGTCACTTCAGCAAGAGACAGTGCTTCGACCTATCAGCCTGACACTGACAATGTTGTTTGCTACCTACTTTTTCCCGATGTGAAAGGCCCGATATAAATGTAAATTTGTATTGTATTTTTGAGGTCACCTCTGCTTGTGTTTCTGACCAATTGCTGACCATTCTGTTTCTATAATGTTCAGAGCTACTTCTCCAAGAACAATGGAATAACATCAGTCCATTCTAATACAATAATTACATTCCCGATATGGGTACGTTGAATTACCTACAGTAGAATGATATAACAACCCTGTATTAATGTTGTATTTTTCTAAAATTCTGCACATCAATAAAATTGAAGATATCCTCCCGTCGTGAAAGGTGACATACGAATGAAACTTGTTCCAGCATTTGTATTGGAAATTACAGGAGTAAAGACTGACATAAACAAATAATCCTCCTGGAGTACAAAGATCAAGCCTGGAATCGGAACATTTCCACCCATTCTTAGGAAAGATATCTCCCACCGAGGAGGCTTTGAGTATTTGAGGATCTTATTATATACTCCTAGAAAAAGATACATTTCAAAACAAGAGCTTACACTTTCGTTTCGTAATCCTTCCAGGCTTTATCAAAAGGCTTCTTCAGATCCTACAAATTAAAAATTGTACAAAGTATGAAACTGTTTAATATCATTACTTAATTAATTAAGAAGCCTAAATCTAGTTTTTTTTAAAAAAAATTAAGGATATATTTCACCACTTCAAACAAAACCAAGGCATCATAGCAGGACATCTTATATTTTCTAGATATGTCATCATGCATGGGTGGTACCTAAACAAACATTAAGCATTTATATGGTTCAGTTTCAAATCTCATAATTTAACCAAATCGGTGCTACAAGCTATTTCATTCTTAATAAAGCTTATGCATATTTATAGGTCAGTTTCAAAGTTATACTTGTGAGACGTAGATAATTGGAAGCCAAAGAGGATATGCTATGTTTAAATGTAACTTCCAATTATAAGTGTAAATTGACATAATTCCATATTCCAAGTTAGTCCCCAACATAAACTATGTTCATTTGTGGAGAAAGTTTAATGGTCAGGTCACTTTGAGGTACTGTAATAAACAGTGCCAAACAGTTGCTAAATCATACCACTATTTCAGCTGCACAATATTTAACTGTTTGTGCATGCACAATACAGAATTACTTTGGATTTCAGATCCTCGAAGGAAGAAATGTAGATTGAAAGACCACGAAAAAGGCAAATAAAATTTTGGGTGTAAATACAAAACTTAGGATACAAAAATTAGGAATCGATGCTAAATGTATTCAAGTAATTGGTTAGGCCACAGTTGGAGAACTGAGTGCAACAACAAGATTACATTTGTATAGCACCTTTCATGTCGGGAGGATGTCCCAAGGAGCTGGACAGTGTACAGCATTTCAGACCCAAGCTGGGGTCAGGGAGGGAGAAGGGAGTGGGGGTGACCGATGGCATGGTCGAAGAGGAGGGTTTTGAGGCGGGATTTGAAGGAGGCTAAGGAGGGGGCGAGGCAGAGTGATTGGAAGATAGAATTCCAGAAGTTGCGGACAGAGTGGCTGAAGACTCTCCGATCAATGGTGGGGCAGGAGACGTGGAACAGGCCAGAGCCGGCTGAGCGGAGGGAGTGGGTGGGTTGGTTGGGGGTTAGGAGATCGTATAGGTTGGGTGGGGCGAGGCCATGGAGGGCTTTGTAGGTGAGGACCAGGATCTCGAACTGGATCCGCTGAAGGATAGGGAGCCAATGGAGTCGGGCGAGAATGGGGAGATGCGGTCACGGAGTTTGGTGCGGGAGGAGACATGGGCTGCAAAGTTCTGGATTATCTGCAGCCTGTGGAGGAAGGAGTTGGGAAGGCCGACAAGCAGGGCGTTTGCATAGTCGAGCCTGGAGATGATGAAGGCATGAACAAGAGTTTCAGTGGCCTGAGGGGTGAGGTAATGGTGGAGTCGTGCGATGTTATGGAGGTAAGGGAAGGCAGAGCGGGTCATGGCTTGGATGTGGGGAAGAAAAGACAGTTGAGGGTCGAACAAGACACCTAGGTTCCTGACTGGGTTGGTGAGTTGAAGTGTGCAATCATGGAGGTTGATGCTGCCAGAGCCTGAGGTGCAGAGGCGCTGGCGTGAGCCAATCAGAAAAACCTCAGTCTTGTTCACATTCAACTGTAGGAAGTTTGCCCTCATCCAGGACTTGATGCCCGACAGGCAGTCTGTCAGTCTGTCTCCAGTGGTCCTGGAGTTGAAGGTGGAGGCAGAAGGATAGAGTTGGGTGTCATCCGCATACATGTGGAAGTTGACTCCATGTCTGCGGATGATGTCACCAAGGGGGAGTATGTAGATATTAAAGAGGAGAGGGCCAAGGACAGAGCATTGGGAGATGCCAGACATGACAATGCGGGGGCTGGAGGAGAAACCGTTAGAGGTAACAAAGTGGAGACGGTGAGAGAGATAAGAAACCAACCAGGCAAGGATTAAGTAAAGAGGAGAGGCGGTGTACGAAGATGGAGTGGTCGACAGTGTCGAAGGCGGCAGAGAGGTCAAGGAGGACAAGGAGGAAGAGGGAGCCCTGATCACAGATGTTCAGAATGTCATTAGTGACTTTGACCAGGGCTGTTTCTGTGCTGTGGGTAGCATGGAAGACGGATTGGAGGGGTTCAAAAAGGGAATGGCGAGAAAGGAGCGGAGCTGGGACGCAACGACTCGTTCCAGGATCTTGGAGAGGAATGGGAGGTGAGAGATGGGGCAGTAGCTGGAGAGGAGGGATGGGTCCAGGGAAGGTTTTTTCAGGATGGGGGTGATGACGGCTGTTTTTAGGGGGGTAGGAACTGAACCAGTGGTCAAGGAGAGGTTGATGACGTTGGACAGGAGGGGCCAGAATGTGGAGCTGGGAGATGAGGAGAGAGGTGGGGATGGGATCGAGGGAGCAGGTGGTTGGTTTGAGTTTGCAGCTCTGGACAACCAATTATGGAAAGGACATCAGAGCCATGGGTGCAAAAAAATGATACAAGAGACATTATAGTAATAGTAGAGTATGGTAATAAACACTCTCAACAAATTGGTTCTTTTTCCCTTGAATAGAGATGTTAAAGGAGATCGAACAGAAAGCTTCTTTAATGTTCCAGGATAATAAATAATAAAAACTTATTCCTGTTAATTGGTAAACAAGTAGTAAAGGGAGTTAGAAGAAAGGTTTTCAAAGAGTGATATTTGAACTTGAAGAACATGAATGCTTAGCCAAAAGTGGAAGCCTCCTGCGTATAGAGAATAAGCAGCAGGCAAGAAGTGACGTCAGCGATTGCCTTATGACTGAAGAGGCCATTTTTTAAAGATCGGGAGGCTTCCTGCTTGCAGCATGCAATGCACAGCTCACAGGAAGTGGCATCAATACAATCCCATGACTTGGAATTCAATCATTATTTCATACAAAATGCTAGCTGAATATATACAGCTACACAGTTGTATATCATACCACAGAAATGTGGTGGTGGAGATGGTTCAGTTATATTCTTTACGATTCTTAAATATCTTTGCACCTAAGAGACATTTCAAAAAAAAGTTAGAAATAAGATGCTTACCAGATTGAAACTATTGAAAGTTAAACCAGAACAATACCAAGAATACCAAGACAGCCAAAGAAGAGGACCTAGGTTGAGGATGTTGAAAGACAAGATCACAAAAAACACTACAAACTATTACTTTATACTGAGCGTAATCAACAACTGGCTGGAATGGGCCAACAACAACAAGGAAAATGCACAGAATAGAAATACTGCAAACTTACCCCTTTAATTCCTTTTAGATCTCCTTTAAGTAAGCTGTCCAGAGGAAAAGTGATGATATTGTTCATATTCTGAATCTGTATGGTGATAAATATTCATTTCAACAGTTTTTAAAATCAGAGCCATCAGTCTGCTTTCTCAAGTATTACATAAACCATCCAAATGATAAAGCATCCCATAATAACCTTCTCATGGACATCTCAGTACAGTAATCCCATTATATCTATATTTCCATTGAAACAGTGTTTGAGGTGCTTAACTGCCTGTAAATCGGGGTGGGGGGAAAAGGGAGAAAGAGAGCGAGAACGTCTCTCTCTCTCATCATGCCCTAACCTTTTTTTCAGTCTTGGATTATGTGAGTGGAACATGTGACAGACAGGAATAAGTTATAATATGTAATTACCAGATTTTTGAAAAGGGCAGTCAATTCCTTCGTGAAGACTGCAAACTTTAGAAACGCTGTGCCTAGATCAGGATCATCACGACAGACACAATTGCCTCCAAACTTTTCCAGTGCTTGTGTATATTGCTCTTCATTTTCCACATGACCTGCGTGGAAAGAAAAACTATTTTACAGAACAGTCTTTTTTTCATATTGTTAGCAAGCATTTATTGCCAAATCAGGGTAGTTCACCATTAAGAATACTATTATCAATTGTTGGAATCAGAAATATATTACTGCTTAAAATATTATTCTGGTTCACTTAGAAATCCCTACATTCCTAACTTGGCGAATGACAGCCTTGATATTAAACTGATTTGATTGATCAGGTGAATACTGTTTATCACATTTATCCGTATTGAAATAATTTGTAGAGAGTCAAAGCCTAATCTGAATCAGCAAAAATGTAGAGTTTATGTCTAAGTGCAACATGTTACAAGTTAGTTAGTATAACTTCAGATAAGTTGTTATGAGAATAGTGTGCCTTGAACAGTTAAATTGGTTCAGAAGTAAGAATTGCATTTATTAATAGCTGCATTTATTACAGTAACATTGCTCTCGACATATGTGGACATAACAGTAAATATTGTTTGTTGTAACCTTGTCTATTATAACTGTTATTGAACTAATGCAACTTTTCTGCCTCATTAAATAAACAAGCATTAAATATAAATTATTAGTGGCTTTGGTTCCTCTGTTCACAGGTCCTTATACATGAACTCCAGCAAATAGAATAAGCTGGTTTCAACAGAGTGGTTAACTCCACTACCAACAGTAATTTCAAACCCAACACAACAGAACGTAAAGTAAATGCTATGTCTATTCAAAAACAGAAATGTTGTACCCAACGATGACCATCAAGATTTTTTTAAAACTCAAGTTACCAAAATTAAAATCAGTTATGTCATATCTAGTTTATCACAACCAAATAGGAATTACTCTAAAAGAGCTTTTCTTTCTCAAGACTCAAATAGTGAGTACCTTCTGCCATATCACATGCAAGAATATCTTTCCGGAAGTTGCCAAATTCAAGATGTTTGGCTATTTGCCCCGCCAGAAGCAACATGAGCAGAAACTGTTCAACTATGCCAAAACATCAAATGAACCATAGTAACTTTCAACAAGCACATTGCAGTATGTGCAGACAACATTCTTCCATTATTCAAGTCGAAATTGTCTACGATATACCTATTGGCAATTTCTGGTTATTTAACTGTGAGAAACTGGAGCTTTGGCAGAAGTTACTAGTTATCCCATCCAATACCTGTATTTAAATAAACAAGGATTAGTCAGAACCTAGGAATCTTCTTTGTTTGGCAAGTTAATTGCAGACAATAAGTTAATGAATGCCCACAACATGTATAACATGCAAAGGAAGGCCCTGTTAAGCATAATGCAGTCCAGTCAATATAGGTGGTCACAAACAGGCAATAAATATTACGTGATCAAAATTTCTGTACCATGTATTTACATGCCCCTTAATTAATTTTTTAAAAAATCATACATTTAATTAAAATTCCAGAAACAATTATTTACATGTCCTTTTACTACCTTACTTACAAAAAATCATTGGATTATTTATAAAGATACTAATAGGTAAAAAATAATCATTTATGAATATACTGTCACATAAGTGTGCCAAAATTTATGTTTTTATTAATATGCACAGAAGGGGCCAGGACTTCACTATTTTGTCAATATAAGCAGATGTCAACATAAATGAGTTTGAGCTAAGTGGGTAAGACTATATTGAGGGGAAAAGGATTATCTGAAGTGGAATGCAATCACATTTATAGCACTGCTCCTTAAAGGTTTATTAGGAGCAGAGCAGAAAGAATCCCACCTCTCAAGTAACAAGCCTACCCTAGGCAGGTTGGCAAATCAACAGTGCTGTTGTGCAGGTATTGGATTGCAGAATCCATCACAAAGAGTTGACTCAGCAGCATAGTGAGAAACAGCAACAACTTGTATTTATATAGCACCCTTTGCAATTAGTGTCTCGGAACGCTCAACAGTGGTGTGGTTTAACTAAGCTGGAAAAAGTGAGGTGGTGACCATAGGCACAGTCAAAGAGGTGTAATTTGAAGACGGAGAAAGAAATAAGTATTGAGGCAGAGTTCCAGAGTTTCAGGGGCATAGTGGCTGAAAGCATGACCTCCAATAATGCAGCAGGGGGACAAGGGACTGCAGAAGACACAAAGCTAGGCGAGCAAAGTAATAGTAGGCACTGGAGTGGGGAATTAGTAGATCAGAGGCAGGGAAGTGCTAGGGTGTGAAGTGATTTGAAAGTGCATGTGAGAATCTTCAAATCGATCTATAACAAGCAGCCAGTGGCAAGAACTGGGGTGATGGGGGTGCAGAGATTGATATGGGTGAGAACATTGGGGGCAGAGTTTTGTATCATTTGAACCTTATTTATATTGGAGCTGGTGTGACCGGCGAGGAGTGCTTTGGAAAAAAACTCAAGGTGGGAGGTGACGAAAGCATAAATAAACGTTTCAGCGGCATTTGAAGTAAGATAGGGGAATAGTTGGCCAGCAACACAAGGAGAAATAAGCAACTCGTATATTTCAATAAAAGCAAAATAATGCACTTTGCTCAGGTGTTACTGAACATTGCAAAGTAGACCCAATTGTCTATGGAGGAAAGGTAGATGGAATTGTGTGGTGAAGATAATAATAATAATATGGATGAATATTCTGAAGCTCTTGATTGCCTTTGGCATTTATGGAGTCTCCTTCAAAAGATCACTAAAGCAGTCCAAATAAAAAAAATGGCTCTTTGGCCCATTTCATCGCATCCTTCGAAAATAACCACCCAACCTTCCTCTCGTTACAGGACCAAATGGTTTATTAAATGAGTCAAAAGGCCTAGCCTCAACTATCCTTTCTGGTAACCTGGACACAACAGAATGACTAATATCTTCTGGACCTTTTCTTCAAGGATGAGTTTCTACCATTGCACTTGTTCTGTGTCTATTCCAGGAATCCCAAACATAAGATTCATTAAAGTATTTTGGGAGCATACCCAGGGTCTAATTGTTCATGACAGTAAGAGTAAAAAAATGTGATGAAAAAAACATGAATAAGGTGATTTTAAAATCTGCTATAATTTAGCAATTTCTGCTCATGTTAAAGAACACCAAAATACTTTTCATTATACATCTTCATACAACTCGTCACTCAGATAGCTAGTATCAAATGCAAACAATTCTTGTAACAAGTAATGTGTCATGAATCTAGTTATACATGTACAGTATAGCACCACTCTGTGGTCATCCATACTCTGTCAAAGGTCCAGGAGTCATCTGCGAGTATGCAATTTGCACGTCAATCAGCATAACTGTGATGTACATGCATTGCAAAGTCCACAATAGGTAGAGAATTTTGGTTTAAGAGAAAATCATCTGTAATCCAAAATATTCAGATATTCATAGTGTTAAAAAAGTAAAAACTGACATTAAAGGTTTTTACAAACATATGTTGCATGCAATGGTAAAGGAAGCAACAGTCATAGAGTTGGCCACGCTGGAACACATAGTCTAAGGTGACACTTCACTGCAGTGCTGGGGGAGTACTGCATTGTTGCAGGTGCCATCTTTCAGAGGACATTAAACCCCTTCTGCCTGTTCAGGTGGATATTAAAGATCCCATGGCACTATTTAAAAAGAAAAAGGAATTTCCCCACAATATCCTGACCAACAATCCCTCAAAAACAATTAGTCATTCACTTCATACCCATTTGTGGGACATTGTTACATGCAAATTGGCTGCTAAGTTCGCCCACAAGAACACAGTATAACTTGTGAAGTACTTTGGGACATCCTCTCGATTGAGAGGCACTATACCAAATGTAAGGTTTATTATCATCCTAGGGTAAAAGCTCTACTGAGGGTTTTACAATAATAATAATCCTTACATTTGATATAGTACCTTATCACGTCTTCTGGACGTCTCAAAGAGCTTCACAGAATACATTGTGAAGTGAATTGACTATTTGTGGGCGAAACGTGGCAGCCAATTGCACACAGCAGTGTCCCACAAACGGTCGTGGATTCAGTGACCAAATTATTTATTTTGAAGGGATTATTTACCTCCGGAAAAGTGATCCACCAATTGACTAACAACCGGATTCCTACTTACTACTAGGTAAACAGAGGCATGATGAGTACAGAAACTTTTCCAATGTTTTGCCCTGCCCAGGAATCAAACCAAAGTCCTTTTGCTTGTGAGGCGAGTGCTCTAGCTGCTACAGGACTCCACTGGGTTAAACCCAGTGCCTACAAGTAACGTCATACTATCGATTTTGATAGCTAAAGTTTGGCACTTGCAGTCACATACACAAAACACACAGTAAACCTCACAGTGACTAAATAAATACTCTGGCACTTCATGAAACAAGATGCATCATCATGATATCAAGTTCTTAAACAGGCAACAAAGCTGTGATTCATGGTTTCTAGTGGTACGGGCAGGATTCTGAATGAAAGCAGATAAATCAATGGATGTAACTGTATTTTTAAATGGGGGGTGGGGTGAGATCAGTAAAACAAATCTGAACATTTTCAACAGAATTATTTCAATTATATGTTACCACTTAGTCATTCTAATTAGAGACTACATTAGTTTCTCAGATGTAAGATGCAAGATGTAAGGTTTCGTCTTCAAAGAAACATTCATTAGTAAATTAACTGTCCTGCAATTTTTCCATTATTTTTTAATTTCACAATCCAATCCCATACAAATACACATTTGTATAGCACCTTTCATATTAGGAAGACATTCCAAAACACTTAATTTTACTGTAGCTCACTAAACATTTATACTAAAAATACACTGACAGTCAGATTAGTGACAGGTAACCCAATTAGTAATTTGTTTGTGGCAATAAAAAGTTTGCTAATTTAAAATGGTAGTATTTCATACAATAATGTGGAGTAATGTAATTAGTCTACAACAAATGTTTTAACGAAATGCAGCAATTTACACAAAACATTAGCTACCATTTGAGAGCTTTTCTGTACTATAAAGGCCTTTCTATAAATAAATATATACTGCAACAATACATTCATATCCACCAGAATTGTTTCATGAGTTTGTAACAACAAATTGCATTTATAAAGCACCCTTCACGCATGGTGGCATCTCAGAGCACTTAACCTAGTTCTTGCATTTCAACAATGCTGGATATCTACACGGTAACTATGTACAGAGTGCCCGTTGTGCACAGGGAAAGAATTCAAATACTGCTGACTAAAAAGAAAATCGAAACATTGTTACCATTATGCAGTTGATCAGTAAGTTACCAAGAATGTTGACTCAAATTCTGCCTCCAAAATAAATGTCTTTATAATTTCGTAACAGATGCTTAAATGCTTTAAAACTTCTGACCTATATGGCACTTCAGTGGACAAATACTGGAGGGAAATATAGAGAAAAATCACAAAAAGCAACAGAAATAAAACTATTAGTTGAATCAAAAAGTACAATGCTAAAAAAAAGGTTGTTCTTTTCAGTATTGCGCATCTATTTTGTGCTCTATATGCAAACGACTGATTAGCAGATGGGACATTTGAATATTTGAACATTTTCAGATTACATCATGAGCTCCAATTACAAAGCCATTAACTGTAAAATTAGTCACTCTGAAGAACTATACAGATCCAACTATTCCACCCGCAATGCAAAGCATTCATTGTCATTTAACACAAGTTAATGGTGAGACACAAGTTAAGAATTTCATTTCATCTCATTTTTTNCTTAGGTGTGGCTGACTGGACCAGCTGTCACTGGTCAACAACAGGCAGGCGGCCAGCTGTCTGTACACAGTAGTTGCACTGTTTCTCTAAGGTCAGCTTTCGTGACTATGTCGTCCTCGGGATTTTTTAGTGAACAGCTGCGCTTTGAGTGGAAATCTGAGCTGGACTCCATTACTAGAGCTGCCTTGGAACCGTTTAATCTTTTAATGGAGCACCATCTTCACGGAAACATATTTAGAAAACTCTTGGGGATGGAGATGAGCTGCAACGCATTTTCTTCATCTGAAAATGATGCAATATTTCTGAGATTTGTGTCACCATATTGTTGATATATAAATACGTAAAGTATCCAAAACTCCACTGCCCGAATACTCACGCGCACTAAACTTTGTATTCCCATCACACCAGTTCTAGCCAGGCTCTAGTGGCTCCCCAAACAGATCGATTTCAAGATCCTCACTTGTTTTCAAATCCCTTAGTGGCCAGGAAGCTCCCTATCTCTCCGACTTACTTACTCCCCCTCCACCAAACCGCTGACTACCCTCGACCGGCTCCTGCATGTCCCTTGTGCCCTCCTTTCCACCATTGGCAGCCACTACACGCCAAAGCTCTGTAACACTCTTCCTCTATCCCTCTGCCATGCCCCTTCCTTCCCCATTTTCATGTCTAGCCTGAAGACCTTCCTCTTCAACCGTGCCAACAGTCACCTCCCCACCCCCTAGCTCGGTGTTTGCTCCACCACTGTCAAGCGCTCTGGGACACTACCTTGCATGAGGCACGCTGGATAAATGCAAGTTGTTGTTGCTGAATGAGAACATCAATAAAAACAATCTTAAAAGACCGACAATATTTCAACCTTGCTAGATGCATTCAATCCAATACAAAATGACATTTGTATAGTGCTTTTACATCAGGAGGACGTCCCAAGGCACTGGACAGTCAGGAATTTGGACCCAAGCAGCAGGGATTGGATCAGGAAGGGTGGCCGAAGGCACAGTCTAAGAAGAGTATCTTGAGATGTGCCTTAAAGGAGGCAAGGGAGGGAGCGAGGTGAAGGAAATGTGGGTGGAGTTCCAAAGGGTGGGGGCAGAAAGGCTTAAGTCCCAACCACTGATGGTGTGACAGGGACATGGAGTAGGCTGGATCCTGCTGTTGATATGGGAATTTAAGAGGTCTGGTGCGGGAGAGGACATGAGCTGCAGAGTTCTGGATGATCTGCAGCTTGTGGAGGGAAGAGTTCAGAAGGCCGACAGGCAGAAAGTTGGTGTAGTCGAGCCTAGATGTGATGATTTTAGTTTAGCTCTGCCAAACACTCACTGACAGGTATGCACAGGTCAAAGTCTCTGGCTACAAACAAAACTGCAATGCAACACACAAGACTAGTCAGCACAACTCTACGTACCATGACACATTTGGGATGTGTATTTATTGACTAGAGTAAATCCTGTAGCAATAGTGGAATTAAAACCAGAAGCAAATTGCTTAAATCTACATAGTTTGCTACACACAGATGCATTCCTTCATTTTGGAAGGATGCCAACACTAATCAAAATGACCCAACTCGAGCTAGCAGCCGAAGGATTAATACTGAACAACCTATACATTTCCGGACCATCTGGTTGCTTTTTCTGAACAAAATAAAGGAAAGGACTGGGTAGGCAGTAGATTTACCTAATAGCTGAGTGGAGTGAACAAAGAAACATTGGTATTTTGGTATGTCTTTTGTGTGATATGCATTTCACCGTTTCACATCATTCTTAAATAATTTAATTCCGTAAAAGGAAAGAATCAAATATTTTCAAGTAACCCTTAAAATGAAGGCAAGGGGAGAGTGAACAACAGCTAAATTGGTAGCTGAAATTTGGCAGCTAAGTTTCAATGAGAGACTATGGAAACTGGGAATGGAGAAGAAAAAGCCAAGGGGAGATCTATGGATCCATTTCAGACTCTAACGGTAAAAATTAGCTCAACCTTATATAATGTTGATAAAATTGAAACAATTCAAGTGGCAAAAATGTAACATAAATTCTGCAAGCATCGGAAGTGCCTTGGCACACAAAAAAGTAGAACTCAAGAGGGCCCCACCCCCGTTTCAGCTTTGATGACAAGATTTTCAAATCACAACGTACCGCTGCATTGCAGTGTCACCTTAGACTGTGTAATTCCAATTCCCTACGTAGGCTTTGAACACGCAACCTTCTGACTCAGAGAATAGTGTGCTACCAACTGAGCCAGAGTGACAATGGCAAACATACCAGAATTTGCAGTATACATTAATTGGCTGTTTTCCATTATCTCCCCTTATGATTAAGTTATAAATGAACTGTTTTATTGATTTGAATTTAGCAAACATTCAGAAACGTCATTTAAAACCTCACTTATCATAGCCCCTACCTCCAGAAATGGGACTGCTTTTTTTGTTTGTTTGCTTTATTTGGTCAGCTGGGTATCTGAAAGATGCATGCTTAAGAGCATCCAAACTAAACTGTGAATTCCACAGTTGCTAAACAGATAGCTTGCCATTCATAGCACTGACTAGCAAGCTTTCCTGCTGCTTGTCCAGCTAGGACCACCTTACCCATTAAGGTTTTGGCTTGCACGGTTTACAGGAGCTAAGTGGAATAATTTTTTGCCCCCAGTGACTGGTCTGCCCTTCCAAGACCTGACGATGTGCTGCCATCAGCAGTACCCTGGAGCACTGTAGACCTGCCTGGCTCAGGAACTGAGACCGCCACAGAGATCGAGTTCAATTCTGAAATTCCATTCCCAAACATGTCACCTTGGAGACAGTTCAGCTCCAAGGAGTGCCTGCTTATTTCTGGCTTATCCCTTCCCATTGAGCAAAGTTTCCATCAGTTGAAGGTGCAAACATAAACCAGCAGTCGCTTGCCTCCCAGCAAGCCAATCAAGGTGGACTCCAGGCGCTAGATGTACAGACTTGGGTTCACAAACTCAGATCCAGGTAAGGGCTTCCAACAGCTGTCACCCCAGACCTCAGAGTTTCCTCATCAACTTTCTAGCAGACGTCTGTCTTCAGCGATGTGGGAGGACCTTTTACAGGACAGCTTGTGACGTGCCAGCCACCTCAATATTCTCGATATCCAAGTTCAATGCCGTGTACCAGGCTTACTCAGGTACGCCGCATTGATCCACCTGCTTAATCCAGGTCCTCAAGCGAGGGGTCTTGGCAACTAGACCTGCTCACTGTGAAGCCCACTTGGCCTCCATCATGCTTAGCGAGAGGCCAGAGCCCTCCCTTCCTGCAGCCACTTCCTGTGTTTCCACAAATGCACCTTTCTGTTTGATCCTGGACTTAGCAAATGGGTTGAAGGAAGCCACTCTTGCTGCATCCCCAGGAGCTCAGATCCATAAAGGTGGAGTGCATGTTGATCAATCAAGTGCAGTTTGTTTTAAGAGCTTCCAGTTTAATTGTTTTGTGATACTTCAGATAAGTCATTAAATCAATAAAAATATTTAATTTTACAACAACATTAGTGATAGGAGAAAGAGGAAACAGAAGATGGACAATTAATGAATACTACAAAGTCTGGCATGTTTAAAAATTGTTAACAGCTTACTTCTCCATTCTAAGGAAATTAATAAACCAGAAACTCACCCAGGCCAGATGAATAAATAGCTTTTACAGATTTCTTCATTTTTTGTAGCACCCCACGGTCTACATCTAGTGCCTAAAATTAAAAATATATTATGATTAGTTAAAGAAAATAAGATTTAATTTCATTAATGCAATATGCCAAAATTAACAAAAGAATGATAGTTTGACAACATGAAACCATTAGCGTTTGCTTTTCATTCCCTGCTTATGCAAAAATCTTTTCCATTATGCGTACAAAGCTAAACATTCACTAGTTATAGCAAATCATGCATACAAGACAGAAATATAGGAAGTTAGGAACAAGAAAAAGCTTTCAAGCCATCAAAGATTCTCTGGCACTATGTACCACTTCTCCTCCCTTCCAGTTTTCTACTTCCCAAATATCTCTCCTTGAATCCCTCAATCAATTCTGTACCTAACATTTTTTAGCGCATTTCATTCCAAACATCTTAAGCACAATTGAAGAGGAAGATTTTCAGGCGGGACTTGAAAAAGGGGAGAGAGGGGGCAAGGCGGAGGTATTGAGAGAGAGTGTTCCAGAGTTTCGGGGTGTAATGGCTGAAAGCGCGACCTCTGATAGTGGGGTGGAGTAGGAGGCCAGTGCCAGTCGAGCGGAGGCACCGGGTGGTGGATTCGGGAGTGAGGAAGTTGGAGAGGTAGAGACGTACCAAAGAGTGAAGGGATTTGAACACAAGTGTGAGGATCTTGAGGTCGATCCTTTTGGTGAAGGGGAGCCAGTGGAGCCTGGCCAGAACTGGTCATATGTGGATATGGGGAGTAGAGTTCTGAATGAGCTGGATCTTTTGAATAGTTGAGCTGGGGAGACCGGCGAGGAGTGCTTCTGAATAATCCAGGTGGGAGGTGACAAAGCATGCAAGAGGATTTTGGCTGCATTTGGGGTAAGGCACTGTCAGAGGCGAGCAATGTGGCAGAGGTGGAAGAAGGTGGTCCTGGTCTGGGACCGGATGTGGGGGAGAAAGGACAGCTGGGGTCGAACCGGACGCCAAAATTGAGCACTTATTTGGTGAGTGTGAGGGAGAGCCCAGGGAGGTTGAGGATTTCAGATCCGCAGAAGTGAAGACGTTAGCGGGATCCAAGGAGTGTGACTTCTGTCTTGTCTATATTCAATTCAGTTGCAGGAAGTTTGCACTCATGCAGGCCTTGATGTCTGCCAGACAAGCTGCTAGAACATCGGTGGACCTGGAGTTGGTACTGGAGAAGGCAAAGTAGATTTGTGTGTCATCCGCATACATGTGGAAGTTTACCCTGTGTCTACGGATGACATTACCCAGAGGCAGCATATAGATAAGGAAAAGAGGGCGAAGGACGGAACCCTGGGGTAGGTGACCGGGTAGGGCCGGGAGGAGAAACCATTTGCCGAGATGAAATGGAGGCGGTTGGTTAAGTAGGACTCGAATCATGCGAATGTGGTCCCACTAAGGTGGATGAGGGAGAGGCGGTGGAGGAGCATGGCATGGTCGACTGTGTCGAACGCGGCAGAGAGATCCAGGAGGACGAGGAGGCAGAGGGAATCCTGGACACAGATAGAGAGGTCATCGTTTGTGACTTTGACAAGTGCTGTGTCTGTGCTGTGGGTGAAACCCAAACTGCAGGGGCTTGAGTAGGGAGAGATGTGACCAAAGTTGACCTACAATAATGCATTCCAGGACTTTGACAAGGAAGGGTAGGTTGAAAATGGGATGGTAGTGTGAGAGATTAGAGGGATCGAGGGTGTTTTTTTTGCCGTCGTGTGCGATAACAGCGATTTTCAGGGTGAGTGTAACAGAGCCTGAGGAGAGAGACTGGTTGCTATGTTGGCTGCAGGGGGGAAAAGTAGGGGGAGTTGATAACCAGCAGCTGGGTAATTCATCAACCTAGATGATGAACGTAAAGTCCCAACATGGAACTTGAACACACCGCACCCCCTCTCCGGAGGCGAGAATACTGAACTAGGCTGACACTGAAAGGAGCATTTGTAATTTTAAAAGGACCAATCACTTCTCTGCCTCTTTAATAAAGTTTTTTTTGAAATGTTCTGCACATGCATTAAAGCATGCATAGGTAAAACACGACAGTTGGACATTTAGGTTTTTCTAGATCAAATGAAACTGAAGCAAAAGTACAGTTTAAACACAACATATTTTAAAATAAATAATCATTAATTTAGCTCCTCATCACACCATCATATTGTCTCAAAGTACATCACAGATTTTATACAATAGACTATGGTGACAATTTGTAGTTGAACCCAGCAGCAAATTTGAACACTACAATGTTCCTCAAACAACCATTAATTGACTGACCAATTTTATGTACAATAATAATCCTTGCATTTGATATAGCGCCTTGTCACTTCTTCGAGATGTCTCAAAGCACTGCACAGAATATACTGTAAAGTGAATTGACAGTATATTTTGTGGGCAAAATGCGGCAGCCAATTACGCACAGCAGTGTCCTACAAACAGTCGTGGAATGAGTCACCAAATTATTAATACTATACTTGAAGGGAGTATTGCCCCTGGAAAAGCGATTTGCCAATCGACTAACAACCGGGTTCCTATTTACTGCTAGTTAAATAGAGACGTGTGGAGTAAGGAAACTTGTCCAACGTTTTACCCTGCCCAGGAATTGAATCTTTTCACTTGCAAGGCGAGTGCTCCAACCACTAAGCTATAGGACTGCCAGTACACCAGAAGAAACCTCACTTTTCTATTCGAATAGTGCCATGCGATCTTTAATGTCTCCCTGAACAGAGATGGGACCTTAATTTAATGTCTTATCCGAACAATGTGACCTCCAGCAACTCAGATTATCTATTAGCTCTGTACTCATAACAATAACTCAAATTAAGCAAAGTAATTTTTGAATCTAAACACCAGTTGAAGGTCAATAAGTCATTTTGTTTTCTCACATTTTAAAGGCTAGAGACATAATCTAAACTGCTTTTATCTTTCTGCAGTTGTAACTCTTAGCGTCTTCAAACCTTCACAGGACCGAGACTGCCTTTGTCAAAGTTGCCAATGACATTCTCTCCACCTGTGATCAGTGCTCTCTCTGCCACCTTCCACAAAGTTGATCATTTTGTCTTTTTTCTCAGCTACATCTTCACAGCTTTGTCCTTACCTGGTTTCACTCCTACCTATCCCAACATCTTCACTTTTTCATCAAATGGCTTCTCCTCCCGTCTCTACACATTTGAATATAGCATTCGTCATAGCTCCATCCCTGGTCCTCTCCTTTTCACTATATGCTCCCACCTGGTGACATCATCTGTATATATGGGATCCATCACCACACATACACAAATGATACCCAACTCTATTGCTCTGCCTCTACCCTTCAGCCAGGACCACTGCTGTACTGTCCAATTGCCTGTTGGATATCAAGTCCTGTATGAGGTCCCTTAGTTAAATCTCAACAAGACCAAGGTCATTCTACTTCCCTCTATCTCTCTCCAGCAGCCGGCTTCGCAATCCTATCACCCTCACCTGGCTACACTGGCTCCCCATCAAACTGAAAATACTTGTTCTCGCATTCTATTCCCTCCACCTCCTTGCCCCCACCAATCTCTACAACTCCCACAACCCTAGCTTGACTCAGCTGTTCTCTTCACCCAGTGAACACTGGCCTGCTTCACATCCCTCACCCTATCCAAACATCTTCACTTTATCTCATCTAATGGCAGGCAGCATTCAGATAATCTGTCCTCGTTCTCTGGAACTTCATTCTGGAGTCCCTCAGACTCACTCCCTACTGTTAAAGTCCACTTCAAGACTTATTTCTTTGACTGCGTTGTGTTATTTTTTTCCCCCTCCTCTTCCACAACAACTCCGCTGCCCCCCCTCCCCCAACTGAGTTGCCCAGCCAGTAACTGCTTTGAGATATCCTCCTGACTTGAAAGGCATTATACAAGTGTAAATTGAATGGTACTGTAATATTCCTTGATTTCACTATCCAATATGCATGCACTGGATTTACATACTCTTTTTGAGGGAGTAGTTACAAAGGGAGTATTCAGACTAATACAATCTTAAAAAGGTTAAGGAAGAGATTTCTAAGGGTAATTGAGAGTTGTTTAGAGGGGATCAGCTTAAATAGAGGGAGAACTGATGCCCATGTTAGATGTTGTGAGAAGCATATTTCACTTCCTTCGCTTTGTTATTCAAACCAGTTGACCTCGATTGTTCTAGCGATTTCAGCAACAAAAGAGAAGAAAAACGATACAGGAATACAGCTGAAACACAACTGCTAGAGACAAGGACTTTTGGTTCTTTAATTCAATGTTAGTATCAGCATTCCAGTTGCAGAGACAATGTTCGCAAGTTCCAGTTCCAGAAAACGAGAAGCAAGAGATCTTGAGATGTTTTGCTTACTAGTTATAAACTTTATGAATGTTGATAATGTCATTTCAGTAATATTGCTGTATATGTGAGCATAACAAATATTGTTGGTAATAATTTGCTATTGTAAGTATATTTATTGAACTCACACAACTTTTCTGCCCTATTAAGTAAACAAGCTTTGAAAATGAAATAAAGTGACTTTGGTCTTTCAAATTTCAATAGATCAACTTCAAGATCCTCACACTTGTGTTCAAATCCCTTCAATCTCTGGCACCCCCCCTTACCTCTCCAACCTCCTCACTCCCTAATCCACCACCGGGCGAGCCTCTACTTGATTGGCACCGGCCTCCTGCTCGTCCCCCTGCACTCTCCGCCCCAACATTGGAGGTTGTGCTTTCTGCCACTACACCCCGAAACTCTGGAACACTCTGGAACAGTGCAGATACTAGATTTGTGGCAGACTGACTAAACCTCTCCCATAACCTTTCTGGACTGATGCAATCTAGGATATTAGCACTGCTCCAATTTCTGCAATTCTGGAAAGCCAAGAATTCAACAGCTTCCAACAATGCACAATGATTAGCTTGCAATCTATGTAAATAATTACTTGGATTTTTTTTAAAAATCTTGTGGAACTGGTTATTCTACAAACCATTTACGTTCATCAGACTTCAGAACAAAATAGGGGCTCATCTAGAGGACCCGTCAAGAAGGCAAACACAGGTGCCAG